CTCTGCCAGTTTGAGTGGTTGGTCTACCTGGCACAATGGGGTCAGCATCTGATTCTTGGCTGGACTCGGCATCTGAGTCCAGCCAAGAATCACATGCTGACCCCAATGGTCTCGACAGATTAATTCATGGTTGGAAGAGCAATCGACTATTAGGGCTACTTATTACTGTTTAGAGCGTACTTCTACTTATTCGCGATCGTGAGTAAGAGTACTTCTACTCTCGATCGCGAGTAAGCAGAAGTACGCTCTGAACGGTAGTGAGTAGCCCTAATGGTTGATTGCTCTCCCAACCATGAATTAATCTGTCGAGACCATTGGGGTCAGCATGTGTTGAAGAGTGCAGTCCGAATGTACGTTCCACAATTTGAGGTCGAACACGGTCGCGAGTTGAAGAGTAGAATCTAGACTGTACTCTTTGACTGAAGAGTAGAGTCCGGACTATACTCTTTAACCCGCGATTGTTTTCGACTTTAAGTTGTGGAACGTATATCCGGACTGCACTTTTCAACTCGCGACCGTGTTCGACCTCAAGTTGTTCAGCCATCGCAGGCCACACCCAGTTGCCCCAGGCCGCGGAGCTTAGGGACATGCAGACCAGCGAAGTGTCTTGGAGGATATGACAGTGTCACGGGCATGGTACACGACACCGTCAGTTATATACCCTACGATCACGCTGGATTGAACTGACAACTGATACTACGTCTTCGTACTTTATTCAGAACGGAAGGTTTCTCTGTTTATATACAATAAAGATTCATCAATTATTCTGATCGTGTTTTCTTGACTTGCTGTGGAAGAAACTACTAACACTTTTTACGCGATCTATACTTTTTACGTGATACGTTGTCATTTGAATTGAATACAGGAAGAAAGGGAAGGGGCGTCGAGGAGAAAAGTAAGGCTGCTGGAAATGGCACTAGAGAACCTCATGGAAGATCGCATTGATTGTCAATCACACCCAGGTTACTTGGATAGAATTAACAAAGGTGAAATTTTGATAATTGGCTTTATACTATTTCTCATCTTAGTTCGTTCAAACCGCGTCGTCCCCGTAGTTCATTTTCTGGGGGTTGGGGCGGCGATTTTGCGGATGATGGGTTACATAAGTAATGCTTGCCTTGCCTCTTGTCGGGGACCTGTAGGTGTGTGTGTGTGCGTGTGGTGTGCACACGCAGATCCCACCGCGGAAGAAGAAGAAGACAGGCGGCGAAATACTTGACTGCTTACTTGCCGCCGGGCGTGTGTGCCGCTCCTCAGGCACACCAGTGGGCGGCGCGCAAAAGCCGAAGAGCCCACCAACCGCCGCTGCTGCTGTGCGACGCCAAAGTTTGAGCAGCCGAGGCTCCCATGGAATGCTTGGCGGTGACCGTGCAGCTCGAGGGGCTGAGAGCCAGCCGTGGTGGTGATACGGGAAGCCTGCCTGCCTGGTGGATAAGGACGACCTTGCCATTGAACATGATGCGAAAACGCGAGACTCGGTCGCGGTGGACAGCTTGCGCGGGCGAGCCCTTGTGGGAAAGCCGGCGGTGGAGTAGTAGCAGCACAAAGCGACCGACGGCGGAGCGGAAGATGCGGAAGAACCCTGCCTACTATTTCACTAGGCTTGCGTCCGAGCATCTTCTTTACCAAGTTCACACCGCTCTTTCACTGAATGGCTGCTAGCTCCGCCCTGCGAAGAGCGGGTGCACGCGCTGATGACTCTTTCGCCGAGTAAGAACGGGGCGTTTTCGCACCAAAACATCGGAAAACATGCTTCTCGCACTTAAGCACATGCAAGATCGACTTGACTGCGTAGTTGTATCAAGACTGGGGTCCAGATAAGTGGGCAACGAGTATCTGGACTGATGCAGGAGAGGTAGTAGCGGTGTTGACGTCACTCGCATTGCTAAGAAGAAGTGACATACATCTCACATGGTACCTAAGGCTTCTGCCTATTCGGCATGGATGGTTCATGGTGTAATCTCTGTTTTGGGCAAGGGGCCATCGGTGGGTAGCAAAGACGAATGGGAACCGGAGTTTGGCAAGGATCCTTCCCGCTTGGTGCATTCGCCGCGCCGCAAATCGGTTCACGCGAGGAGGCCGTCGAAGCGGTGACAGTCCCTCACCATCCAGCATCCAGGCCAATAGGCCTTCCACTTACGTCACGTAGAGCTCGCGTGGTTGCTGGGCAGCTCCTCCGTCGGGGAGATAATGGTCGCCTACAGCATTGGCGTGTGTGGTTCATAGAACAAGGGCGCGGACGGCGTGGAAGGCGGGCCGGCCGGCCGGCGGGGGTCGACGGCGCAGGCTTGGGAAATTCACAGCGCGAGGCTATCCCCGAGATTGACGCGAGTGATGTCCATTTTCCGGGATAGGACGAGGGCGGGAGGCTGTGGGCCTTCGTGGGCCGAATGATGGGCCTGTGGCTATTGGGCAGAAGGACGTGGCCAGTTTCTTTCGGATTAAATGTCGCAGTGAGAACGAAGCCGTTGTTGGAGAAGCCAGACTCGTGGTGTGTTGAAGCCAGGGAGCCTACCTCGAAGCTCTTGAGCATTTTGAAAGCGAAGGAGTAAATGCACTCGGAGCAGCCTTTGACTCCCAATTGTGCCACAGCGTGAGCGCAGCCAGAATTGGAGCACTGCGAACTCAGAGCAGTCATCCGATGAAAGCCAGGCCACTCCAGCCCCCGGACAGTCCCCGAACGGATGAAGTGGGTATTGCGAAGGCCGCTGGAGGCCGTTGAGGACGATGAAGGAACGCGGCGCGCTGACGGTGGCTCCGGTGCGCCCTGTGATACTGGATGAATGCAAAATAGCGATAAAGTATGGATATCAGATGGCGCGACCGACGTTGGGTGATGGATGCACGAGTTGGTTGGAGAGGTGGAGGCCAGCCGAGGTTGCCCAGGCACAGGCAGCGGAGCGACGGGCCTGCTGCAGCAGGTCAGGCTGCCAGGCTGCCATCCAGTGTTAAGCTTAGGCCAAAATTCGGCCAAACAGCCGTTGCTTATCGATAAGCAGACCCTCTCGATTTTCGCCGCCGCTACCAGCCAGCACCTCGCAATCGTAAACACAGGCGCCCTACGCTGGACTCTGCAGGCCAGTCTTCCAGTCTCCGAATACCAAATGCCGCCAAGAATAAGAAGAATACTGCAGGTTCAGGCGGCCCCTACGCCGTCGCCGCGAAGTCGAAAGCCGCCAACGCCATCTTCAAATTCAACACCACCTTGGCCAGCATATTTTGAAGGACCCGGGTGTCGCGCAGCGTTTGGTGGTAGATCCGCACTCCCCGTAGAGCACTTCGTTTGCGCTGACTCTCTACGAAGATAATCCGGCCACAGCCGAGGACACTGTTCAACTTGCAGCAGGAATTGCGGACCGCCGCAACCACATAACCGACGGCGAGGAACAGCGACCGTCAGTCGGAGTGGACACCCCCTCTTCCCCAGAACGCCTCCCAGGACGTTGGTCAACCTGCCGTCCTGGTTCTTGATTGCATCATCACGTTCGTCATCCGTGTGGTTGAGGTGCGAGCACAGGGCCTGCATGTTCTCCTGCGTCTTGTTATACCTAAAGCGAAAGAGTCAGAAGGGTGATTGAAGGCGAACGGATTGGTGCTCCTAGTTGCCGATCTCGGAAACGGTGTCCTTGCTGGAGGATGAAATCGACCAGGTGCAGCCTGGTATGAGCACCCTGCAGCTCTTGGGCTGCGCGCGGGCCTTTGCGGCTTGGAATGAAGACCGTGTTGATGTTGCTGCCTGGCACCTTCATCCCTGCAGATGCGACCCGCCGAGGCGGGTGCGCGCCGCGCTTTTCTCTGACAGGGCTAATATTGGCTTTTATTACACACGCTTGGGGCTGGGGTTGAGGTAACAAACGGCGAGCTGCAGATGCGCGATGATGCTCGGCGAAAGCTGCCGGCGCGCGTAGAAGTTGTCGGAGACGCAAGGAAAGAGTCATGGCCCCACATCATTCTACCAAGCAGTTTCCCGAGGCAGCCAGCAGGAGAAGCCTTGTCTTATCGCAGACACGCAGGGCTGCATCACCATTTTGCCACCGTCGCTCCCTCACCGGCGCCTTTCTAAGGGCGTGATCGTCTTTCCCATGTGCGTTAATCGCCGACTAGCGGGGTGGCCAATGCATGAAACATCTTCTGTCGCCGATCGCCCCGGCTGGTTTTCGTTGAGTTACACCAGCTGCCACCGCCCGTTCAATCTGCCAGGATATCATGCCCGTCGCTTCCCTTCGATCGCAACGCAACGCCGTACCTTTTTGTTCCCGCCTGAGATGATGTATCATGTTGCTGGCCTGGCTTTTGTGACGCTTACCCCGGCCTGGATGATAGCCACACCGACGGCCAATCATCCTTGGTCGAATACTGGAGGAGCCCTCCGGCTTTCGCGCCTCGACTTTCCGTGCGTCTTCCCCCTTGTACCCACCGCCTACTGCTGCAAATTCCCGTCTGCGAATCTCCCAAATGGACCGACAACTGTGAGCGATGTGTCCAAAAATGGCCAGTTGCTGCAGCGGATATGACGGGGGCGCGACCCGTGTTTTTTGGTCCAGATCCCTGAGACGTGCCCGATTCTCACATCTCGTCGCGTTAGGATTTGGATGAGGATGGCTAAATTGAGTCGAGATGGATGCAATTCTCTGTCGCGACTCATGTCACAAGAACCGGTGCAGTACCTATCCAACTCATCGCCAGCGAATTTTTCGTGCTAATCGCGAAGCGCTGCTTTATCGCAGCACTGCAGCCATGTGAGGCGCTCGGCTCGGCTCCTGGCGCTCCACCTATGGTGCCATGTGTGCCAGACGCATTGGTCGCATCTGCACGCTGTTGCTTGCCATAGTACTGCGACGCGGTGTACATGTACAACTTCCATTATCCGGCAAGTCGCCTCCCCCTACTATCGAAGAGTGCTTTCGATTCATCCGCTCGACAAATGCTCCTCCCTTCCTACCGAATATTTATTTCACCGGCTAAGGACGAAGTTCCAATCTCGAAGACAACCAAGCAAAATGGACCGTCCCATATACGAAGATGACCTGACCACCATCCATGCCCGCCACGCTGCCCCACTTGTGCAACTACGCCACCTCGCTGCCACATCCGTCCGCAATCTCAGGACAGCAGTAGCAGAGGAAATAATGCAAGCCGCGCTGATGATCCTCGAGGATATTGCGACCATGGTAGGGGACATGTTCCCCGATGGAGAAATAAGCGACCCAGACCTCCCATTCGGGCAGGTGAGAATGGACACCGAGGGTTCGTGCTCCATATTATTATTCATTGGCCTTGCTAACGTGTGATCAGGTCTCCACATTGGCCACTCCACGAGGAGCTTCCGCGAAAATGACAGCGTCTACTCAGAGGGATGCTCTGATGATGATGCATCATCGTCTGCGGAAGAGTCGGACCAGGAAGCGGACTCGCTCCCGCCGCTTCCCTTGACGGAGCTTGCCAGGACGTGGTGAGTGAGACTTCCGCCCGTCCTCGCTCTCGTCCATCCCCACACTGTTTCAGCTTCCAATGCTAACTGACCATAGCTCTGCCACTTCCTTCGCCAACCTCCGCCACCTCTACACCCTCTATTACACCATCCACATCTCTCGGATGGACCGCCTCATTCTACGTCTGGACACCTCCTCCACCCTCCCCAACAGCACCGTTCCAAACCGCCCCGAATCCATCTGCCAGACTCCCCCACCCTCTTCCGCGGCTGGCATCAGCTACGGCCCTCGCTGCGAGAGCCCGCAACAGAAACAGATGCAGAAGAACTGCAGCCATGGTGGTGGTGCGGGCGTCCCGTTGACCGAAGAAAAAGAAATGCAGTATGCCCATGTCCTGGCAGATGAAATGCTGCAGGTTGCCGAGTACAAGGAAGCGATCGTCCGCATACTGGTTGAGGAGCTTGCGGGAGGTATGGGTGCGGCTTGAGTTTTGATGTCGGTGTTTCTTATTTTCTGTTTCTGTTTCCATGGGCATGTATTTGTACATTGTGTAGCTCACTTCATTTTCCTTCAATTGACACATCTGATCCAAGCGCTTCAAGAATTTGATGTCTAAATGTTGAATGACGAAGAGCCCGGTGTTCGGCCATGTATACCATTAGGGTCTATGCTATTGCCACTACGTGGTCCATTATTTGTCATTTTACACCTAGCAACGCCCTTGAGCGTCTTTGTTTTGGCAACAAGGCTAAATTACCACTCACAAAATATTTCACCGAATGAAAAAAAAAAAAAATAGATCACATTTCCCAACGCGGTAAAGAGTTTTACGATTGATTGTGATTGCTTGTCGGTTCAGAATCTACCTTTTTATTTCGACCATTCCCCAGAAACCGGCTGAAGAAGTTTGTCTTGAGAGCAGCGGATTTTTCTACTCGACTAGGCTAAAGACAAAGGCGAATCGTTTCAAGATGAGGAAAGCCGCTCGAGGATTAAGAGTACGTGGCTTAACGAGAGTGATGTTGGAGCGCCTAAAAGCTCCATGGAACATATTGAAGATGGGGAGAACATGGAAGACGACGGCGCGTTTCGGAACCTGCTCGCTCATACACGGGAAGTAATAGAGCAGCGCCCGAGAGTGAGAATGATGAAAAACAAGCCACGTAGCGAAGGGTTACCGCGCAGATTATAAGTGTGAACTTCGTCAAGGGGAGTACAGCGATTCGAGCCGCGTGGTCGTTATTATTATCGGGAGCCCCGGCGTCGACTATGAGAATTTTTATCCTTGCACTGATTGCGCCAAATTTGCTGGCATCCGGCGGACTATGCCCCGACCTGTACATTATTGATTCTAATGGGTGGCCCTATTCAAGCTCCATTTGTAGTAGTTATAAATGGAGATGGTCTCTACGGAGGTTCGGCGTAAAAAGCATCTCCGCCCGCCGTAGAAAAAGACCAGGGCAGCTATCTACGGCTGGCGGAGCGGCTTCGTACGCTGAACCTCCGAGGACTAGTAATCCTCGACTCAAAACGCAGCAATTCGTCTTCCTTCTCTATTGCTTTCTGGAGTGATGATGTTTAATAACAATGTTGTGGACCCCAGAGATGAGGCGATTCTCGTTAAACGTGTAGTAATTCTGGTTGCTACTAGAGTCAGACGAGTTTGTCGACGAGCCCACACTGAGGAGGTGAATGGCGGCCTCTTTCTCACATCGTAGCACCCACCTTCTTTCAATAGGGCGCCTAATCTTCTGACACCCCTCCACATATCCACGCCGATATCGGCGCACCTAAGACCCAGCCAGTAACCATCCCTCAGTCACAAGAAGGCCTCTGTTTTTCTGACACCCCCATTTGTTATTCTGACACCCCCCATTAATTATTCTAATACCCCCTCCATATCCACCACGATATCGCCGCCAAATATGCATTTATGCCTACGCAAACTTTTTTACACGCTCTTTACACCTTTTTTATACTTTCTACAAAGTTGCATCGTAATGCAACCGCTATATATTATACTGTGTTGATGGAAGTTCTCGTTATCGTATCATGCTTAAGGTGCTCGACTACCACAAGAAAAGCTTACGTCAACACCCACAGGTGAACACCAATGCATCGACAAATAGCAGACAGTCCTCGTAGCTGGGGTGGGTGATGACAGGTGGGCGGACCACGATGAAGCAAATCAGGGGATAATGGCAGACGAATGAAACACGAAAGGGATCAGTGACGGTCCATTTCCAAAGGGATCTGAGGATGAAAAGGAAGAAGAATAAGCTTCCTCCCCATTGCGTACTCCCCACCCCACGTGAAGCACAATGTCCATACACACGCCCTTGATGCTCCATCCCACGAGCCGTCATGGTCCCATCCCGCCTCCAGAGCTGCGTACGATCGCCTCGGCGTACAATGGGCGACGATGATATTGTCCATTTCAAATGCCGGCAAACAGCCACGCTCACGACTCAGCAGGAAGCCGGTTGAGCAGACACTGAAGGCAGCAAGTAGAACAGCCCCTAAGTGCCAGCCCTCCATTATCCTCTGGATGCTGCCGTTGTGCACTGATTCGGCAGTGGGCATACGGACTTCGAAGAGCTAAAATTTCCCCACACCAGCTCCACGCTGACCATAAAGAAGGCAGTGAAAAGGCTACCATATCCAGGTCGGCCGTCTTAAGTCGGCCGTAGCGTCGGCGCAGCTCCGGGTGGATGCAGCACATACGATCATCTATGATGATAGCGACAATCATGTGCTGGGCGTGCTTTTACATGTCGATAATCCAGAGAGATTTCAAGGACAAGCCTCTGGCACTTTTATCAGCCGCGTATGATAGTGGCGCCCATCGCAGCTGATGTACTTGGTTGCCAAGGGTGCTGGAAAACGATCAATCGAGCTGCAGTCTTGCTCTCCCGCCCAGCGCGATTTCAAGTGGAGAATGAAGCAGCTTGCCACCTGGATGGCTGGCATCCACCATGCGGCCGCCATCTTCGTGGAGCTGAAGCTCTTGCTCTCGGTAAAGGCGGTACTTGCAGCGGCAGTGGCAGACATTCGGAACGTATACGAAGCGCCAGCGGGGTCCGCACTGTTCTGTTGACGGCTTTGCCTTCATCGACAGAGACGAACGCTTCCGCTCCAATTAAGTGAAAACCAATATTTGAGATGCTCACCATTTAATCGGAGCGTCCGGCCATATGCATGCAAGTGACTACGCCAGGAGCTTCTAACGCCTGACGGGCCAGCTTGTCCAACTCGGGATTGGCGATGCCTTTGTGGCCAATCTCATGTTGTATTCTCATCTTACAACATCAATACACCAGCCCTCTTCGGCCACAAAGCAACAAGATATTCGAGATTTGCAGACATTCCAGATCGAGGGCGCCATTCCCCGCGCAGTTCGCAGCACAGGCCAGTCTCAATACCACATGTACTTTCTTCCTTGAGGAGGATGAGGATGACAACATTTGTTATGAACTTGCACAGTAAATGGCTATTGTGCACCAAGCTCTGTGGAGATCATGGCAACATCAATTGCACCGATATAATCTTTCAACTTCTTCCCTATCATTAACAGAGCCATTTTAGTTTCGGAACACAGTCCCCCGGCGTTGGTAAGGTTAAACAAACCCGGGCGCCCAGGATCTTTGCATGTTCCTGTGGTACGTTTCATCATCCAGACGCAGAGTTTCTCTCTCCAGACCAGATTCATCTCCCCGCTTCTGCCCGGCCGTCCTCGAAAGCGACCTAAAACCGCATGGCTACAGCCCCCTACTGCAGCATTGGGCTAGGCACGCGGAATTCTGAGAGGATGGACCTGAATCTATGGCGAGATGAGGTGTATAGCACTATATGGGGCAGAGGAACAAGCTTTTGCTGCTTTGTGGGGCATTTCGAGAAGAGGTGACGACCAAGAGAGACTCGTGTAGCGAGAAGAGTGACAGGGCTGACGTTGATGATATTGGGCTCTGCGAACTTTAATAACAGGTCCCATTTGCCATTTTGTCTGAAAATTGCCATTCCGGCTTGGTTGATCGAAATGCCCTTGAGCTATCGTGTGCCACAAGTCGGACTTCACATCGCCTGCAGGTTGTCAGCAGTCTAAGCTTGATCGTAGCATGTATCTAAATACGTTTCCCTTACGACTAGCTGCTGTGGTCCCTTAAATTCCCTGTTGCAGCCATAGTGCACTGGCATGCATTCTGACACTGATTGAGCCTGCAATGAGAGAGCTGAAGTGCGGCAAAAATGCAATACTACGTTCCTCAAGAGGCAGCAGGGCAGGATAGGATGCAGTCAAATTAAAGATGTAAGCGCCCTAGCCAAGTAAGGCAACAAGCAGCGATCGACTTTCCACTGGTGGCGCACGGAGGAAGCTCCGGCGCGAGGGCGATCCACACGCCACGCTTATCCCGACCGACAAATCGCACGAAGATCTTCACTACTGCTGCCGGCGCCTCTTCCCCTTCACGTGCGCGGCGTCGATGTGCGCCACCAGATCCAAGTCCTCCTCGTCGCAGAACGGGCACTCGACCAGACGGACAGCCTCACGCCGCCCCTCCGCTTTCAGAGCGTCCATCCACGCTTTAGCCGCCTTGTTCGCCTTGTCGTGCTTGTCCAGCAGCGGGACCAGTGCCTCCTTCTGCGCCACCCAGGCCCTGTAGATGGCGTGGCGGGTGCCCTTCTTCTTCTCCTCCTCCTCTCCGCAATTCGCCAGCAGCGCTTTCTCAACCCGCTTGACCAAGCCCTCCACGTGCTTCTTCACCTGCGCTCTGGCGTCCCTCTCCGAGCCCGCTTCCGCCGCCGCCCTCGTCACGTCCAGTCCGACGTGCCGCAGCTCCTTCGGCAGCTCCTCCGCGAACGAGACCTCGTGGCCGGCGAGTATGCTGTCGCCGAGCGCGAAGGTGGCGTGCGGCCAGTAGGGCGGGAGCAGCAGGGTCTCGCCCGCGCGCTGCAGGATGGCGAAGCCTCCGCTCAGCCGACGACGACGTTGCGCCGCCGCATCGTGGTGGCGGCAGCAGCTCTGCAGTCGGTTTCGCTGGCCGGACGCGGCGGCTAGCGCGGTGAGGTTGGATGGGCTGGGCGGGTAGAAGAGCCAGAGCTTGGGGCCGCCCCAAAGGGTTTCCATGCCGTACGTGGTGTCTGGGAAGAAGCAAGGAGGAAAGAGTTAGCAACTGGGGAATTGGGTTGGTGACCGGGGGGGAGCTTGCCGTGGTGCAGATCTACAAAGACGCCGCGCGGCGTCACGTTGGCGCTCGCTTCCTGGACTTCCAGCATCGTGCGCTTTCCGAGCGTCTGCGGCAATGCTCTGTCCGACTCAAGGCGTTGCGCAGGCGCGTTCATGATGTACGAGCGGGGGCAGGAGTCGGCGCTGGTGTCTGGCATCATTATGGATGTCATGATACTTGACTTTTCCTGTTGGATGTCGGCGTCGGATGGCTTCAGCTCCTGATCAGCGCACCAGACCTGACCCTTGCCGGGATCCATCACATCGGCCAAGATGCTCTTGCACACGTCCGTAAAAGTGTGCTCTCGATTCCAGTGCTGCCACGGGGATACCTGCGGGCGCTCGGTATCCAGCGTCGGCTCCACGGCGCTGCTGTCTTTGACGAGGGGCGCCTCGAGAAAGGCAGCGAGAGCAGGGATGCGGTCCGGGTCGAAACCAAAGCCCCGGAGAACCGACGGCACGTCGCTGTGCTTTTCACCGGGGCAATGGCGTTTTGGCGGCGGCGCAGGTGCGACATCAGCGTCGCGCTTCCTATTACAACGAGTTTTGATGGGATGCCCAAGGCTCTGCGCGGCTCTCTCTACATCCTTGGGGGCATATGGGAGGGCTTCGTTACTACCGTTGGAGCGGTTTTGACGCGCATGAATGATGGCGTCTCGTGCAACAGACCACTGGACATCTTCCTTAGATAGGTTGCTTAGGTTTTCGAGGAACCGTATGGAGCGGAGGGGAGATTCGCCAAAAGAGTCGATTAGCTGTTCCACGGTGGAATTCCACCTTGACTGAGATAAGGTGCTGACGGAGGAGCGATAATGTTTTTTACCGAGGACAATATGTATGTCATCTAGCTCCCTAGCCATGTTGACGGGTTGTCAGAACTGTCAGCGTTGTCAACGTTGACGGGTTGACAGCGTTGACGGGTTGACAGCGTTGACGCGTTGACAGCGTTGACGGGCTGCGTTGGCGCGTTGACTTCGTTGACGCGTTGACAGCGTTGACGGGCTTCGTTGACGCGTTAACGCGTTCACGCGTTGTATGCGTTGACAATGTTAAGTGAGCACGGCGCGTGACGGCTTAAAGATCCTTTGTCTCGGGGAAAGCGAGCATCTGTCAACGGAACGAGGTCACATTATGCATGAGGAGTCCGAATCCCCTTCAACCAAAGGCCGATATGCGTTAACCTGTCATAATACGTCCCCTACACGCACGATTGATTGAAAGACACGGCAAGCACCATTACTCTCAGCTCGTATGGTCATCAATCCTAATCCCTTCAGCCTGGCCGTACCGTGACACTTCCTCGATGAAATGCTCAAGCTTATTCGCCATGACGTAGCAGTAACCAGCAGCGCACCAGATTCCCCTGTACGGCCTGCAATTCGAACATATATTCTGGCTTCTACGGCTATCTGGGCAAGCAGCCCCCTGGCCCTGGAAGCCGATTAACCCTTGGTAGATACAAGATTCTTAAGCCCACATTTGCATCTCAACCGTCACGATAAACACCGACGCTGCAAGTAAATTACTGCTGATTTCTCAGCCTCCAGGAATATGCGATGCTTACGGCTCATAGCCCGGATGAGAAAGCGCACGAGACAGAGAAGAATTACACGTAACTGGGTGTCTTCATCCACTGGCTGTTTCACAGACTTGAGTCCGGAGACGGCGATGAACATTCCACTCGCCCATGAATATACCGTAACAATAATAACCCGCTTCTTTTCCTAGGTTGTACGTTAGAAAGCGTCGAGATATCCGATGGAAAACTTACTCCCATGACATTCTCTGGCCTTGATGCATGCAGGTGCCTAATGCCTCATCTAGGAACTCCGGAGGAGCGGAGACATCGATAAGAGCGGTAAGCATCGGCAGCTCGCCAGAGAGACTTCCATGTCTTTCGTTCGTGGAAAACCGATATGGCTGAAGACTTTCGGGGAAAAGCGTATGCACCCAAGGCTGTTCCCGCCGTGGACCAAGTCTCCGATTGCGTGTCGGTAGTTCAAGAAATGCGAGTGTCTGCAATTACCCAAGTAGACATGCACGTCCCATCAATTGCTTGCATCTTCCCCCACCTCACAGTGGAAATTTCTACGTTTCCGAAACACTGTAGAACAGATGCGGCCCAGATATGTGTGTCATCCTGAGAGGTACATCATGGCGAATGCTCGCTCCAAAGGCCAGGGCCCGGCGTTGGGGTCGTCCGCGGATGTGTGAGCCGCCATCGCCGAATGCGAGGTGTACTGGGATGCTCCGTCAGAGAGTGGGTAAGATTACTGATGGGCTGTGTCTAGAGTCAGCGCGGGGAGTGGCTCTGCGAATGCGGGAGAGAACCTAGTGCAGATGCGCTCGCTCGCGCGACAGAAGCTGGATGCTCCGCGTTCCCGTCAAACGCTGCCTCTGTTCACCGACTCCCACGGCCACGGTCCGGCCATCAGAGACTCTGCGCCAAGAGATGCAGCTCGCGACACTTGGCCAAGCCCTGCGACAGGTCAACCTGCAGAAGAAAAAACAGCGCTTGTATTACACCGTCAGACACGTTAGCTGCTAAGTGTCATGCAGCCGGCCGTGGTCCTGCAGTTGGAGAAGAATCCTTGCCCAAGCATGAAAGGATATGTGCGTCACTCCGACCTTGCTTCAGCGGGTCAGACCACACGGCACGCACGGTTCGCTTCGCATCCGACGCCTGGTAGGCTAGTCCGAAATCGGACAGCGAATCCACGGGTCGGTAGCGTTTCGTCGAGATTGCCGCACAGCTATTTCCGCCCGTCTGCTGTGATGCGTCTCCACTTTCATCCGTTACCTGCCCACGCTTGACGTGGTGCAAGCAGCACATGAAGCGACCGTGTCTCTGTTCAATGGAAACAACTGACCTACGCCAGCCTGCCAGCTGGTCGATGCGGCCCACTTTTACCTTAGAGAAGAACACCAAAACACGCCTGCAAGCGCTTCATATAATAGTTGTATTGCGATGCAATTTTGTAGGACTAAAGAAAAAACATCAAAAAAATTTTATGGGGGTGGTGCTGCAGGTTTTGTAATGAAATGGGGTGGGTTTAACAAACGGAGTGGAGTTGCAAAATGATTGGGTACGCGAGGTCAATATTATTTATTTTAATAAATCTTAAACAACATGCTAGCGTGACTTAGAAGGGCATGCACAACTCCTTGTGCGATACTTCAATTCTCTCCAGTGATTTCCACCACGGTCGACTCGGCCCCCGACATAATATCCGGAGATTTGTGCCTATGAACTTTCCCCTTGCACGCCATGCGCGGCACACCCCCAGGGCATAATAACGCCCAAAGGAGCGTCGTTTGTGCATCTACCATCTTCAAGGTGGCAGCTGACGGTCTCTATCTGGTTCCGATAGCGGCGGAGCCCGAGGACTACACTACTTCTGGAGGTCGACGCAAAATGCCTCCCCAAAGTGAATGGTGGCGCTGTTATGAACTTTCCACATCATTGCTCTCATAGCCAGATCGAGCTGGCCATTACTTCCGATCACCCTTTACAGGCGATTGCAACTATGTCCGTTGCAAGTATAGATGCGAGAGAGCTGAATTGACGAATCTCCCACTCTTAAATGATCCAGCTGCTTACGCATATTCTTAGAAATTTTCCTTTTCAGCTTATTTTTCAGAGGAATGCTCAATTATTACAAAGGTTTCCCCGATCCGTCTGGAATGCTACAGTCCCTCTTGGCAAGAGGCTTAGCTACCGTGCCCATTTTTCAATCTCGGCTTATTGATGCATGTTCAAGCGTTTAGAGAAGGCCATTACAAAAAAAAAAGAATGAATGAAAAGCAGCAGAAAAGGCATTCACCAAGGCTGCCGAATCCGTAAAGTGAGATGTTGCCATTTCCATCCTAACTGCATCGCCACTGAAATCCACGTCCGGCGTAGGCAGAATAAACGCCGCGTTCAGCCCCACGATGTCGTACAGCTCCGCCGTCATGACGTATCCAGGGGCGCCCAACACCATGCCTTGCGTGTGAATGTCGTCGTATACGGGGACGGCCGCGATGCCCGCCCGCTCTGCCGCCTCCATGGCCGTCCAAACCGCATCCTTGGCCGCCTGCCGGCCCCCGCCGCGGTCTAGCGCGATGTGCGCCCGCTCCTGCATCAGCCGGCTGATCTCCCGGTGAAGCTTGGAACGACTGAGATGCGCGAAGCGTGCCTTTTTGCATCACCAGAAGAAGACGGCGCACTTCCGCTTGTACCGGATCTTGCATCGTCGTGGGATTGGTGCTGCTGTCGTTCCTGGTCGTCGCCTTGGTTCTCGTTTTGATGCTCACGTTCGCTGCGAGATGGTGAATACCAACTGGTTGCTGCGTTGGTGGACATGTTGAGACAGAGAGAGATGGGTTGTAGAAAGAGCCAGAGCTCCGAAGAAGAAAGACGGGAAAACATGGCCAAATAGTCTGTTTGTCTGGACAACTGGTACAAGCAGGTAGAGCACTCTTTTTTTTTGTTCGATCATAGGCAAATGGGTAAAAGTTTCCTAAAAGGTGCCATCTACAAACTCCTACGTCTCTCCAGAATTTTCTTCCGCATGGTTTTGCACTCCCCATCAACGATTGCTCTAAATGACATGACGGACAAGTAGGGCGCCAAAAATGCGCCAATCCGCGATATTTACTGCCAAGGTGTTACCACAGGAAATGGGATAAGGGCAAACGTTACTGTTTCCACCACAAGTCACAGCACCCGGACTCAGGATCTGTGGCCCCACGAACTCTGCCACAGGCTCGGCAGACAGTCGATCCTACGAGGCACACAGGCAAAACGGCAAGTCCGGCTAGGCCACACCAGGGGAATCCTCCTCCTCCTCCCCTTCCTCCTCTGAAAATCACGGTGAATCTCCGCCTCTTGCTGGACAACAGCAGTGTACCGCCCAAGAACGATGGCGATTCTCGATTCCAGCCTGCGCCACCACGACCACCACCACCAACAACAACACGAGCACCGGCACCAGCACCAGCAGCAACAGCAACAGCAACAGCCACTCGGCAATCGCCCACCACCATTATCGTCAGCGGATGACCCGGCCCCGAACCAGCACGAAAAGCGGTCGTCGATCAGCCGATCTTTCCCTCGCCGCGCAGCTCGACGCCGGTTCGCCCGCCGCTCGCGACGCCGCCGCTGCTGCTCCAGCAAAGAAGACCGACGGCCCGCGTTGGGAGGAGCGGCGGCCGTTGTTTGAGGGTGGCGGCGGAAGTAGTGGCACCACAACGCCGATCGTTTCGGTGGCACCAGTGTGTCAGGGAAGGGGTTTGGCAGTAGGGGTAGAGGAGGAGGAAGAAGAAGAGGAGGAGAAGGAGTAGGAGGAGGAAGCAGCAGTCCACAGTGCGCGCCACCGACGTCGTCCACCTACGAGCCGGAGGAGAGTCAGAAACATCAGAAACGCTCCGACCACGCCGCCGCTTCCTGCGCCGCCATCTGGCCTCAACTTGCGCGACCCTTTCGAATCTGTGGACGCGCATGCTACTGCGGCGACGATGCGGCAGATCTCTTGCCTGCCGTCGCCGTCGTCGCCGTCGTCGTCCTCAGAGGACGAGAGCGAGGATGAGGAGGAGGAAGGTGCAGTGGAGCAGACGGACGCATTCACGGCGGGCAGCAGCGGTTCGGACAGCCAGGAGGAAGAAGAGGAAGATTGGGGTGGTTGGTGGGATTGAAAAAAAGTTTCTAAGCTAAGGAAGGAGAAGAAAAGAAAAAACAAGAGAAAGCAAATAAATGCCAAAAAAGCAGTAAAAACACAATCGTGCCGCTCAACCATCCTCCCTCCCTTTTCGAAACAGTCTCACTCCCTGGCCTTATCATCATCCGGAGAGGCTTGTGGAAAGTTTGGCAGGCAAGCTTTGAAATACTCATGTAGCTTAGTCGTGTCGTGCAAGCCCATACCTTCATTCCATTCATGGATTGCCTTTCCAAACTCTGCCCATGTATCATGAAGTTGTACGCGCGCCCAGTGCCATTTCTCTGAGCTACTAACGCCGCGATCATCGCGTGACTTGCAGATTCTAGCCACACGATTGACTTCAGGCCCCATTGAAGTTTCGTTCCAGGTCTGCCGAAGAGCGGTGTCGAGTAGTCTCACATCAGTCTTGATCTGAAGTAGATAAGTGATGACATCTGTGAAGGTCTTGTAGTCTTCCTTAGGTGCTTCATACTTCGGAGGCTCCGGGTCGATTATCCAGCTCATGATAGTAGTAAGGACCGGTATGTTGCATTTGTACAGTGACGTACTCCATCGGGCGTTCCATTCGGTCAGGGTGGCGTTTACGCGTTTCTCGTCATCAAGTGCCTTCGCCGCACGAGAAGCGATGTCGAGACATGTAAACTTCTCAATCTTGAGGTAGAGCACTATGCAGGCTTCGATGCGTTCTAAAACCTTTTCAGAGGCTGTAATTAAACTCTGGAGTGATTCCCGAAGGTTGTCGTACACATGACACACACTCTCCCAGTGCATTTGCGAAGTAAGCTCGCGGCCAGTCCAGGGACGACTTCTAGAAGAGGGTGAAAGCTCCGATTCACGGTCGTTAAGGTGCGCCGCCTCTTGCATGAACCATTGTGGACCACTCTTGTTGTACTTGTTCTCGTGATCCCAGGTGTCCTCAATGTCCAGCCCGCCATTCACGAGCACTTCGCGAATTTGACTCTCGAAATGTCTCACCGGATCTCTGGCATTGGATGTAGCCTTTATCAGTTCTAGAGCATCATCCATGATTTCATGGGTAGAAGCGTTGGAGATCTGGACTGGCCATAGGATTCTCAGAGAAGTGCGTAGCTCCTCCGAGTTGGTATGTGCTTGAATGCTTGCATGAGTCATCTTTCGTGGAGCCATGCTCATGACCACAGCATTGTGGCTTAGGTTGGCGTATACTTTGTTACGAAGTTCGTCCATGTAGTAAGCGTTGATGCTGTCGTTCATCCTAGGTTCGGGTGCAGGTGTGGCCAGCATGGCCAGCACGAGAGATACGGCTGCGATTGCGGCAATGCTGAGAAGACCAAGTAGCCACCAGGAGTGTACGAGGCGAGAGGGGGCCGTGTCCACGTCCGTAGTCGATGATGCCGAAGAATCAGAGGACTCGACACTAACTTGGCTAGGGCTCGAAGGGTAGTCGTGCGGAGTGCCAGACATGTCGCTCGAAGGGCAGCTGTGCGGAGCGCCAGACGTGTCGCTCGACGGGGAGCTTTGTGGAGTGCTGGACGTGTCGCTTGAAGGGTAGCTTGGGGGAGTGCCAGACGTGTCGCTTGAAGGTTCGCCGTAGAGGAATGAGAAACAAGATTCTAAACCCTCATCGAAAAACGTTTCCTCTGACGCGGCGGAAGTGGCGTCGGACGCGGCGTCTGAAGACGCGCTTCGCGAAGAAGCGCTACTTGAAGAATTGGAATACACGTCAGAGGACGCGTCGGAAACGCCGTCGGAGCCGGCGTCGGCAGAGGTGCCTGTCGAAGGCATATTCGAAGCGGCGTTTGCAAAGAGCCGACGCCTAAGTGTCGTCTCTAGGAACGCGGCACGAAAAGGGCGGTCATACCGGTCGGCTTGCTCTAGATAAAGGTTTAGATCGTGGGATGGCAGCTCTTTCAGCAAGCGGGCAAGCCCATCGGGCACAGGATGGGGGCTCGTGAACGCGCTGACCCTTTCAATGTTAGAGGCCATGGGGAGAGAGTGGGAGAATGTGTGTCGTGAAGAGAAGACGCGACCAAACGCATTATTTGTACCCAGGCGCGCGGAAGCGTTGGACCGTGCGTTGCCTGGCAACCACCCAAAGAGGTAAAATTCCAGTTTTTCTCGCGTCTTGCCAGATGCTCGCGTCTACTTCTGAGATGACTAAGCCAACTACAGTACTTTCTCGCGACGCGACACCAAATACTCTAGCTGGTCATCTTTGTTGACCTGATGTTCCATCACAGCCTGCATTACTGCATCCGACAACTTCGCATCGCGCTCTCCATGCCCATCCTCCTCCTTCGCTAATGCAGGAGCTGGAGTTGCTGTAACCTCTCTTATTGCCGCCAGCAACTGCGCATCGCGTTCTCCATGCCCATCCTCCTCCTTCGCTAATGCAGGAGCTGGAGTTGCTGTAACCTCTCTTATTGTCGCCAGCAACTGCGCATCGCGTTCTCCATGCCCATCCTCCTCTCTCGCCAACACAGAAGGCGGAGTTGCTGTGACCTCCCTAATTGCCGCCAACAACTGCGCATCGCGCCCACTATGCGCGTTCTCTCTCGCTAACACAGGAGGCGGAGTTGCTGTAACCTCCCTAATTGCCGCCAACAACTGTAAATCGCGCCCACTATGCGCATCCTCCCTCGCCAATACAGGAGCTGGTGTTGCTGTGACCTCCCTAATTGCCGCCAGCAACTGCGCATCGCGCCCACCAGGCGCATCCTCCTCTCTCACCGACACAGGCGGCGGCGGAGCTGCCACAAGCTCCCTTATTGCCGCCTGCAACCGCGCATCGCGCTGACTACTACTCTCTTCGTTGTCGTTGCCGAAGGAGCTGGGCAACTCGATGCCAGGACGACGACGCTCTTCTTGCGAGCTGCTGCTGCTGCTGCTGTTTCCCGCACCGCCACCGTCGTCTCCTCTGACAACCGACGACGACGACGACGACGACGACGACGGGTTGCCGCCGTGAATGGTTCGTATGAGGAGGAGGAGGCTGCCGTGATGATGATTCCCGTCGCCGGGATGTTCTTGCAACTCCGTGTTTTCGGGCTGCTGCTGCTGCTGCTGTTGGGCAGATTCCTCCTCGCGCAGGGCTGCTACTGCTGCTGCTGCTGCTGGCGGAGGAGAAGGTGGTGGTGGCCGATGGGGCGGTTGAGGCGGTTGAGGTGGTGGTGCTGCGGCTTGGAGGCGGGGAGAGTCAGGTAGAGGGGTGACGACGGCCCTGGAGCGCGGGGTGGTTTCTGACGCAGGAGCCTGGGATGGTGGTGGGTGTCGAGGTTCATCGTCGTCGTCGTCGTCGGAAAGGATGGACACGCGGGAGCTGCTGCCGTTGGGTGTGTCTAGGATATGCTCGGGTTGGAGGACTTGGTGCCGCACCCCATCTATGGGAATGCCGATGTTCAAAGCTTCACTTTGAGTCGGGTTTTGGGTAGGCGGCCGTTGGTGCTCTTGTGTGTGAGTGACGACCAACGGTTGATCTCTCGGCTCAGGGGAGGTCTGCTCAGGGAACGTTGGCTCAGGATCGGCTGGCTCGGTATCGGTTTGCTCAGGATCGATTGTCTCAGGATCAGTTGGTTCCGGATCGGTCTGCTCAGGAGAGGTTGGCTCAGGAGAGGTTGGCTCAGGATCAGTTTGCTCAGGATCGGTCGGCTCGGGATCGGTTGGCTCAGGGGAGGTTGGCTCACGGAAGGTCGGCTCGCGGGAGGTTGGGTTCCGGGAGGTCGGCTCATTGCGGTTCGGATCATGGTAGATACAGTAGCGTATGCCATGTTGATGCCACCTTTTGCAACTAATCGCTATTCTACAAGGCCATCCTTGTCTAGTAGTGCCTCGACAGTGGTGGAGGGGAAGTGTCGAATCACTGCTACGTCTGTCTGCCATGTTTCTGATTATGAAAGGAATGGGGAATAGTAGAGGTTGGCAGTGGAGGTTGACAGCCGGTAGAAAAGTGGTTTACGGAAGGTTGTATTTGTTATAGTCCGGGGTTTGATAGAGTAAAACGTCAGGTTTGCTAGCGAGAAGTTGTACGGGCTTCGAGAACAGACCGTAGGACAAAGTAATAATAGTTATCAGAGCGTGACATGAAATCGATTGTCTAGAATATTCCTCCTTTCCTGCATGGAATGTTTCCTCTTTGCTGCTCAGAATGTTTCCTTTTTCCTGCTTGGAATGTTTCCTGTCTAGAAATTTCTATTCCCCTTCTTTATAAACGCGCCCTTAACCTCTATTCCACACCAAAGCAACCATGGACACCCTACCCACAGTTCAGTGTGCTTTTATCAAAGCGGAAGGTGAACAATGTCGAAAGAAGGTCAAAGATCGGTCCGGCTACTGCAATCACCATAGGGGAAAAGAACAAACCCAGATGTCAACACAAGAGACAGCCCAGGAGTCGGCGCTCGAGGAACTAGCGATGGCAGAGGACAGCGGAGACCTTCTACTCCCGCTTCGACCGGCAGTTGATGTGAACAGGACTGCTGAAGCGTCTACTGAGCAGATACAGCGTAGCACCCAGGCTGACTTGGAGGAGCTCGTGTCAGCGACAACTCAGCAGACACAGCGCGGCACCCAGGCTGACTTGGAGGAGCCCATGCCAGCGACAACTCAGCAGACACAGCGCGGCACCCAGGCTGACTTGGAGGAGCCCGTGTCAACGACAACTCCCACTCCTATTCAGCCATCAGACCAGAAAATGCAGACAGATGTCGCTCAAACCCCCCCCTCCATCAACGACAAAACGAAACTGCGCGTTTTCGAGCTCATTAAGCATCGCAATGTCGTTGAGCAGAAGCTCTTCGAGTGTTTCCAGCCACTGCTTAGTGACGGCAAGGCTTTTCTGGAGGAAATGGACAGGGTGAGGGAGATGGTGGAAAAGAACGGAGGATCGGTCATTTACATCGTCGACGAAACTACTAGAAGAAGGGCAGAAACCAACCCCAAGCTTGTGATGATTGTAAAGCTATGCCAAGAGTTGGACGTCCGCATGGCGGTTCTGACGAACGAAAAGGTCCTGTTGAGAAAGAAGAGTGAGTAGTCAAGACGGAATGTGGTGTGCGCTTGTGGTAGACCAAAGGGTCCTATTGGGAGGGAAGAGTGGGTGATCCAGGAACAAACGCGGTGTTCTCGATTGTACATAGATTCCGCAATGCCCTAATCAGCGGGCCACCGCATGAGGCGAAACCATCTTGTTTTTTTTCCCCCATCCACAACAATTTCTTGAGCAAACGACTTGATTCTTGTTCGCTACTGCCCACCACGCTGTGACGCCCTCAAATCTCCGCGAGGAAGAGACAAGGAAAAGAAAAAAAATGGCCAGGCGCGACGACATCATTCTCACCATGACCCACGGTGTCGATCAGCCTGCCACGCAGGCCCACCACCCACTGCTCCGCGATCCCTGCCCGATCTGTCTCGAACGCCTTGAGTACGAGACGCTCTGCATCATCCAATGTGGTGTGTACATGCCCCCCCCATCCATCCATCTATCAACAGTGAACTGACCAACCTTCCGCGGGCCACCTCTTCTGCCACGACTGCATCGCGACGGCCCTTCGGCACCAGCTGCGCGCACAGCCGGAGGCGATCGATGAGGACGATGATGATGTTGCGACCCTGGAGGTCATCCGGTGCCCCGTTTGCCGCTTCGCCGCCCCTCCCACCGCCGTCTATCCCGTGCCCCTCGACCGCGCCGGCGAGCCGTACGACCCGCGCCCCGTCCCCGGCGCCTTCGATCCCTTCATGCTCGCCGCCTGCGAGCAGGAGGCCACGGATGAGCAGGAGGAACAGACCCGCCTGGAGGAGGAGCTGAAAACCGCCCTCCAGCAGCAGCAGCAGCAGCAGCAGCAGCAGGAGGAGGAGGAGGAGACTGCCGGTGCTGTTGACGCTGCCGATGCCGACGACGACGAAGACCACGACCACGACGACCACGGACCTTTCGTGGCGGACTGCATTGTTGCCTACGACGCCCTGACGGACTCATGCACAGTCAGGTGGCTTGCGGTCGGCGGAGGCACCTTGGTAACGCAAGAACTGATGCCAGGCTTGGTTGCCGCTGCCAGAGTGGTCGCGGGTGGAGAGAGTTGGATCCTCGCAGAGTGAGGCGCTGCAGAGCTTGGTCCTTGATTCGGGAGGCATGGCCCTTGTGTCCGCTCGGAAAGAAATGTCTGTTTTTGCTTTGGATCTCTTGTTACACTACTAGAGACAGAGGAACATGCCTGTACTTGAACTGCCAAATAAAGAAGACTTCTCAGTCCACATTCTCCCCGCAACCGCTCCCCCCCTACCGCCCAATCGACCATCTTCCATTCCATGTCGTTCTTGGTCTCCATGTCTCACGGCCGATGCTGGTAGCAGGTGCCGTCGGCAAGCTTGGTCGTCCGCTTGCAGCGCTGGCCGTTAGCTAGGATGGTACTGCACTGCCGAGCTACCGGGGGCGTGTCGCGGCCATCCTGACTCTGGTCTCGATGTGGCTCGGCGGCGTTGGCACTGGCGTCACTGGCGTCACTGTTCCTGGCGTTGATACTGCCGTGACTATTCCAGAAGTTGGCACTGGTGTCACTGGCGTCACTGTTCCTGGCGTTGACACTGCCGTGACTGTTCCTGAAGTTGGCGTTGGCACTGGTGTAACTGTTCCTGGCGTTGACACTGGCGCCACTGACGACACTGGCATAACGGGCGACACTGTTCCTGGCGTTGGCGTTTGCGACTCCGTCATCGTCGGTGTCAACGACGTCCATGTTCGTTGCGGACTGGATCATGATGATGCTGACGGCTGCTCGCGTAACAATTGTTAGACCTCGGTGCGGTCGGACAGCAGGACGACGACCGGGGGCCGCTGCTCACCTTCGTTCAGATGACGGCCACAGAATAGACCACCCGGATTGGCGCGCTTGCGACACTGCGTACCGCGGGCAAGCGATCCGATACACCTAGGCTCCCCCTCGTTTCGGCGCGTTCGTCGCGCCCAAGCCTGACTGTGTTTAATATGGAAGAAAAGAGTTAAGGTGGACCAAGAAATCCAAACGAAGATGAACTTGATGGGGACATTTTCGAAGACATCTACAAACCACCTAAACAGGAGGTAAGCAGATGTAAGAAAATCAATCAGGTTCGGCATGATAGATGTGGAGGAATGAAAGCTGGCTAGGAAGGGAGGATGGGCTAATTAGAGAGGTTGGACTTTTGTTTACACAATAAAAGCTGGCGTGTAACGCGTTTGCAGATGAACCAGTACCCGCCAAGACGCTAAATTTTGTGAAACAAAGACAATTTAGCCTTAAAAATAATCATATTTAGAAGTAGTTTGTACTGGGGCTACGGATACCGGACCTCTACCCAAGGTAGACGGGTAAGGCCGGCTTAGGCATTGGGGAGAGAGGGATAACGGAAATTTGGGGCCCCTCCCGCAAGGAAAGACGACTCCCCAGAAACACGAGCATGAGTCTCTCTCTCTCCCAGCAAAACCTACATGACAAGGCTTGAGCACAGGCACTTACTGTGAAGTAAGATCAGCAACGCATTACTAGCTTTATCTGGGCACTTGTTCACGAGACGGCGGCAAGCACCATAGTTCTCTGTTATCCGTCATCAATCTTTCCGCCGTAACTCCGGGATAGCGGTTGTGGTGCCAGCAAACAGGGCGGCGCCTCAATGACCAACCTGAGAATTATCCAAAGATCCTTGAGAAGCCATCGTATCAACGGGGCATCCGCATGGCAGAGAGCGACCCACGAGTTCTCTATAGCCGAAAGCCGTTGAGGAAGAGGCTCAGCGTTGTTGATGGTGGTTGCGTGGCCCTCGGCCTGGGATTCAAGGACGAGCAGGCGCTGCTCAATGGCAAAGAGGCGGTCGAGGATGTAGCCGTGGCAGGGCGAGCTCGGAGACGAGAAGCAGGTTCGAGGAGGTTGCGGCGGAGTTTTCACGCGAGGCTCGTCCTATTCAAGTAAGCAGCCAAGAGAAGGACCACTGCGAATGTTGATTTGCTTTTCCCGGCGGACAAAGACGCGCCAGCAGAGACAGGTATCACACTCGGGACGGGCGGCACTGCACCAGTTGTGGCAGCCTCGGCATTATTTCCCGTCGGACCAACGGCGCCTGGATGCCTTTCCCGTCCCTCCCCTCGTAGAACGTTTCGAAGGCGTGTTCGCAACACGGGGTCCGATCCTTCTCGGCCCAGCATTGAGAGCCGATCCATTCGCGCGTCGTTCTCTGCAGCCAAAATCGTCAACGTTCCAGCTTTGAATACTGACCTGAAGCACGCCAACAGATTACCACCGGCTCTGCTCCCCGAGGTAGGCTGGTAATGCTCGCTGGGCCAACAATGGTGGGGTTCTGCTTCAGCTGGACCCTCATCCTGACGACGTCGTATGCTGCGCACTTGGCGGCCCACGATGGCCGCACGGGTTCCGGTATCGTCGCCGCGCCGGATTCGGTTTTGATGTGGCGAATATGGCGGGGATCGACCAAGGCAAACAAGGCTGTGGGTGGTTGACTGACTTGGAGGGGGATGCGAATGCGAAACCGGAAAGCAGCGGTCTTGGTGGGGTTATCAAGGCCCAGAAAAAAAGAGTCGCCGGACGCGCGAGAGGCAGAAAGGTGTGGACAGATCCGCCTCGGTCCACGAGAGCACCACCGGAACGTCGTTCGCGACGTATCGATCGCGGGAGCTCGCGCTTGCTGCCACGGCGAGTGTCTGCAAAACCTGTGTCAGCACATGCACACGCAGAGCGGGCCCAACCGTCCGGCAGTGTCGCATTGCCATGAGCCCATTCCATGCGCGACCGCGACGCGTCTTTCGGCGTCCGAGGGCAGGATGGCCTGCTCTTGGTCTCCGCCGCCATGCTGTCCGTGAAGCCCCGACGGCCCGCTACCTAGCCCTTCACCCGTCCGTGCTTTGCGAGCAGTCCTGACTCTGTATGGCATGGTGTGGCGATGGACAAGAGTGGTCGTCCCGGAGGCTGTGCGCAGCGCGTGATGCCGCGATGACGATGGATGCTGTCGGCGGTTTGACGATGCGATGAGGTGGGCTGGGTTGGGCCTATGGTAGCAGGAGTGTCGGGCGGGCATGCCGTGAGCTGATGGACGTCCTCGCAGCGGTTCTTGCGGAGCGACGGGTGTTGCATCATCGCGGCAGCTGGAGTTCCTGGGGTCCGGCACGGCGCTAAGCCAGATTAACCGTCCGGACAACACCCGAAACTTCAGCGACCTTCACCAACGTCATGATGCCTGGCGATGCCGCGGTGGTCGTTGCTCCTCCGCTCGTCGCAGAACCTCTTGCCCATTTTGCCCCACCAGAGACTCCCGGGGCGTGCGCAGTTGAATTGCGTCCCTACGGGTGGTGTTTGGGTATTCTTGATTCTCAGCTTCCGCCTCTCCCGACTGACGACGAAATCGAGCAGAAATAATGACACCATGCCGCTGCCGTCGTTATATGTCGACCCAGATTACTAACTTATATCGACCCCTCAACTCTCCCGCATGCTCTGCCTCTCGCCACTGGAACCACTCGTGCGCCGCGCTCCCCGTCTCTTCATTCCAACACCCTCTCATCCGCTGTCCCGGAGAGTATGGCGCCAGGGAGCAGATAATACGCAGTGCGCGATGGCGGGGATGCGGTGGGCCGTCCAGAGCAGCGGCAGGATATGCGCGGGCAGCTAGGCATCGTTGACGGCGTTGGTTTTTTAGCACTTCCTACCTGCCCCCCCTGCCGCAGCCCGTCTCCTGCCCGCCCGCGGCGCGCTCCTCCCATCAAAAACACCCATCATGATCCTTCGCTACTGGTTTTTTGACCGCAACGCGACCACAGCACAAGCCCGCGCCTGACCCCATTGATAACATTCTCACGTAGTACCGGTGGCGGTGAAGGTTTGATCTTCGGATCTTGGGAGAGCAGTCGTCCGTTTTTGTAGAGAGGATAGTCTGAAATCGTCGCTGCGGGCTCCAGTGCGGCATTTCCGCCTTGGTGGAGGTTGGGTCCATGGAATGCGCCCGTGTGCCTCGCGCTCAGCAAATGTAGTGGCTAGAGCTTCTGCCGACATCTGCTTTCATGCCCCAAAAAAGATGGTCACCCCCTGCGCCCGCAAGCCCAAATTGCCATCCGTCAGTCTCCATGCCGCGGACAAGGTCTCGCCCCGCCCACCCCGCCTCACTGATTCCAGCCTACCCGCCGGCCTAACTGTGTGTCGGAGCTCGAGCCGCGTAACTTGCGGCAGACGCTGCGCGAGTACGACAAACCCAGAGTTTCCGCCGCCTGATCGCGGTCCTGCGGGGTGCGCAGCTGCCGTCGCTGGAACATTGCCGCCGCCGCTTTTGACGCACTCTTCGATGACAACCCCACACTATCTGTCCGCTTCCTGGAGGAGCTGGTCAAGATTGTTGCTACCGTCGGCCCGACTTCGACACCACGCTACCTTGCCAGCCCGAACGCATTTTCGGCGACGGGATCGCAAAGCGGCAGCAAAACTCGCAGACGGCAATTCTTCGCCACAGACTCGCCCGCCGCCATCGCGGCTGTTGAAGTAAACCGCGTCGCGGTCTCTTGTTTTTGTCGTTGGTGCTGCCGCTGCTTCTGCTACTGTCCCTCTCCGCAGCACGATGCAAAAGTGCCTGACGACCAGAATCCGCAGCAATCCGACGAAGCCTTCCATCGGCATTTACACGTTCATCTGTCACAGCACTTCAACAACGCACCCTTATCACACAGTCCGGCGCCGCCCTCTCGCAAACATCTGACCACAAATCCCCCCCGGCAATACAGCCGAAGCCGAAGATCCCCACCATCACGCGAGAGAAGCGTGGAGCACGCCCACGGACTGTTACTTGATAATGTGGACGACTCAAAGTCGTTCGTAGACACCGACATCAGCTTCAATGAATTCCGAATGGAGTCTCCACCGTGCAGCCATGTTTCAAGACCTATCTCTGCCCCATAGCCTCGGCGTGAGTTGGGCTTTCCAGGAACGCATGACCCCTCAACAGACAGACGACCGGGATTGCGCCACCGTCGCCCTTGCCACTGCCTTTTGCCCAGTCGTGTGGACGGGAGCGCCGCAAGTCATTGATGGCGACGCGTGGAGAAAGGCATGAGCGCAGGATATCATGGGCGACGAGTTGGCGGACCAGGATGGTGGTGCCGAACCACGGGATGGCTTCGGACGAATGTTGGGGAGAGCGTTTCCATGGCTTGTGTGTGTACGTCTCGTGCCGTTCTCCACCGCATCGTTCACACGCTCATCCTGCCCCAACAGCCAGTGAAACTAACGCCTGGTTACGTCGAGGCAGCCATCCGGTCCATCAGCGCGATTTTAACCTCCGCGCTCGAATGACGCAGCAGTATAACAAGCTTTCAGCACTGCTAGAACCCCTACGTTGAACCATCCCAAGCGTAGAGGAGCTCTCCAGATCCAGTGTGATATCGATGCTGTTGACAACATGCTAACGGCTACAGTGACCTTGGTTTGCGCAAAAATCTGAAGGGGTTTGGCGAGTTAGTAGTTGGTACAGGGTTGCAGAAGCTGGGCTCATGGGTTCTCCGGCTGGATACGGGACGCGAGTGTAATGCGCTTACAAAAAAGGTCGGAAGTGCATGAGGCGATGCTGGCTGAGCGCATCATGCAGTTGCAGAGCTTAGTAATGAAAAGAAACTTTTTCCAAAGAGCCAGCCCATGGAGTCATATTCCTATGAGCCTATACGAGCTTCCATGTGCATGAGCGCCCCCAGAAGGACGTTCTGAGCCTCGCCACCAGACGATACGTAGCGGCCGCCGATCTCACAGAGCGGGATGTCATTGAGGGAGGCGGGGTGTCGAACGAGGGGGTAATGTGACCGCGCTTGTCCAAGAGCATCTCTCACAATGCTCTTGTCGTCAAATAGCTCCACCGCCCAGGCCCTCATTGTAGTATGACCAGCCGTACGAGGGCATCCAGTTCGCCTGAATTAGCTACAACAGCGTCCAGGAGCTCACGAGGCTCCTTGAAAACTACGTGGTGGCCAGTAGCATTGTTTGCCAATGTCTATTCGATTAGGCGGGCAAGAAAACGAGCAGGATCGATTATTGGAACCGACGGACTGGCAGCAGCACGACCTGGCCACGTTTTTGGGTCGCTTTCTTTTTCTTTTCTCAGCATTGGGCCGTATTGAAGGCACACCGCTAAATGTGCGCAGCAACATGTTTCCATTGTCATCTACCTCCCAGCTACAAAGAATACTTGATGCTATAAGGGCCGTGAAATATCGAACCACCGCGAGATGAAACGTATGTATAAAATTAAATAAGCAAAAATTCGAAAAAAAAAAAGAGGTGGGTACACATTTCGCTATCTATACATTGAGAGGCATAACGATAACAAAACACTGATAAAGCATAACAAGCGGCGTGTCGTGTATGACTATTAGGAGCGAGTCAGTGTGTAGCAAGCCGAAGAAACTCAAGTCGTCGTATCTGGACGAGAGGCGGATTGCTCTGTTTTCTAGACATTGGGCGCAAGTGAAGCTTTAATCAGAGCTCGGGGCTGGCCTGCAGCTGGGAAGCACATTTCTGGGCAGCAGCAGTTGCAGATGCAGCGGCGTCCGCATCGCTGCGGGCACCCGGCTGGGAGAAGGCCTCCTTATCATCTGCAGTGACGTACGTAACAAGCTGATGCTCAAGCGTGGGAAGGGCGGCATCGTCAGAATATTCGAAAGTTCCAGGAGTCTGAGTGCCGATTCGTAGGGTTCTGTGAGCTTCTGACTGGGAGACCGTTAGGTGAGTATTTGGGATCGTCGGTTCTTGGGGCCTATCTTCGCCAGAAGATGGTATGGTGACCTGAGGACTCTGAGTATCACTCTGCAAGGTTTCTGGGATCTCTGCCTTCTCCTGGCGCCCAGAGGAAGCTAGCGGAAACATAGGCGGACTCGATGGTGGCCCCCCAAAGCTCCAGGAAGGTAGTGGAGGTGGGAGTGGAGGAGGTACTTGACGGCTTGCGCTTTCACGTCGAAGTTGGTCGACGTCTTCGCTTGGCTGCCTTGAGCCTACGCCATACACAGTCACTTGATATCCCCGGCTGCGTAGATCGACGGCGTCATCGGCGGGAGAGCCGATCCGGATACTCTCCTTGTCGAAACCACCAGACTCACTTGAGTCCACCATCGTTGAGCTAGACTCAGCATGGCGAACAACGCCGCGTTCTTTGTACACCCGTATCGTAGACTTGGTTCTCCGGAAATGCGCTTCGACCGCCGGGAAGAGCGGTATAAGTAGGCTCGATTCCTTCACCACGGCCATTGCACGCTGAATGGTCTCCTGCATCGAGGATGGAGGCTCCTCTGGGAAGCGAGGTGTACTCCCGCGCACAGTGCTAGAGGGTCGATCTGCCACCTGGCCAGCGATGTCAGGGTGCTGCGGTGCCTTGCTCAATAGTGAGATTCCCCAGTCAATCACGGGGTCGTAGTGGAAAAGCATGAGGCCTTACCGAGTCTTGAACCTCCTCCCTCTCCACGTTCCTCTTTCGTTTTGACATGACGGTGTCCGGTGGATGCTGAGACCACTAGCCCCGTGATGGTTGTGGACGTGGTTGACGATCCAGTCAATGCGGGGTTGCAGCGTATCGCGTTGTGCTGGGGGTTAACAGGCGAGCACGGGGAGTGTTGAGGGAGGGAAGATGGCGAGGCAGCGCGGAAAGTGGCGGACTCCAGGAAGAAGAAGGCGCGCGCCTTCGGTATAAGTCACCGCCCCCGCTGAATTCGGAAGCCACCGCACCCCGGTCGCTGAGGCAGGCCCAGACTTCAAAGCACGGCAGACTTGTGTGGCAACTGTGACAAAAACTCTCCTCCCATCCGGCCGAACGGGCACGCGGATTCCGACATTGCCGTCTGTGAAGAGCGTTGCTGGAGAAGTGCACTGCTGCGCGACTCAACTGGATGATTGCTGTCGAGAGTTGAGGCGTTGTCAAGCAGATGCGGATTAATCTGGTAGTCCTTGGCGCGAACAGGGAGCGGACGGGGCCGAGTGTGGACGCACCAGAGAGATTACTATAGTCACGCCAGGGACAGCTAGAAAACTGCAGTATAAATAAAACTACAAGCTCTACGGTGCCTTTTTCAGTGACTACGATAATCTTAATTGATTTCCCAGCTTCGTGCGGGAGGTACGGGCCCAGGAGGCCCGTGCCCTTAACTTCTACCCTTGCCGCATTGGTAGAAGTTCAATATTCTACCCCCCTTTTCGGGTAGATCTTCAATGTTCTACCAATTTGGCAAGGGTAGAAGCTAAGCACTGACTTGGGCAAGTAGAAGCTCGGCTCGGCTTGCGGAGGCTCACTCCTCCCACTTTGCAGACCACCACATCCATGTCGCCATCTCCAACGACCCCGCGTCAGCCACCAAGGCTGCCCTCCGCCGACGTACACGCATCGTCGCCGCGTCGTTCCTCGCCACCTAGAGATAGCGCCTCCGCCGTCGTGCGCACTGCAGTGCCGTCGCCAGTCTCCAGATTTGAAGATACAGTCAGGAGGGGTTGCAAGACATCGCTCCAGGCTTACAACAAAATTTCCAACGAGTACAGCAAAGCCCACAACGATGCTAACATCGACGATATCCTGTCGCAGGACGTGCTTACTTTGTTGCGGGCGCTGCAAGCAGAGGTGGCGCAACCGCAGTCGGAAGCCGCCAAGCTCAAGGCCCGTCTTGCGCGGCGGTGGAAGACCAGCGTGGCCGACATCGACGCAACTTTCAGCGCCACCACATCCCAGCATTTTCTGAAGCATGTCTGTGCCATTGCGCAGCTCATCGATTTGCGCACCGCCCTCCCGCTGCTGCAACAGGAGCGCGACCAGCGCCAATCCGGTTCTGCGAGCCATCGCGGCCTGAAACGTACACGCGACTGGACACCACAGGACGCCGATCGCGTGTTGAAACGACTCCGAGAAGAGAAAGACACGGCTGTGGATGATGGCGATGAAAACAGTGAGAGAGAGATCGAGGGTGTGCGCCGCGCACAGGACCCGCTACCTGACGATTTGGACGAGCTTAGCGACGATGATTTCTTCGCTCCTGAGTCACTGTCACCCTCGCCGTCACCGTCGCCCTCAGCGTCACCATACATCTTCGCCCCCCCGGAGTCCAAGCTTCTGCAAAACCACGCCCGAAAGAGGCGCCATCTTTCTCCAATCACCGAGGAGCCAACGCCGCTTCTCACGAGGTCCCTTCACTCTTCACAGTTCCTCCAGTCTCCACTGACCTTCGAGAATCACCATTCCACGGCCGAGCCTCCGCTCGCGACGCCCGGATTGACGCAAAGCTCGCAAGACTCAGACATACCAGACAACAAAAGCCCGCAGTTTCCGGTGGCCTCTGCTCCGCCTGACCGTCCTATGGCATCCGCGGTTGAAGAAGACGGTTCAGTACACGCTGTAGATGTCGACGGACCTGCTGTGCTCTCCGACGACGAAGTACCCACTCTAGACATCGACAGACCCGCCATACTCTCCGACGACGATAGGGCGCATGCCCTTGCCAGCCTCCGCCCCAAGACCAAGCTGAACAGCGTCGCTGTCAACCATGCGCTTGAATTCGTCGTAGCTTCGCAACAGGAATGGGCGTGGATTGATTCCATGCACCCAGCTGGTCTGAGCGATGAGCTCGCCCGCGAACAGAATGCAAGCTCGTTCGTTCACGCTGTCCACCTTGCCCCCAGCCATTGGGCGCTCGCCGTTGTCAATTCGCTTACCAAGGACCTCTTCATCCTGAACTCGTACCGTTCTCTGTCTCAAGCAGTCATCCAGCAAGTCGAAGCAACCGTGGCCGATAAACTCGACGTTTCGGAGCGTCTCTGCCCACAGCAACCCAACGACTACGACTGTGGTGTTTATACGGTCGCATTTGCCTTCTATGCAGTCGCCGCTCGGCCTCTCCCTGGCACAATAGCTTCAAGATTCTGGAGGCGATGCTTGGAGGTTCTCGTGTCCGGCAACGCTCCAGCTGAGGATGACGGCGACTACGGCACCGTCTCCATCCCAGCACTCACCATTGGCGACAGTGGATCCTTCTGTAATGTCATCCCTTTCTCCCCTAGTGCAGCCTTTGCTTACTCGCGCAGATCCGAGAGTCTTTACAAACGTGAATGGGCTACTCACTGCTCACTCGGCTTGGAATGATCATGTCCAAACTACGATTCGGAAATATACAGCCGAACTCGACATTGCTATATGCAACACGAACACGCTGTTAACGAATGCCAAGGACCTGGACGTCATCCTCACCTACCTTGACCGCAAGTGCATCAGCATTGATGAAATCGTCCGTGAGATAGACGGAATCTCGGCGTCTCTCGATGCAATCACGACCTTGAACAGCAGCAGCAACTTCTCGGATCGCCACAATCGCCTCAATGGGGAACTGATCATTGAAAAAAATCATCTCATAACAACGAGGCGGCGCTGGAACCGAAAGCTCACCCGAGCGAGGGATTTTAAGAACAAGATCGGCCCACTTCGTTCCTGGGTGGCGCATGTCAAAGAAAGAGAACGACGGAAACTGATGGAACTCAAGGCATCCCGTACTCAAGCGGCAGCGGCCTAACGCATGTTTGCTTCCTTTCCAAGTCGTGTCTCCATGGTAGGGGCTCCACTACAATCTCTCCTTGACCCCTCCGGGAAACCCTCTCGTTCTAATGGCCACTGGCTTCGTTTGGTTCCTCCTATGCAGCTTCATCTGAAACACACTGCTAGCCACCTGCTCTCGGCTATCCTGACTACTCTCGCATTGATGGCAGTACATGTCTGTTAAAGCGATCGGCGTTGATCCATGGCTAATCTAGCTGCTTGCTCGTCCTTTAATGTTGAAGGCGCTTGATGGTTTGCTGCGTGCCACGGGCCAACGATGCCCACAGGTACGCTCAGGAGTCGATTTCTTAGCTTGCGTGCTAGACTATGATGCCCGGGAAGACGGTGGCCAGCGGGATGGCAACTAGTAGAGCAGGTTGCATGTACCAGTGATGGGGGATGAATGGTCCCGAGACCATGCAGAGGCCCACCAGCGTTCCGAACGGAGGAGTACCAGTGACTTGGGAACCCGCAAGAGCATACTCTTTGAACTCCGAGTCTTTCATACTTCAGAGCTGCCTCGTTAATGGTATTGCTCATGCAGAATAGTATAACCGCCGTCTTTCAATAGAGCCACAATAAACGAGACCGTGTGCACAATGCCGAGGAAGAGGCACATGAATGACGCGTACCGATGATACACGTTGAGTTTCTCATGGCTTATTCCTGTCAGTATAGTTACAAGATCTATCTTTCCCGCCAGAGCTACAATGATGGGCATTAAAGCAGGAGCCATCAGTACGGTATTCGGGCGAAGGTGAGCAGGAGTAGAGAGACTCGCGAGGACAATGAAGGCGAGTGTACTACATGTCGGGAAGGCGAGACTGTTTGCACCTGGACCACTCAGCCTCCGGTATCCAATAGCCCTCCATACTACTCCAACAATAGTTAACGATTAGTAAGATTTTATCTAATTTCATAGAAATTCTTAGCAATAAAGACTAGTAAATAAAGAAAGTAATCCAATTATTTATCAGAAGTAGGAGCCTAACGCCCTCTATAACGATATTTTTGCTAGGCACTACTTTATACATAAATCCATCCACATGGACTTCAAGTAGGCGACCCCCCCTTGCCATGCAGGCCTTTGCGTCGTGGATGAACCCAAGTAAACGTTGCCAATGAAGTTACAAGTCCGATGGTCCTCGCCTGGTACCTTGTCTCTGAGTAGCACAGCGACACCTTCCCCCAACCAATTCCTCCCTCGTGGTAGCTGGTTCGGATTTTTGTATTCCGACTGCATAGCCCGGAAGATGACGGCGTTGAATGACTGCACGACAGGCGTGGTATTCGTGTCATCCCAGCCCCAGATCTCTACCCTCTCGCCGTCATCGGTATGACACATAGCGGTGAGGCGTGGAACCAGTGGCCGCGGGTCCCCACTTAGGCAGAGCACGAAGTACCGCCCGAGAAGGCCGTCCTCGGTGCATAAAGCATCGGATTCCCCATTGGTCTCCCCAAACATCGCTGTCCGCGTCAGGAGGGTAGCTGGCGCCCATCGAAAGCCGGGGGCTGAGAGCCGCGGGCCACCATGGAAGATGACATGGGGCCGTATACGACGGATCATGAGGAAGAATGCGCGCATGCGGGCCTCGGCGCCTTCGATGGAGATCAACCTGTCGGAGTCGAGGTCGAAGAGGGCGGCAATGGCGATGGTTTCGTCCGTCGCCCTGCTTGTCGAGCGCCAACTGAGCGCACTCGCGGGTTCACCGAAGCTAACTCCGGTTTTCGAACCTGTGGATCGGATAACCATCATATCGTTTGTAAAGGACCATAAAACCACTGTGTTAGTAAAACGCGTCTCTATTTCCTTTGCTTCACCAAGTGCCGAGCGAATCTCGATCAATTGCCCTTCTGCCGCCTGCATGAAGATCTTAGCTGCCAGATAGCCTTCCTGGAATGTCCACAGACGCTGGGCCCAGGAGGACGACAAGATCGCCCAGTACCTATCTACCAGCTTTGCGTTCTTCGGAGTCTTGGCGATAGTCTTGTCCATGACCAGCACGGCCGCCGCGTTTTGATAAACCTTTCTCATGGTACCGATGGCTTTCTTTCGTTGGCTTTCCGCGGCTGGGATGCACAGTGAGTCCATCCAGAGTATAGTGTCGCCGCCTTCCGTGAGACTTGCGACAGACTCGGAAAGCCGAATAACTTGGCAAGAAGGTAGACCGTTCTCGGAAGTGCTACCCAGACCGTCGACCCACACGTGTGATATCGCCACGAAGCGTACTGTTTCTGGGCTGTGCGGGTCATGTGCCGCAACGTCCAACTTTACCTCGTCCCCTGCACGAGTAACCCTCATCACTGGGATCTTGCCGTTGTCGATGGTGTCCAGCACGGCGTCAAGATTGGGTTTGACAAATGGACACGCGCAGTACTGAGAACGATGTTCAATCTTGTATGTCGACTTGTCAATATTGTTCCTGGAGGAATACCAGAGTCAGTGAACTGAAGTAATATGGTGACTGTGATATTTACCTGACGCATTCAAGACTGGTACAGTGGTCATGCCCCGAAGACGGGGATCGCTTTCCCGACCCATACAGCCAATCTAATATGGACTGCGCTGTCTGTTGGTACTGCGTGAGCAAGAAAGGACACCATCCCCTCCGAAGCAAGCGCTTCCGGCGAGCTTCCTCATAAGGCGGGTATCGGCTGCACTGCAAGTAACGGTCGTGAAATTCATCCAAAAAAGCGTCGGCTCGGGCGTGGAGGACTGGGTGAATGTCAATCTAGTCTTGTATACCATAAAAGTGTAGCATAGTGACTTACGAGCATCACGAAGCCGAATCACTGATGGCAGGAAGTGGGCAATTGCTCCAACAAGTTCCGAAAAGGGTGAGTTGGGGAACAGTGAAACAGTGCGGGCAAATTCCATAACCAATTCAATTGCTTCCCCAACTTGGTTAAGTGCGTCCTCCGATGCTCTCGTTAGTTTTTTTTTCCGTTCCAAATCATCCTTGGATTCCGCCAAGGCCTTGAATATCATGAGAATGAAGTTAAGGTTTCCGGTATGGATGTACTGATACCCCGTCGCGGGATCGCGGCGTAGAAGATACGAAGTGTGGATCGGTATCCAGACGAAGGATTCGATGAAGCCAAAGTAGAGCCAACTCTGGAGGAACGCTGCCACCCTCTGGCTCATGAGTTGGCAGGTCATGCCCGGTACTTGCAGGCTCGGATGCGAACGAGCTAGATGTCCTCCTGCTTTGTCGAAGATTGGGGCCAGGTCCCAGCCGCGTTTTTTGGCGTAGCCCCAGAAAGGCTGTGGTTTGTGGGGTTCTCCGTTGTTCAAGGGCGCGCCGGCGTCGTGGTCGTATCCGAACCATCTTGTAAAAGGCTTTACAGGTGGTACAAGGGTCAGCTTGGATTGTGGGTCAGTCTCTTTGAGTGGCAAATCTTTAAGGGCGCCCAGTATTTTCTCCTGCCCAACATCTAGACTAACATCTAGGAACAAATGTTCCATGGTCGATCGCGGTTGGCCAATTTGAACAGAACGGAGAAGTAAATTCGCTGATGGCAGGCGGTATATCGGCGATCGAATGGGGTATAAATGAGACGATTTGGAGAGGAAGAAGAGTAAGGCTAACAAAATAGACAAGGCAGAAAGCAAGGCGGAATCCGATTCAGCCCGCGTGTGGCTGATGAGGTGGCGGTGACTATGGAGCGGTGGATCTACCTGCAGCGCTATTCCTGTTCGGTTGCGACAGCGATGTTCCTATTCTCGTTATCTTGTCCCCACCCTCGGATCATCGTCCAATTACATGCGTGCCACGCTGCTGCCTAGCCACCACGTCATTGGCAAGCCCGTTTTGTTGCGGGGCACAATTCTTGTTGTCATGTTGAGTGTGGCTTTGCTTCGTCTGCCACAGGCAGCCATGTCGGCAACGTCTGCCCACAGCCAATCAGTACCAGATACGAGGAGGTTTCTAAACCAGTTTTCAAAGCATCTTGCTAAAGCGCGGTCAAGCGATCTAAGACTGAATGATGCGCTGGCATCATGTAGAGCTGAGCCTCGCAGTGATGGTGTGTGGGAAACCTTTTAATGTCGCACAATTAGCAACAATCCTGCAGTCCATCTTCATTCCCCTTCCCACGCTGCAATTGTGAACACAATGATGGCTTCCGCTTACCCACACGCCTACATACCATCAAGCCACCAAATTCGTCCAGACTCAAGCCTGAATACCTCGCCAGCAGCGCCTCAGCCGACCCTCACCTCGTACCCCAGCCAGAAATACGGTTTACCTATCCATCCATTGTCTCCCGACGATACAGGCTCTTCAAGCACTATGGAGCCTGGGCAATTAACCCCCTCTTCTCGGTCTCGTAGCTCATCAGGTAGCAGTGAGGACTTTTGTTTGGAAAGATTGTTCGCGCTCGAGGCAAGTAGCTTGAATGACCCAACACGTACACCACGCCCACGGCAATTTCAGAATTCGAAGTCTCCAGCTACAGAGGAGTGGAAACGACAGAAGCGCGAAGAGGGCGCCGAAAATGAGATCATCGACCAGATCATGGCGCTTGTAGGCCTGGAAAAAGTCAAGCGGCAGGTTCTTGCCATCAAGGACAAGGTCGAGATTTGCAAGAAGCAGGAGACGGATCTTAAGAAGGAACGGTTCAACATTATTTTTCAAGGAAATCCGGGAACAGGTAAGACGTTATTTATTTTTTGTCTTTTTTATCCATCCACTAACCGTGTGGGGTGCTTACGCATGTAAAAGGGAAAACAACCGTCGCCCGTCTCTACGCAAAGTTTCTCCACTCAGTTGGCGTCTTGGAGTCTGACCAGGTGAAAGAGACGTCTGGCAGCAAACTGGCTTCTAAGGGATCTAGAGGAACCAAACGTATGCTAAAGAAGATGATGGGCTACTACTCAGGTGGTGTCCTCTTCATCGACGAGGCCTACCAGCTCGTTACCTCTACCTCAGGGCGTCAGGCACTGGATATCCTTCTCACAATGATGGAAAACAATGTTGGGAGGCTAGCCGTTATCTTCGCCGGCTACCATGACGATATGGAGCCCCTTTTTGAGCATAATCCTGGACTTCTCAGCAGGATCCCATACACGCTACAGTTCGACGACTTTAGCGATCCTGAGCTATGGCGCGTGCTATGCGACAAGATTGAAGATAGGTACGGTGGGAGAATGCGAGTTGAAGAGGGGATAGAAGGACTCTGGATACACGTTGCGATCCGCAGGCTTGCACGGAGCCGTAAGAGCAAGGGGTTTGGGAATGCCCGCTCCGTTGAGAACCTCCTAGCGGCAATAGCGGAGCGCCAAACAACCCGCATCAAAGTAGAGTATAGGAAGGGCGAGGAACCAGACCTCCATTACTTTACGAAAGAAGATCTGATCGGGCCAGATCCCACCAAGGTGGACTTTACGTCCCGTGCTTGGACGCAGTTACAAGAGATGATTGGACTGGACTCGGTGAAGGCCTCGATAAAAGCGACGATCGAGATGATCAAGAGGAACTACGGCCGAGAGCTACGCGAGGAAAAGCCACTACAGGTATCCCTAAACCAGGTATTTGTCGGATCGCCTGGGACGGGAAAGACTACAGTGGCGAAGCTGTACGGTCAAATTCTGGCCGAACTCGGCCTGCTTAGCAAGGGCGATGGTAACTATATCTTTTATAACTATCTTGAACAGGCATAACTAACCCTCTACCGCGCCAGTCGTTCTTAAAAATCCATCCGATTTCATCGGCGATGCGGTCGGAAAATCAGAGGCTAAGACACGAGGCATTCTCGCCGCCACAGTCGGCAAGGTGCTCATTATCGACGAAGCGTACATGCTAGACACGGGCAGTGACGCCGCCGCAGGGAGGCAGGCAGACCCATACCGGGAAGGTGTTATCAACACGATTGTAGCCGAGGTCCAGGGAAACCTGGGAGAAGACCGCTGCATCATCCTCACCGGCTACGAGGATAGGATGAAGGCACTGTTCCGCAACACCAACCCGGGACTCGCGCGCCGCTTTCCTATCGAACGCGCTTTCCGCTTCGAGAACTTCGATATCGACCAACTAATGCAGGTAATGCGACTTAAGATGCACCAGCAGGACATCCGCGCGACGGATAGGGCACTGGCCGTCGCGCGCGGTGTTCTGGAAAGAGCCTTGATGCGCCCGTCCTTTTCTAATGGCGGCGAGGTTGAGCGATGTCTGGCAGACGCCAAATCCAACCATGAGGCCCGGCAGGCGAAGAGGCCGGAAAGCGAGCAAGAAGCCGGAACGCTGCTTGAGGCCGAAGACTTTGATCTTGAGTGCGGGCGGCTGGTAGACGATGCGAAGAGTAGCTGTAGGGACATTCTCGGGGGCCTCGTGGATGAGTCCATTATCGAAACGCTGGAGGAGTACCAGCGCCTTTGGCGCGTAGCGAAGCAACGCGGTTGCGACGCCCGCAAGCTTGTTCCCACCAGACTTCTCTTCAAGGGCGGCCCAGGTACGTGTTCCCATCAGTCCCGATCCCGCCCACGCGCCACTGACCACCACAACACCCCATAGGCACCGGAAAGACGACCGTTGCACGAACTCTGGGGAGACTATTCTACAACATGGGCTTGCTAGCCACCGACGAGGTTGTCGAGTGCTCCGTCACAGACATGATCGGGCAGTATGTTGGGCAGACAGCGCCAAAGGCACGCGAGCAACTGCGCAAAGGCCTGGGGAAAGTCCTGCTCATCGACGAAGTGCACCATATTGGCGGCGTCGGTGGTTACGGCGCCGAGGCTCTCAAAGAGATCGTCGCTTTCCTCAACAATCCGTGGCATCGCGATCGCCTGGTCGTCGTTCTCATCGGCCTCCCAAAACACATTGATCTTCTTATGGCCGTCGTGCCTTCGTTGTCCGGCCACTTCCCCGACGAGCTCCTCTTTCCGGACCTCACGCCTCAAGCCTGCATCGACTTACTCGCTCGCGAACTTGCGCACCAGCGAATCATTCCTCATCCGGATCCGGCTTTGCTGCTGTCCGACGACGAGCGCGAGACACGGTGGGACGGAGGGCTGAAAGAGCGAGGCCTGAAACATTACCTACACGCCATGTGTCGGGTCCCCATGTGGGGCAACGCCCGCGACGTCCAGACGCTAGCGGACAGAATCGCGCGCAGGCACATGCTTAGTGGTGGAATCGGAGCAGAGAGCGCCGAGGCTCTGCCACTCTCCCCGGAAACTGTACGCCGGTGCGCCGAGGATCTGCTCGCGACGCTGACAGGGCGGTGGACTGCCAGCATGGACGCTAGTATGGCGAGCGCCAAGGGCGAGCAGCAGGTGCAGGCGGACACTTTTAGCGCCCCGCAGCCACCTACGACGTCCATGTTGCAGGACATAAAGGAGGAGTATTTTTCCGACGAGGACGAGGATGAGGCCGCAGACGTGGACGAGAGCCAAGACGTAGATACGCAAGCGTTGCTGCGGCAAATGGGCGTCTGCGAGGCAGGGTACGCATGGAGGAGAGAAGGTGCCGGGTGGCGCTGCGAGGGGGGATCGCACTACGTCGACGATACACAACTGGCAAATTTCGCTGGTAGGCAGTAGGTGGTAGCAACGGAGCGAACTTTTTTATATTTAGAGTGTGAGTGAAGAGCTGTAATAAAATATCCTTCTGGGCGTAGAACTCAAGGGGCTTAACTAAAAGACTTGAATCTTATATAGCCGTATAGAATTTAGATTATATGGGGAAAAATTGTTAGATAGGTTAGAGTCGGACCGTAGCGTATTTACCGTGCTATATTCAGAGTAGGATACTCGAATCAAACTAAAACTCTAAAAGATTATATAGCCCGTCTTTAAGACTACCTTTTCTTAAGAATGCTTTTAAATCCAACTACTAGAGTATGGAAAGAACGGGATGATCAAGAAAACCGCAACCTCCAGCGTGATATCCCAAGGTTGGTCCGTGGAGTGGATTATCAGCCCTAGCTAGCGATAGGACCAGCTCTAGAAAAGCAAAGTTTCCGGATCCTCCCTACCTTAATAATAACTCCGAGGAGGAGGAATATGGAACGAAGGGGCGCTTGGCTATGGATTATTCCGACAAGGGGAAGCCCAACATTATTATTGTTATTTATTAGTATACACCCAAGCTTCAGCCGGCTTACTTAATTCAGCCCGTCCCTTCCACTCATTTGCGTGGTCGTCAAGCTGGAGTCAACGCTGCACCCAATCAAGTGGACATAATTGGTAGCTTCCGACAGTCAGGTAATGCATTTGAGCAGCTGATCGTGCTGAAATGTTTACCGAGCTAGAGAACGCTACAGTCATCGTCGACGGCGGGGTTTATGGCGTAGAATTGGCCGAATAGTAAGGCATGTGTAGTCAAGGATATGTCTTAACATGTCAGCTCGGCCTCGACGTCGTAGTAAAATGTACAGTTCACTACCGTGCCATCCTGACGAGCTGTCGGCAACACTATCACATTGGAAATACAACACGTACTCTTACAGGCGCACGGATTCGTCACGGGGACTGCTGGCTCGTCCCGCAAGAACCTCTAGACCTGGGCCGGAACCGGTAAACCACTCAACCTCGCCACGTCCATATGCCATGCCTTACCACAGAAGTGATTACGGAATACCTTTACGGCAGCGGAAGCCATTTTGTGATGGCCCGCAGGTGCCTTTAAGCCGGCATCATCTAATCCATATGGGTGGTCGCCTTCCTCTTTTCCCTCACCCCCATCCTCCGCTCACCAGTACTCGAAAGAAACACAGCCGTCTTGAGTCCAGCGCTGCACCGCTATCCAGGGAGAAATTAACAGCGGAGATTCTACTCACCACTTCAGAAAGGATTCTGACAAGAACACCACCAGCACCCACAATCAGGTGCATCAAGCATACAACCGGGGGGCAGTAGAACAGTATAGAAGTATGGGTGGTAATGACAGCAACAACATTGATGCGTGATGGGAGGACGAAACGCAACGGGTCTGCTATTTCCTCGAGAAGACGACGTACTCCTTCATGTATGCACAGAGGTTGGCACCGAAAGTCTCGCCCCGCCCTCCAGCCTGCAGGGGTGCCCCTAGCCTCCGCGGGCAGCGCGAGCATGGCAAAATTTCACCACTCTGCCGGCAGTTTCACAGAAAAGCATCTAAACCTTCACGGTCTCCATTTATGGTGTTGACTTTATCCACAAATGGGACATTTCAAGGATATCTCTCTCTGGACTTCCTTTTTTTCACGCCTGGATGACCCCCCCCCCCCCATCTTTCTTCGAAAGCGTAGCGAGTGTGTGCTACTGCCGAGCCTTGTTCATCGTCGTTCCACCTTCCGGCCGGATGGCCTCTGAAATTCAGCGTGAAATAAGCTCGATCGACAGCTGCATCCTCCGCCGCGGAAGGTTGTCCCATGCCTTTCCAGCCACCTGTTGTTCTGCCAGAGAGGGGCGAGCTTCTGAGCCTCTCTCTCCCTTTTGCCGTTGTTTTCGGCCATTTCAGCCCACTGCCGTGACGGGCTCTATCGTGTTGAGAGATTAGGTAGGTTTGCCTGGCCAGCCACAGCAGCAGCTGTCGGACGTCGTGATTTGATAACAACACCAGCAGCAAGTACTCATGATCCTTGTTGAATGGCAGACACGGCAGTGCCAAGTGATTGCAGAAAAAGCTGTCTCTGAATATCGACCGAGCCTGGAGTAGAGTCGTCCCCGTCCCGGTAATGTTGCAGCAGTGACGCAAGTAGGTCGGACAATTTAGCTTTCTTGTCGAATTCAATTCCTCGGGCCGTTAGCTGCGCCTTCACCTCCTTCGCCGGGATTTTAGGAGTGCTGGAGCTGCTGTCTAGCGTCAAGGCGTTGGAAGCGACGCTCATTTTGTCAGTTGGTTTGAGCAAGGCACAGCCGTTCTTTAGTAAGAACGTCAGCGTCGCATAAGCCGAACTCGAGAGGTCCTCGTTCGAGATGCCTGGGTTGCGCTCTTGCAGATCCAGCGTGCGCAGCGACTTGCCCAGATTCGGTGCGGTGTAAAACTGACCGCCGACGCTAAGGCAATCTTCGGGCGTAAAAACGGCGTGTGGAAGGCCGGGCGGCATAATACTACACGAAGCATGGCTTTAGAAGGGGAGGGGGCTTCACAGAAGATAGAGAACTTACAGCACGTCTCCGGCTCGTAGCTCGACCTTCACCCAACCGTGCGGGTAGTGCTCGGGTGCGAGCGAGCCCGCTGCTGCAAGCTGCAGCACCGACTGGTCGTCGGCAAAGCGCGGGAAGTACCATATCTTTCTTCCCTCCAGTATGGCAATCCACGTGTTTCCTCCGCCGGAATCGATGTGGATGGACGAGATGGCGTTTTGCATGGATGCAAGGAAGAACTCTGGCGAGTCGGGTGGTGTCCAGCTCGACGCCGTCTTGCCCTTGTCACCACGACTCCGGGAGGCTGTGCGGAAGACTAGATCGTGCAGCTTGACGGCCAATGGGCAGAAGTGAAAGCCCGTGCGGTTCTGGATGTCGAGGAAGTTGAGTGCTGGGGCATTTGGACGGGAGGGAAAGCTGGAGCACAGGTTGGCAACGGAGGTAGAGTAAGTACGGTCTTCGGCGTCGGCGATGGAGTAGTCGTAGACAGAAATACCAGCGTCTTTATCGTCAGACATGTGCCTGAGGAACTCTGCCAAATTGAGCTGATGCGGAATAATGCTTGGCCTGGCATCTGTAGTGCGATGCAAGAGCGGCAGTCGAAAAGCTTGGCTGAGGTGGCGCTGGAGATCATCGGAGCTTTCGACAAGGGTGACTTCGTCCTGTGGAAGGCCTGGTTGGGTGATGAGAAGCTGAATAAGGTCGAGGTTTGACTTTGACGGCGCAGCTAGATCGAGCTCATTGACAACACAGGCCCTCGTCTTCGCAAACTGCGCTTCGGCATCCAAGTCTTGTATGAAACCACTTATTTCCTTTGCACCTTCAGAATCAGAGATGGCGAAGTCGATGTTGTAATCACCCCACTCGATTGGCGTGAGCGCCGCGTGAATCGCACGGCGTTTTCTTTTCGATTGCTTGATTTTATCAGCCTTGACATTGCCGCTGCTGTCACTCATTTTGACGGCGTCGAGATGACAATGTTCTTCGCAAGCAAACGGTTTCGTGTGGGGTGACTTTGACGCTGGGGTCGTCGAGGACAAAGGCGCTGGATTTGAATCTGTGCAGCTCGGCAGCCTCGTTCGCGCGTGCCTTCAGGCTCTCGAGTTGCGCAGCGGTGACTTGACAAGTCAGCTGGTGCGGCGATGCGGATAAAGTAGCGGATGACGGAAACTGAGGCGCGCGTTTGTGCCGTCTGTTTACTTAGGCGAGGGAGGTATGTGCACGTGTCTGGGTGACATCATATCAGCAAACGGCCGCCGTCCGTCGTCCTTCTAACACTAAACCTCTTCGAGCACTCGACAGCTCCCCCACCACCGGCATCTCTGGAGTATTCACCGCTTCTCACGCTCATCCGCCGAGCGCCATCGCCCAGGCTGCCTTTTAAGCTCACTGGAGAGCCACTGCAGTTGCGAACCTTCCGATTCTATCTGAAGCAGTCGCTCGCTGGAGCCATCAGAAACTTTGGCCTTTTGACCTGCACGAATCTAGCTGGTAGTGGTGGAAGCGCTCTCACAAAACGTCTAGCCCGCTGACGATGCTTCATAGATAATAGACGAGCCACTCCGTTCGCATTCCAGTCTGTGTCGCTCTGCCGTACATGCTCGTCCATGGCTGAAGACATAGCCAGGGCGCTGCCACGAACGACCAAGGGGACAAAGGACCACCGCTTCTCCAACCGCAACTTCCTTTCATCTCAGCTCGCCCTACATTCACGCGACGAACACAATTCTTCCGCACCTCATTCTAGCTATGAATGAGGACCGATTACGCGCTGCTACAGGTGCTTTTAATAAGGGAGGGAAAGGAGGATTGACTGGCGCGATCGACCATGTCTTGTCCGCTTTCAAGTGAGCGCACGCCATGCTCACACGTGTCGGGGGAGCGGGCCGAGGTGGGTGCGAGCTCTAAAGTACTCGTGTTGTGGCAGTCGGGCGTAGCTCGGATTCAGCCGTCGATTTTGACGACGTCGTGCCGTGTAGCCTGTCAGTCAATCGAACTTCTCATCTCGGTTAGACTGCGCGCACGCTAGTCACTGCAGGTACCATGGAATGTCGCTTGCACTGTTCCAGCGCCACCGCCTGCAGGCGCGGTACGAACCGTTGTTGGCAGGGGCCGATCAACCAGGAATTTATTTATTGCTATCTTCGCTCCTCAGCTTGCCGCAACGCCGTCGTCTGACTGCGACGAACTTCGCCACATTGAGCCCGCTGCCGGTGGAACGTCATGAGAAACTACAAGCGCACGGCAACGAAGGTTCCCAGTCAATGCAAAAGGTGTTCGCCGGGGTCCAGCGGCCCGCTGTCCGCTCCAAATACTCTACGACGGTGCTTCTGAGAGTCGTTGCCCTGTTGGTGGCGGTGCCGTCTTCGAAGTTCGCAGCATCTTGCGGCCGTTTTCCCAACAGCAACGCCCTTGATCGACTCCAGCTTCACGCGAATGAAAGCCCTCCCCGTTCAAGAACATTCAGACGTGGTTTCGCTGCTCCAAAGAGAAGTAAGAGGCAGCCTACCTTTGCACGCTGTCCCAATGTACTGGATTCCCAAGAACTCGACGCTGCTTATCCAGAGCGGTGGGCAGGATTGTAACGCGATCAGCGACGCACGTATGCCGCTCATCACCTCAACCGAACACCCACTCGGCGACGGGCTAAGAAAAGTCCTCGGAGTGTGTCGGGTTCATGTGAGTGACAACGTCTTTTCTTTGTTGGGAGGTCTCCCCTTCCGCCATACGAGCGGTCGGCTGCAGACCACGGTAAAGGAAGTCTGCATGTACCCTGTCCTGTCGTGTCTGATCTGGCGTCGGCTGCACACGCGACACCGCGGATGCGGTTCGTCGTGCCCGGTCAGGGCTTCGGCTGCGGTGAACCAACACCGATCATTCATTGGTTTTTCTCCCTGCAATGAAGAACCTGAATTGGTTCAATCAGGGCTATACGCCGGTCTTGATGTTGATCGCGAGGTGACGCACAGCTATTATGCAATATGGTGCAGCGTTGATCTCCTTGGCCTCGTCCTGTGGTTCTCGGGAAGACGAGATCTCTCTGCGGACCACGAGAGTTTCTTGCTCGGTACCAGTCTCCGGGATCTCCGGGCGAATCCTGCCGTCGTCCACGCTACCGCGGAGCCGGAAGGCCGGGTGAAGACGAAGCAACGACGCCCAGGCACGTTCCACAGCTTCCAGGTGACTAGCGTCTCTCGTCTGGTGGAGCATCATTCTTGAGGATCTGGCTGGGTTCCTGCAGAATCGTGAAGTGCCCGGCGAGGTAAGCACCTTTCGAGAATTGGCGACACAGCTGGCTAAGAAGCAACCATAAGCCCTCTGTTGCCACACTAGTGGAGAGCCATCGCGAACGATCGGTGCCAACAGCTTCCTCACAGACGTGTCACACGACCACGACGCGAGCAACGTGGCCAGCTCTTGCCAAACGGTGTCTGCTGCCGTGGACGCCCGTCTGCCGGGTGAAAATCATCTTCCGGCACGCCCCGCTATATTTCCAGTGCGAGCCTGTGGACTTTCTTCTGGCCACTTTGGTCCTGGCATTTTGCTCGTGGCGGGGCTGCAAGTTGATGAAGATTGACTTCGAATCCCATAGACGGGATCTGGCGGACGAGGACTTCGACGTATCCAGGACCGTTGGGTAGTTCACCCACATAGCTCCCATGTTGTTCAATTTGACCGGGGGGTATTGGTGTGCAAGGCGCGCTCGATGCCGCCAAGGATGCACGGAACGTGTTCAAGAAGGGCATGCGCTCGTACCGCACCATCGCTCAGCGGGACCTGAGGAAGGTTCTGTAATATTCTTCAATTACGGAGGTGCCAGGTCCGAGGAAGCTTCGTACGCCTGCTTTCAGGTGGCATGCAGCGACAGACTCGGCGCTATGCATGCCGACCCTCATAATTTGCAGACTGCCCACTTGGATATCGAGTGTGGGGCCCATGGAGACCGTCTCAATCTGGCAGTCTCCTTTGGCGCTTTGAGACACCGGCGGAAAGCAAGCCTGAAGACGATGCCGCTTCAGGAAAACACCCCTCGGGAGGTGAGCCCGTTGATGGCGAATCATGGGGACACATTGTTCCAGGTCAGCACCTACGGGCTTGAGAGTTCCGTAAACGACTGCCTCGTTTCATTCGGCGTCCTGCCGCAGAAGGTTGAGTACATATTGCCTTCGCCGGATTTTCAATCAGCCATGTCTCTGCCCAGCGCAGACGACCGAGCCTACATCCAAAAGGCTCCGTGGAGCGAGGAACCGGCAAGAAGCACCCCCAGGCATTTTGTTACCCAGGCGAGCGCTGGAACGCAATCAAGATTCACCCAAAGAGAAGGAAAGGTATGAAGATATCTTTTATGATCTGTGCTACATTCTCAGGCATTTTTAGACGCCCTAGTCTGTTCGTTGTATACATCCTTTTGTGTTTTGTTTTATTTTTCTTGCCCTCGGCATGTATTCCTACAGAGTCATTCGTGAAGTAGCTATCCTCATCTTAGATCACGCGAGGTTTCAGTAGGACTTCATCACTTCTCTGATCTTTCGTACAGTAAACCCTATGGGCCTTTCAATTAATTCGACGGAGCGGAGGGAGCTGAAGCTCTCGTGGAGATGGAAATGGGAATAAATTTAGTAAACAAAGGCGAGGGTACAAAAGCTTTACGTCCGGCTGTTGAGGGTGTAGTATTTTTAAATCGATGGGATTCTCGGCAGTTATTAAGGCAAAATGGTTTGGTGTAGATAGCGGGGTATGATTAAGCTATCTACGTTTTATCATTTTCTTTCTAAAGTGCAAGGGAATCCAGTTCCGGTAAAGTTTCTCAATAAGAAACAGGATGCTGGGGAATTGTACCGTGAGGGACGTGGTGTTCAGTGTAATGCCAAGTCAAATGAAACCCAAAGCAGAAATGGTGTAGTAGGAAAAAGTGTGACTTGAAAGAGGGCCGAGGATGTGCGCTCTCGCTCTGTTGTATCTGCCCAAAGTGCCGTCGCCTCCTTCTGAATTCTTTCCTTTTTTTCGTTTTTTTTTCCCCTTAGTTTTCAAACCAGGCATGGAAGGTAGGGAAGCTCAAGTCGAAGCTCAAATAGAAGAAAAGCGTGCCTTCAAGACAAGCCTATGTCTTTCTGGATCTTTTCCTTTCCGAAGATCAGACCGCGAATTGACCTTGAGAAATAGTAGTCTCCTGTAGCGCGAAAACGACAAAAGTACCCCGTGTCTCACACGAAGTTCTGAGTACCGTCTCGTAAAGCCGACGTTTCCGATCAGCTGTTATAAAACTTAACGCTAGCGGTACCGCCCGGTCTACCGTTAATGAAGCTCTTGAACTTAAGCGTACCTTAATCGGCGGCCAAATCGATCTCAAGAGTGTAATTAACATTACGGTACCACTGCTTCTTCTTTTTATTATATTTGCGGGGAGATGCGTCAATCTCCGCGTCTGTAAAGTACAGCTTTACTTCACCGACCCTTTCGGTTTTCCAGTCATCACCGTAGAGCGGGCTTTCTTCGTAGATACAGCAGTAGAGGCTCAGAGTTGTATGATAGACTCTATCAGTGTCGCAAATAGTCGTGTGGATGTTGAAGGGAGCCTTTGTCTTTGCGTCAATAGATTGACCCTGATCCATGAGCTCGCGTCAGTAAAATTGTTTTTACTTATGAGCCACACGTGTCATACGAACATTCTTAATCTTCCACGACACCGTGCCATAGCAGTACTCCTTATTGTAATAAGGCTCGAAGAAGCTTTGCCACTCCTCGTAAACACCCTTCACGAAGCGCTTGGAAACGCCGTAACCATAATAGAGACGAGCAATTCTTAACTTAGGCTTCAAGCCCTTAAGACCTCGGATAGCTACGCCACGGACAACTACAGCTTGGCACTAAGGAGGGCAAGTGAGCGTAATATCACTCTTCAAGCGGCACCAAGTTTCCATCTTTTCGTTAAGGTATTCAGAGTCGCCGAAGCCCCCAACGAGAATAATACGTCCGATCCTACAGCTCTTGATCGCCGCCTGGTTGATTTGAGACTCTACGAGACTAATAACCTGGTCAACGACTGGGTCGAAGAAGAATTACATCTCTTTCCTATTTACTGTTAGAAATCCAATATCAAATCATAAAGAATGAACTTGGTCCGTACCACGTAAGCTAGAGAATATCTTCGTCCGAATCGTAGCGGTCCAGGTTCGCGTTGTCTTCCAGGATCACGTTTCATAACGACGTTCTCAATCTCGAACAGCTTCTCGTCAGAAACACCGCGATGGCTCCCAAAGGTCATTTTGGCAGCCTCGAAGCTCTACATCATCTAACTTCCTAGTCCACGCTTCTTCGGCTCAATCGAGGTATAGACATTACTGAATGTTTTTACCATCCAAAAATTAACGTTGCCGTCAATATATGTTGATCCACACTTACCACCGCCGCCGCAACATAACTCTTCGAATTTGAGCTGAGGAACCACATCGATGATGAAATAAGCCGTTACGTCCAAGGTCTGAACAAAAGGTCTAATTCAGAAAACTGGACAGTCTTGTATGTATTGCCGATAGAGAGGTAGAGTAATAGCAGAAGAAAGATAAGTTAAGAAGGATCGGCGGTCAGAGTTAATAGCATCGAAGGACATATAATTACTCCCGCTCCTTCCCGTTCTAACCACTTACCCTCCTGCACAATTTGCACCTTGCTAGGTCTTGGCCGTTCTACGCCCTCTTCCCTCCTCATCTTTACTTAACCCTCAACGCCACCACACGCCCACTCTTTCCTTACCTTTTCAGATCGGACGCCATAAAACCGTCCGAGCAGTCGGTAGCCATAAGTCTTACAGATACTAACAGCCAGGATAGCCGCATACGAAACCCATCGCCAGAAGTCCTTATCCTCAGATCCACCTCCTAGGCCGCCGGTGTTCAGTCAGGCCGCTCTCACCCTAACTCACAACACCACATGCAAGCGAGGGTGTCCGCACCAAGCACATAGAAGCTGGACCGCATGGGTGCTACGCGAGTGTCGGAGACACAGTTGTAGCCTTCGCACTATCAAGTCAAACAATCGCAGGGAGTATCTGGTGCTAGGATTCCGAGTGGTGCGCACTGGAAGCAAAAGTGTGATAAATTCTCATCAAACTTCTCTGACTCAGATAAGCTTGTGAAGAGTCTGGCAGAAGACATTCACAACCGCAAAGAGGAAATTATATACTATAAGCAGCGGAAAGAAGCCTTAAGGAAGGCCTACGAGAAGCAGGTTAATAAATGCAAGGAGGAGATTGAATACCACAAGCAACAGAATGAAGGTTTGAGGGAGGAGCTCAGCGATACGAAGCGCCAATTGGAATCCTACATGTCGGCTCTGGGAAATTTTCAAAGCAGGATCACTCAGCAGCCTCAAGGACGCTGGCCTCAGGACGAGGACAGGAGAGTATAACAGCTCATCACCGGTTTCTACAAAAGTGTCCGAGCTTGGTCCAAGAAGTACGCGGCTCCCTCTTTCGAGACGTTTCTAACGCACACGCCGAGACATCAGCACCTACTTCTCGAGGGCTCGAGAAGAGTCGCTTTTGTTAGCAATCTGAGTTCGCTTACAGTATTAAAGCCGCTATTCCTCATCCTAACGGCACTTCTCTCCGAGGATCTCCGCACGCATATCTTCAGCAATCCTTTCTTCGTCTTCGAGGATCCTTTCGAGGCTTTACCTCAACATAGCATGGGGCTGCATGATCGGTTGAATGAAATCTACGTGCACATGATGAATGGTAAGTTTACTATTTTAAACATAGCTAGCGCATAACCAACTAATGTGTTGTAGACAACCCATCGCGTGCCCACCTCTGGCGGACCCAGCTACTGAGGAGTGCGTTCCCCGACTTGCAGACGTCTGCAATAATTCCCACAGAAGTAATGTGCCCCAAGAACGCTTCGGAGGGTAAGGTTCGTCAGCTGTACAGCAAGTTCTACAGGGAGTTTCTTCAGGGATCTATTTCGTCGCTTCTGCAAGAGTTGACTCAGGATGAAGCAAGAACATGCGCTTCAGAGCTGCACCGGATCTACATCCAAGCCGGGAATCTGCAGAACCGTTTACAGACCCACGCCGCTCGCTTCGAGTGGTGCGAGCCAAGTGAATGTGCTGGGCTTACGTTCACAGTGGACTCCGAATGGTTCAAGGCAGACCACCGCCACCGGCTCGAAGATGACGAAGACTCCAGCCACGATGGTCAGACAATCAGCATTGTCCTGAGCCCACCTGTCACCATCTCAGGAGATCACAACGGAGAGAATTACGACAAGTTCCGGGTGGTAGCCAAGGGTCTTGTCTACCTTCAAGACCTGTCATTTCCGAAGGACCTCACGCACGCGGGGCGCCTTGGTGGTTATCATCAGGAAGACGAAGATGAAGATGGGCACGTGTTCATCGGATAAGAATGATAGCCAAGGCTTGAGTCTTGGGATATCTTCGTCCGGAGATGGAGCTTTAATCCGGATGCGTTTCTCTTGCAGAAAAAAAAAAAGGAAAAACAGCACAGGCTCGTCAGGGCGGACCCTTTACATCCGGATACCTTATCCCGGAAACTTTCTAGCCACAACGAAACTCCGCACCTGACAAGATCTCTAATTTGCGGGCTCGGCGGTTCTATCTACAATTCTCGACTACTCATTCTGGCTTTCAATCGTGCATATACCTTAATTTTCCAAGGAGGATTCGACAAAGTGAAACTACACCCTTAACTCTCCTCTGCGGCTTACAGGTGCTTCGACTATACCTCAAGCTGCAGAGAAGCTGGACAACCATTTGATGTCTATCAAAAACAATTTCTTGCTTTTCTTGCGTTTCTTCTCTGGCTTCTCTGGCTTTTCTGGCCTTTCTGGCCTTTCTGGCTTTCGCAAGCGTAATTACAAGTCACAACCCCGAATTGCCCGCCCCTCCACTTGAGTTACGGCATTGCTGCAGTTATAGAGTATAGTTCAAAACCGCAGGGGGGGAAATGGGAAGGGGGAAGGGTACTCGGCCAACTCTTGCCTGCAAGTCCCCGATGAAATGATGCCAACCATGTTAATTTGGACATGGTTTTCATGCAGGACAATGCACTTATACACGTAGCAAAAAGTGTAAAAAAAACGATTTGTAGATTCAGCCAAACCGTTGTTTGAATGACCGCCATATTCACCTCATTCGAACTTTATTGAGCACCTCTGGTAGCACCTGAAAACATACGTCTACAAAATTTGCCTAGACATGTTACGAGGGCTGCTTTTGTTACCTTTAAGGGAAAGGAGGGCGTTGGTATTCCATGGTAGGGACTTTGTAAAAGGGATTTGCGCAGCCGCTGTTCCCGCTCAACCGTTTTTTATGCTTGTTGGCCATGAGCGTAGCCTATTCGCTAACGCGAGCTGCGTGCCACCAGTAGTAGAGCCCCTGACACTTGGCGCGCTCGTACTGTGCCGTCTCAGAGGCCGTCTTGAGGGAGCTGAGTAGGGTATGGATTGCCGCAAGCTCACCCAGCCCTTCAGCAGATATGTCACGTCTCTGGGTGAGGTCGTATCAGCTCGCGGAGGTGAAATTGATGAGAGCAGTTGGAAACTTCACACATGCACTGTAACACTCGGAGTACGCGTTCAATGCTCAAACCCCGATCCATACACTCATATCCTTAGCAAGCGCCTGAAGGATTCCAGGGCTATTGATATCGCCATTTTCGGCGGCGTGACGTACAAAATCCCCCCTCTTGACGACCCTGGGGCCAGTCCAGCGAACTCGCGAGTGCCATCGCCACTCATTCCACCGAGCGTCCCTTTCTTCTATTGTGGTGTGACCTTAGGCTGAGCCCAACCGGTCCGGTGCCAGTGCTAGTCGCTGATGCGCTTCTGTGGCTAATACCGGCTCCCGTCTGTAGAGCCCGGTGCTTGCTCGTGGCACTCGTTCTCCTGCCAGCCTTACCGCAGTGTCATTGCCTCTTCGAATTTAAAGAATAAGGCCAGTGAAATTACTTATTCAACAAAGGCTTATTTCCACCTATTGGCTCGTCAACTTAAGTTGGAACAGCAACTCTTGTGAAGAATGACACTGAACATCACGGACGATATCAAGCTGCGGCTCGTCTCTCTCTCTCTCTTTCTCTCTGCACACGTTTTGATGGTGTGATCCAAAACGCGAGCATCATCCTTAACACGCCAGACGCAAACAATGCGGCGTAGGTGCGATGCAACCACTCACGGAGAGAAGGTGAGCAAGGTCCTAAGCATGACGAAGACCAAAGTCTACACCGCGGTCAAGCTCGGCACCGAGGACAGGCCCGGAGAGGAGGCCCAGCACCAAGAAACTGACATTTTTCGGCTCCACCGGGGACAAGCGGGACACCAGGAGCTCAGTCCGGCTCAAGGTCGCCACCGTGTCGCAGGGCAGGTGCGAGGACATAGACAGCATTCATCAACTTAGCCCAGAGAGGAAGCCGGACTCCCTGCCTAGCCCCGAGCAGGAGAAGGCGATGAAGCAGGTGCTCGAGATCGTGCGCAGGAACAACCATCATCAGTCTAATATGCTGTTGGCACTAACGCAGACCGCTGGCCTTACATTAGGGACTTGCTAGAAAAGTAAAGGTACGGGCCCCGAAAACAGCTCTCGAACGCGATGAGTGTCCCGACGAGAATACTACAGAATGCCAAGATGCTGAAGGGGGATGTGATCATCGACACGCGCCCGAGCATATCCTAGCTTAGGGTCGCCATCTTACACGACAGAAATATAATCGCCCCGAATCGGAATATTGACCCGTTCACCATCCGCTCCTTGTTTTGTTGGCGTTCGCGACCAAAGTCACGTACAGGAGGGTAGGAGGATCCCGGGAAGGAAAGAGTACATTCTGCGGGTATTGGCTCTTCCATCATCGGTAACCAGGCTGCTTGCCAAGTGGGTGGTGTTGAAGAGAGGATTGGGACGACAGCAACAGAACTAGAAGCCAGTAGTGGCGAAGAATCTACGAAGAATCTCATATCGTCTACGACCCTTCGGTACGAGGACCAAGAACTCACAACGGCAGACGAGCGGTGGATCAGGGGATTCCTTGCTACTTCGGTCTCAAGGCGGTAATTTTCGAGCGTAGCATCAACAGCCTATTCCATCGCGTCTTCATTCTGTTCGTCGCTAATGCCACTATAGACGTCCCCGTTGATTGCGAGATCCATCGCAGCAACCGCCAAAGAATACACTCACCCGGCCGTCAAGTTCAAAACTCCGGTTTAGAACGTCGTTACTACCGTCATAACTAAGAACAAGAACGGTGCCGCTCTTTTCTCAGCATTAGCGACGCGTCTCTCTACGGGCCTTCAGCGGTTACGTTCGCCTCTGGCAAGGTCGGACCACTGCCAAGTGCGGATCCAAATTATAACATGGACATTTCTTTCAAGTCTACCGAGATCCATATAACACACCCGCTTCCCCATATCACCTACCTTACCTCATAATCCAATTCGCCGGCATTCATCTCCCCGTTCGCCCTCCTCCTCTGTCGGGACGGTTTGCAAATACGTCCTCGAGCTCGTTTCAACCGAGATGGCCCTGTTGAGATCAATTCAGGTGACAGTAATGAACACCGGTGCTGAGTGCTGGATGCTGAAGCAGTGGATTGGCACCCGGGAAGGGGGAGGCTCTCACGACCCCAAGCGGCACGTGTCCACCGTCATACGACCAATATCTCCAGCCTCAGATTACGCGCAGCCATGACGCCAGTAGGATGGCGAAACACCTTTCGCTGACCTCGAGAGGATTTGTGTCCCCGGCGAGTTTCAAAGAAGACATTCTTTTTTAGCTAAGAATACCTAATCGGTTAAAACTTACATCTCGACGGGTAAGGTGCAATATAACGATATATGGTGGGGGCCGTGCGTATTTTCACGTCTGTTGTACAGGAGCGAATACACCCGGGTTACTCGCCAAATAAGCTACGGTAGACCGAATAGCGCACGTTCTCTTTGATCGAACCTATATAGATTTCTTTTATGCGAGTAGACTCCATGCCCTGGTCCTATGCTGATTTCTAGGCGTGGAAATAGTATAAGTTCTTGCTAATTACTAGCCCGGATCCCGCAGACATGCGTCAGGGTAGATGTAACTCTGAGGAAAACCAAACACTATAGAAGATAGCATCACATTTTGGCAAAACAACAAACTTTCTTTCGCCGGTTCCGACAACACCTAGGGTATTTATTTCTGGCTTCAATGCTCGCTGCGATCGATGATGACGAATGCGGTGCTCTCTCGTGATACACGACCAAGAAAAGGATGGTGGTATGTCTTCCTGCGTTAAGCTGGTCGTCGAGATGGACTCGCTGTAAGTGTGTGGGCGCGTAGCGCACTATTGGGGTCGGCGGTAGTGTTTTAATTGTGCGTCGAGTGAGGCTGAAGAAAGCCTTGGTACAAATTATTAAAAGTGGTCGCCAGTGTGCGCCTAGATTAAGCATCCATTTTTTTATTTTCTCTTCTACTGTTGGGGATACTATGCAGTGCTCTATACGTTATTGCGTAAAAGGTTTTGTTGCTCGGGTTCCCAGCGTGGCACTCCGACAAAAGCCTATAGTATAAATAAATTCTCCTGTACCGGTAGCTTTACTATTTAATAGCATCTGTTAATTCATTCTCTGCTCGAAAAACTCCGAAAAAAATCTTTACACCACTTTCCTCTCCTTATATATAACTACGCATACATACAGCTTCGGGTTACGGGTCAGGGTAAATGAATTCAACTCAACTTGGCTCGGCTGAATTTTTTCGAGTAGGGCTCGCCCTTAGCCCGGCCTAACATCCGCCTCATACCGTCCTCCTAGTACGAAGGGGTCACGTACAAACCGTTCCTACTCTCTACACTCAGGAAAAGATGCTGGGAGGCCAAGACGCTAGCGCTCGGCCAAGTGAGAGATTGAAATGATAAATTTGGGCCATGGATAATCGTTTGGGCTACTATATCGATTTAGCTCGGGTTTGAGTGAATTCCATCGAGCCAATCATGTTAATAGGGGGGATAATTTATGTATGGATATGTGAGAGAATTGTCGAATAGAGCTATTGCTTAAGCTCAGCTTGCAGAGCAGAAATCCCGGCGTTGCTGTAGAATCCTGCATTATCCATTCCCGACAGAGAAACAAAAAGTAATTCATTATCCACTCTTCCATCCTGTACCGCAACCTGAATTGGCAGAAATGACTTACAATACTGAAGAGAAAAAAAGAACTACTGCCAGCTATGTGAATTGGAGGCGCAAAAGTAATGCTCTCATTCTAACAAAAATACCTCCCCTGTTCCGCATCCTTCTCTTCTGCTAGTGAAGCAGGCGACACGGGGGGTCCAGGCGCGACTCCCAGCCAGATAAGGCAAAAAAAAAAAAAAACACGCACCACGGAAAATGTCCTATCTGGCCGGAAAGTTGCGAAAGAGGTCCTATTTCGTAATTTTCGCTACAAATCTTCACCACGGCATTGCCTGCTCTCGCTCAGAGCCGAGGTTGGTTATATGTGCGCTTGGAAGGAGAAGCCATGGGAACCCATAGCCGAAAGCCTTAGTATCTGCTTGGCGAAATCACGAAGGGTATTTTGGACGATTTGGAGAATAGTTGCTGGGAGTCCTTCGATCCCGAGGCGAGCTATTACTACGTTACGCATCACTGTTATTGAGATAAAGTCTAAAGAGATGAATTCTATACTATTACTAAACAGAAGAAAGATGTGGCTACTACTGCGAAAGAGGACTTAGCTTGGAGGATGCAATTAGAAGCGCCAGGGGCGGGCGTGAACGAACCTCGCTCAGCAGAGGGCGGCCTTCTAGGCTAAAGACTTGATCGTGGTTTCGTGCACGGTTGCGGCGAGACGAATGGCCGTGCATGGGCTTCAGGGAGGACTGTCTCGCGCCAACGGAGCCGATTGTTATCATGGGTTGTCGCAGTGTCGGCATCGTGGAGCTCGGTGGCGAGGCGGACGTTGGTATTGTGGGCATTGGGGAGGTCTGCTTACACGGCTCGAAAACGCTGGGCGGCATTTCGAATTAAGATTTTGGCGGAATCAAGCTCGGCGGTGAGTAGCTTGTTGTCGCTGTTTGCGGCTTTGAGCTTGGCCGATGTTTGTTAAGTTTGTTGAACGTGCTTGTACCTACACCTGTTGTTGAAGTCAGCAAGCTCTCTTTTAAGCTGCTCGTTGGCCGCTAACACGGCTTGTAGCTGCTCTTTGATCACTATGAGCGATTGATTAGCATCGGCCGGCTCAGTAACAAGGTATTTGTTATCGCCTTACGCATCCCTACGTCCGTGGTCTCGGGTCTCGAGTCTCGTTCAGTGCGCCTGTTCTGTCCTTGAGTGATTCCCTCCGACCGAGCAAGCTCGTCAGCATGCCTCTTTTATCGCGTCAGGCGCCATCGATACCTTCCTCCAGCCTATCTGTGGTGGCTTGGTGCAGGTTGTTCCTGTCGGTGAGCGTCTCGCGGATCTTCTTCGCTGCGGGTTGGGCGTTTGAAAGCTTGGTTGCGTTCGTCTTGATGGTGCCAAACAGTTTGGCATTTTGATCCCTGGGCTTATCACTTACCTCGTGCCACTTCTCATAGTAAGTTCGAAGAGATTCCAAGTCCTGCGAGACGCCGTTCAGCTCCGCCATGAGTTTCGCCTTGCCATCCATGCCCGCCGCATACTTTCGCTTGAGCTCGCCCTTTTCACGTTGAACTTTCGCACTAACGTTATCAGCGATGATTCGCCTATTTCCCAGCTCATCGTTAGTTATAGCCAGGCTAGAGTTCGCAGAGCTCGCGTCGCGCATGTCTGCCTGAAGCTCCTGGTTCTACGCTCTGGCCTCAGTAAGCTGGCCACAGACATCCTTATACCTATCTTTCAGGGCCTTATCATCGTAGCCAGCAGTAGCAACACCGCTATTCAGAGCGCAGTACCGCACGCCGTCGTACACCTACCTCCGAGCATTGATGCGGATGCGGCACCGCATCTTTTTGACGGTTGTACCACAGCTCAGATAAACAGGAGTCTCATCCCAGGCACCTGAGATCCCAAACCATTGTCCCATCCAGATGAGATGCACGCAAGAGCCATTGCTGTACTTGGTGCGGTTGGGTGCGTGTTCCTCCTGGTGGAAATGTAGTAAATGTTTATGTACAATTGAAGGGGGATTTTTCATTTGAAACAACCTCCATTGTGTAGTATATATACACGATATGTGCTTTGTTCCTTGGGCGATGGAGGGTAGGAACTGTTAGCAGCCATGGTTCTTTGCCTGCACCGCTTTAGCTGGGCGGGTAGTCGTAAGGTGTGTTTATGCACGAATTGGAGACAGAGCTTCTCCAGTGTATCCGGCGTGGGTGGAGTGAATAGCATGTGAAAGGCCCGCAGTTTGCTCAATAGCGTGGTCTACGTAATGAACGTCCAGTGGTTTTCGTCGATTGTGTAGTGCATGAGTTTTCAAGGAGAAAGAAGGGTACGGTAGTCAATAATAAAACAAATGTTGGGAGATTTGTGCCTTAGGAGATGGGACTTCGTGTATTTTAAGCTCTTATTTTGTTTTTGTTTTTTCAGGACGTCTCCGATGCTGTTGGGTGGTGTCCCTGCAAGCGGCGCTTATGTAGAACCCTACTACCGGCGCCTCGGCAATGGCTGCAACAATGGCGGAATCAAAGCCGGCATTCGTTGTTACTTTCAAGTTGGATTGTAGTGCGGCAAGATAGTCCTCATCCGCGTAAGCATTAATAACCGGATAGTAACGGCTTGGCGGCTAGAACGATGGGGTTGCGGCGATGAGGTATGGTGGTGGCGAGAGTGGGCGATGTGTAAGAGGTGGCAGATCGACATAGGCAATGTTTGGGATCATCGTGATGCGTGTCGGACATTCCTGGCGAAAGCGGCGAGAACCTGAATTGCGATGGACTCCAGATAGCCACTGCTCTGTGGATGGTCAGGGACTAAATGGCATCAGCTTGGACGAAAGTACGATTTTATTTAAGCGTCGAAAATGTTGGAGAGTAAGGGTGAGGTGATCATGATGGAGAAATAGATAGACCAGGCCGGGAGATGGAGGAAAGGGAGTTATCTCCTTCTTGAAGAGCGGGGATGCCGTTATCTTTAATATCCATATTCTCATCAATACCACTCCATTATTCCTTCTGCCCCTCCTTAATTTCCACAGTAGTATCCTTTGGGAGGAGCGGCCCATCCAGCGGAATACTGGGCTAGGCGTAAAAAAGTCCTGTAGTTGGCCTCTAGCATATCCATGACGCTTGACACTCCGAAGAAATCCGATTCAAGCGTCTGATTCCTCCTGACGAAGCAAACGCGGAGCAGCATATCCCACTAATCGTAGCTAATCTGAGGGCGCAGGTTCTTTGGCACAGTGTAGACGACCGATAACTCGACGATTCGACCTGGGGCGGGAGGTTGAAATTGTTCTTGCCAACCTTGAAGATGTAGTCGACCTTGACCTACATCTAGCGGTTGACACCAGTCCTGCTGTGGAATCTGTCGAGAGTGGTATGCTTATGCCTTTCTTCGCGGATTGTGTTGGAGCGATCGACGGGACGCATATTCCAGTCACTGTGGACGCTGGCGAGTCCTTCAAGCCGTGGAGGAATCGCAAGGGTTTCCTATCGCAGAAAGCATCAGCTGCTTAAGACTCCGCGGCGCTTCACACTTAAACCGAACCTTGGAAGCACTGTACGTAGCGGCCATTACCGACGTTTGCAACTAATCGCCACCTTAGTGGCCCCTCATCTCGTAGCTTCTACGGTGTTTCGCACACGCTTCGCAGGCAGCTGCTCACTGTTCCTCGCGGCAGCTACAGCTCCCATGCAATCTGATCCTTTGTCTATCCAATGTACGTGCGAAGCGTTCAGAGTGTTGCGTATGGGTGTGGTATTGCCCAGGCACGCGCATGTGGGATGAACACGCTGGATGCGTGGCAGATTTCAAAGACGGCATGACAGCAACAATAGCAAGAGACGAAGGGTGAGGAGCAGCAGCAGCAGCAGCAGCAGCAGCGACTCCAGGAAGTGCCTGCGCGGCCAAAGAAGCACGGATTATCATGACAGGCCCGTTTATGGGGCTGTGGGGGCGCTCCTTGTAGCGGCGCGGGCCGGGCCGCGCACAACCCCACAACGATAGCAAAAATCACGACGCCGAAGAATGCGTAGGGCAAAGCACTGGATTCTCCTCCCATACCTATCTGGAATAGCAATCCTCTCACGACGTACAAGCTTCCTGCTGCCCCATCTCATGGCTTCCTGTTGGACTAGGAGAACCTAGGCCGAAGGCTTGTCCTGTCCGTCAAGCGGGACCCAAGGTTCATCGAGTGGATCGGATGAATTCTTCTGAGGCTGTTGCACCGATCTGTACAACATGTCGACGCCGTTGCACTGGTGTAGTCCAATCTGTTGAGCCATGAGAAACCGCCCGAAAAGGGAAAGAAAAGGATGGCAAGATTATCGGTCAGACCTACCTGGCTGATCACGCAATCGGTGCCCATGGTTCGGCAATAGTGGCATTTGCCGGAGGCATCGATGTTCCCGCATCGGATTTTCCGTTTTCTGCAGCACGTGCACTACTCGAAGAATCATGTAAGACGGAAGTGTTTCCGAGAACCCCAAGGGGAAAGTGGATCTGAAAGGCTAAACAAGCAATCTTACCGCCACTAGTGCGCGGACTCCACTGGAGCTTTGGCTGGCTTCCTGCATGGTATAAACAAGATTCGTTTCAATGATGACGAGCGGACGGTTCTGACGGTCAGTAGGTCATCGATGTGAAAAAGAAGGGAAACTTATATCTGCCCGTCGCTGCCATGCCGACCCGTGCCCATTTGGAGATGTGCAGGGAATGACGGTACCAAAAGGAATCCTGGCCGAGGAGACCTAGTTGGAGGAAGTCAAGGTTTGGTGGAGCAGAATGCTGGTGGCGCTCGCGCGGTCCCTGAAACAAGCCCAGGGTCTTCTCGAGGGGCGTACGACATGTCATTCCTCATCCACGACGCATGAAATGTGGTGAAGCATGTCGTCTTTCCAGCGCACGGCTAGATCCAGCTTTCTGCATATGCTTCTGCCCGGGAGTAGAAAACTCGGCGTCCCGAAGGATCTGGATGCCGCGCTTCGCACGGCGTTTTCCGAAGTCGCGAACAAGAGCCCTTTTTCGGCCAACAGCGTCGTCCCACAAGAAGGCGCGGCAGGGGTTCTATGTGGGGTAACGACGTTAGAGAAGTTCCATTCCAGGATAGCTGTGCTCCGGCATGAAGCTTGGTCATACGAATCATGACGGGCCAGGCCGAGCTCAACACGGTTTAGCTGGGGGCCGCTGCGCCGTAGGACATCCGGAAACGGCTCGATCTCTGGATCTGGGAGATGATTGTCAGGGATGAATGCGATCGAATGAGTAGGAGGCGATGAGCGTCGACGTACGAGTCGATCATTAAGCGACACGCCGGGCCACAGCGTCTCGGCACCTTGCGTCTGCCACAAGGTTTTGTCAACTGCGGGACTGGGGCCTTCAGAGTGGAGAACAAGACCGTCAATGTGCTGCCAATTCACGGCGTGCAGCTGAAACAAGCAATGGACAATCTCGACCGTCTGCTCGCAAGAGCGCAAGGCAAGGTTTTGTCAGGGAGCGCGTGTGAGGAGAATATGCTCGGTGGTTCGTGTGGTGCGCACCGACGGGGACGTATTAGCGGTGATCCTGGCTAGACCCCTACGTTAATTTGCATCTTGATGTCAGATAAGTGGTTGCTGGCTACGCGGAGGATGAGATGGTTCATGTAGGGATAGGAGACAAGCAGGACGCGATGATACTGGGGGTTGACCGACAGCGCAGTTAGGTATTAGCGCGCGCGGACCTGCTCTTTGCAGTTCCGTGGCAGAATCGCGCGACTTGATTCGTTGTGAGAGTGACTACACTCGGAATCCGAAATAGCACGACGGAAATAATGAAAAGGTGGAAATAAGGCGCAGGTGAGAGCGGTGTGAAAGCGGCGTGAGAGCGGGGAAGTGGGGACGGAAGCTAAAAGCAAGCAGGGTCTTTTCGCATCTGCTCCGCCGCCCTAAACATGCTTTGTACGACTTCACCACCGTCTCTCCACAATCGCGCGCCCGCACTGGGCCACAACGAGCGAGCCTCGCGTTTCTCGCCATGGTCGATGGCAAAGTCGCCTTCATCCCCCAGCTAGGCTTCGTATCACCACCGCTGGCGCAGCGCAATCGAGCTGCGCAATCACCAAGCATTCCATGGGGCCCAAGCTTGGTGTCGCACAGAACCTGAGTTTCGACTTGCGCGCCCGCACCCTCGCTGCACTGGTGCCCGAGTGGGACAACGGACAGCGTTATTTCTCCGGCATCTTCCGCGGTGGATCTGTGCCACACGACGGCCTGACAGAGGCAAGCATTACGATCCACCATGTACGACTCATCATCCCAAAATCGCCCAGACAATGATTTCGAGAGGATAGGAGCCTTGTGTGGGAGCTTTACTATTTTCCACCGGTGAGCTCGCACTCGGCAATCGGGTTTGGGCTGGATGCATAGGCGCAGAACGCCGCCAAGTTCGTGTACACTGGCTTTTATTTCTTTCACAATGCCTATGGTGGGGTGCACCTGGCTGACCGGAAAGACGGCCATGTGAACGTCTCGGCCTTGGGGAACTTGAGGAAACGGTAGATGCACTCAGCGGCGCGGTCGGTCGCTCTGCTTTGGCGCCAAACGTCCATGCAGCACGTTGATTACGGTCCGGCCGCCGCCCATCTAATTTGCAGCTCCACGCGACGAGTACAGGATCCTGGCAACGAAACGATCCTCTTGCAGACTAGTTGGCCACTGCTCTCGCTGCAGAGGCTCCGTGCCACGATCGGTACTGCCTTGGGCCTGACGGGCATCGACGAGCGGTCTGTCCAGGACGTCTACCTATGCCATGCAGCCGGCCATACTGCTGCAGTCTGAGGAGAATACATTGGTGCAGGTGGTACTGCAGCTCACGGGCGCCTTTGACGCGGTGAGCTTTGCCCAAGAGCGGAAGGATGTTCCCGTCGCTACGAATGACGTTGCGCGCCGTCCAGCTGCAGCACGGGACAAAGCGTCAGGCCAGTACCTGGCGGTCGATCGCGCGGCAGGCGCCGCATATTCACCCTGGCGTTTCACCGTGACGGGTGGTCCCTGCATATTGTCCTTAGGGAGCGACACGCTTTGTTCTCGCGCCAAGGTCGTTCAGCCCCTCGACCTGCATGCCGCCGCGCCAAACACGCAAGAGCACCTTGTCTCAAGGCGCCATCTACCCTCCAGCAGAACGTGCGCCAGGGCGTCACGCCGGCCACCGTCTTCCAGGCGGCGCTGGCCGTGCTCCTGACGAGACTGGCCGGCCGCGGCCATGTTCTGATTGTCGGCGGTCGGCAACTTCATCCCCGTGCTTGCGGAGCATCCACTCGGCCTACCATGTCCCCCTTCCCTGCCGGCGGCCAAAAGATCTGGGACCTGGGCGTGGCCGACGCGGTGCTTCTTGACGCGGTGTGTGCCGCCTCAAGCAGCTGCCAGCTGAGGCTCTGTTCATAAAGGCTGTGCAGAGAGAGGGACCGCGTTGGAAACCGCCGCTGCCGAACGGGTGACATACCTAATCCGATGCGCTTGCTTTCTAGCTTCTGGCACTGGGCGTGGGCCGGGATGGGGTTGTGACCATTTCTCCTCGGGCGCATGGTCATGGCCATGCTGTCTCATCGACGCGATGGCGCCCGAGCCGCCACTGGCCGCTCTCCTGGACAAAAGCTATAGGCGATACCAGTAGCAGCGTGCAAGTGGCTCGCCCTCGGGCTGTTTGTCCTGGACGAAGTCGCTTTGAAGCGCCCCCCATCCAGACTGCTGCTATGTCATTTTCACCACGGCCGTCCCTAAAGGGTATGCACCAGCGCCATCAAGGGGGGGCTTCGGCATCGTTCGGGCTGGCGGCCTCGACGCGAGAACTGCTGGCCGCAAACTACATCTACGACGCCTCGGTGCTCGGCATCCTCAGCCCGTCTCGCCGCGGGCGCGACCTTGTTCCTCCTGCTCCAGGACGGCAATGAGCTCCTCCTCAACGACCTCCCCGCCGCCATCATCCTCGCCCACCGTAATCACTTTCCTTCACCTGACCTTCCTTCGGTTCTCCAGACGCTTCCGTGCGATCGGGACCACCCGCTTGAGACATTTGTCCCCGACGGGGAGAAGCTGACCACACGCTGCTGCTTCGCGACCGGTGGGGCTTCTTCCAAGCTTCGGCTTTGGTCGATGGTGGCGCGCCACCAGGCCACGGTCGTCGTGGCTCCCGGTACGCCGACTTCGGTGCTGTCTACCATTCTTCCTCGGCGCGACCCTCGTCCTGCTGGACGACCAGATGCGCATCGCCCGCGTGCGCCAGGTCGTGCGGATCCACGTCGGCGGGCGCCAGCTTTTCTCAGTGTACGCGCGTGAGCCCGAGGCGATGGCACAGGCGTTCGTGCGGCCGCCTTTTGCCCAAGAAGCCACCCTGTACGGCACTGGGACCTGAGGTGGAACACGGACCAGCTGCAGATTGGTCGGAGAGACAGTAAGATCAAGGTTGCCGGCCAGCGGCTTGAGCTTGCGCTCGCCGACATCGAAGCCGTCCTCAACCGCGTGGCGCGGGAATCGCACAAGATCTGCGGTCGGCGTCTAGGGACATCTGCTGAGATTTGAAGGAAAGGGTAAGAGTTAGTTATTATCTACAGATGAGGGCTCCGTCACCTCGTAATTGATCATCTGCCAAACACGTGGCTTTGTCATATTATCTGAACTTCAACAACAACAGCTGCTGGCCGCTGGTGAGAGAGTAGTGGGCCCAGCCATAGACCTGACAGGCTTTCGCGCGTACTGCACCGAGTTTCTCCTCCGCCGTTGCTGCTTGCTATGGTCTTCGTCTCTAGGATCCCCCTTACGCCGAGTGCCAAGGTTAATCGTAAGCGCTGCCTTCTCTGTTCGTGCACCTTTTTGCCACGCGTCGGCAATCTAGCCCTCATCCGGCAGAGGACGCGAAAGAAGCCTCGCTCACGGCCATGATGTCTGGCAATCTGCGCGAGAGAAGACGCCTATATTTAAGTAGGTTGCCCCCCTGGCGCGTGTCTTAACGAATGTAGCAGCTACCGGTCGGTTTCCCGCCTCCCTTTTCGGCCGTGCGTGTTTGACCGATGGAGGAATCAACTCCCGCTCGACATACCGGAACGGCTCCACCTCGCCTTCACAACAAAACGGCCACAGAGTCTCGGACAGTGCAGCCACTGCGCGGCTACGAATTTAGGTGCCTCCGAAGGGCCTCCTCAATGCTGAAAAGGTTGGCTACATTAACGGCGAAGCGAATGTCGTCCGTTGTCCCCCCGGATTTAAGAGACAAGATCGACGTTAAGCACTCCTCCGGCTCACCGCCTCAACTCCGTGGTTGAGCGAGCAGTAGCATGCTGCCTATGCAAGATTCTGGAGGGTCCCCTCGCTCGTTCCGGCAGTAACATCTTCGTTCTCGGGCTGGGCCCTTTCTCTGGGCTGGAGTTCCTCATCGAGATTGCCATGGCCTTCCCTAGGGCACCCCTGGACCTCTTTGCACCCGCTGAGACGTAAGTTCCGTCGAAGTGGCAGTGGAAACTCGTTCTGCTGTCACTGGAGCTTATCTCAAAAATCGCGGGGTGATCCACGCTTGCATCTACGACGGGATAGGTGTGCTAATTAGCAAGTTCAATCGTTCAACAGTTCTATCTTTTGCAGCAGATTCATTCCGACGCGATGAACAGCGTGCCAGCAGTGTTCGAAACGGAGGCGTACGAGCAAATGAAAGCGGCCCGCATCGCCCACGCCTGTGACCCTTCCGCTCATTTACTGCATCGCGTTCGAGCTTCCGGGCACGAGGCAGTTTCTCTACATCAACTCGCACCATATTGATTGCGACGAGAACTCAAACAACATGCGTGTCGATGAAGTTGCAAAGCTGTGCGGGCCACCGGTAAGCAGGCTCCATACGGGTGCTTTGACGATGAACCGCGGTACGTCGACTTTTAACCTTATGCTAGCAAGGAAAAACCATCCCGTGAGTATCCCAGTGAGCTTCTTGCGCTTTCATGTACGCGATTACCACCTGTTGCTACCAATAGGAGTCTGCCTTTTTCTTCCCTAGGCCAAACAAGATTGTAGAATTGTTGGTGGCAGCTGTTAAGAGATGTTTGCTACGGTCATTAGAGATGCTATATCTCGGTATCAGTTTAGCTCGAGCAAAATCTGTGAATCAAGAGATAATATTGGCAACCATATTCGACTAATTCAAATTTTTGCTACACTCCATCGAACTCACCCAGATTCTCCCAAGAGTCCAATGTCTCCGCTGCGCCAGACTTGGCCTTGGCCAAGGGCATTTCTTCGAATAATCATTAGAAACTATGTTCACATAGTAAAGTGTTGCAGGCGGCTTTCAAGGCGCTGAACGGGCTTAAATAGATGACAAACGACAAAACTATTACATACAAAGCAGATGCCCCATAATCAGTATGTCAGTAACCATGGTTTTCAGGGCAAGTGAAGGAAATACCCTCAGATTCCTGATATAACTTTTCGTCCGCGAAATATTCCGTACTATAGTCGATATCAACGCATTTGTAGTTATCCGGGCTGTTACCACCGTTTCGGCCGACGTGGGGACAATGGATCTTGGCTATGTTAGCGAGCTATAAACAGGGAGAGGAAGCACTTAGGAAGAAGACAACCATGGCACAGAGAACTTACATCGGGACGGGTTCTGGTAAGGATAACGTGGACGGTGCGACATGCAATGTTATCACCCCATGCCTCATCGTAGGTTCCGAAAGGTTTTGTTGAAAGCTCCGTATTGCAATCTTCCACGCTATCGTATTGTTGATTTGCACCAGTACAATGTTGCTGGATGGCAGGACAAAGTGCTTGTCTCGTAGCATTCTGAACCGACGGGTCGCTGGTATCGCCACCGACAACAAGTGAGCTCCACAGTAAAAGGTTTGGTACCCAGGCATCGTATCGAATGACTTGTCCGTCACTGTCGAAGTTCCAGAAGGCGACCTGAACAATAAAAGCTTAGTGAGACTGAAACAGGCTAGTATAGCGAAGAAGTAGACTCGAAAGGTTTGGTACGAACCTGCTTTAAAGCAAATGTGTGCGATCTATTAATTAAGTCACCAGATATAGAATCCACAAGGCCGGTCTTGAGATAGACCACCGAGGCCGCAACTTCCGAACAGCCGGAGGTAAACTCTATAACTTTAGCATTATAGAACGCATATCCGTACGGCGACTAGGGAATTGGTGGTAATGCGAAGAAGTACTCAACAGAATCCTCGAAGCCAGTAAAATTCCTAAGAGGCGTTATGCGGCCAGTAGCGGTCTGGTTAAACAGTTCTGAAGGAACAGCGGTAGACCTATTTGCGATGATGGGGAGGAAGTTCGGGTACACTGTGAGGTTATAAATGGTCTGAATGGTTCGTAGGTTTCTAGATACGAAATCCTTATATGTAATTGCATAGGGCTGGGTGAGAATGACGTAGAAGATGAGGGAAAGTATAGTAGACATTTTGAGCGGAGGAGTAGATCGCTTGTAGAGGTAGAATAGCAATGATAACAGGTCGGCCTTATATAAGAAAAGCCGTAAGAACTGCTAAGGAGTGGCATCTATCAGGCGACTACTATTTGTACCATATTGCGTGCTACAATCATAAAGGTAGATTACTTGGCGTCGGGTTTTTGCAAAGCTGGCTTTATGGCGCCCTGCTGTGTCGTACTACCAATCATTCCGAAACATTATGACGGTAGCAACTGGTCTTCTTTTAAAAAACCATAAAGTCATTAGCGTATTGCGGCTAGGTATAGGGAACTACTCGTTCGAGGTATGTATAAGAGCTATCTACCCCCCCTTAAGACAGATTTAATGGAGAATTTATCTTTTAGGTTACTATTCTCGTAAAAACTACAATTTGATTCCGTGAATATGAAAGACTGTACGATACTACCAACTATTCAGCCTGTTTAATCGGTAGAAGCCGACATGTAGATCATATTCGGATTCGGACAAAGTAATAAATCTTGTATTACCTCGGATTTAGCTTTCTATAATGGAATATTTGGCCTTTTTGGCGGAACGCTACAGCCTATAATGAATTCCTTATGTGGCTTCGGAGTACTTGTGTTACTTCGCCAGGGACGATGAGAATATGTTCTATGTTGAGGGGTTGAGCAGTAGGTAGGACTGTGAGGTAGGAAAACAAATCAGTTGAACGAAGGAGCGACGGAGGCTATATCTGAAAGCGGTTAAAGAAATGCTTAGTTTCTAAATATAGCTGCTCACATTCTTAGCCTAGTCGAGGTTAGATACGGTAGGGTGGTAAAACACCTAGTCGTTGTGGCGCAGCTTAGAGCGGGCTGAGAAAAGGTAAATGAGGAAGGACGGGCCCGACTGGTTAGAAAGGAGCTTGTACTATACCCCGTGGCCACTCCGATAAGGCATTAAATGTATAAATGTTAGAGCGGGCGCTTAGGTGGCGCGAAGTCATATTAAACTTCGGGCACAATTCCGGGCTGAACCTTGAAGAAAGCGATATATAATGTAGTACCGAATGTTGGGTAACACTCCCGCACGTTTAGTAAACATTAAACCAAGGTATTATCTTTGATGTAGACCTGGGATAAGAGTAGTTTGGCGTGTAGACTGGACTCTAGCATGACTGATTTCTGCACGGAATTTTAATGGGCTGACCTTATAATTTCGAAGCTGGTAAAAGTAATTTTAAATGTCTTAAGTTAAATTGAGCCTCCCGATTTTTATTTTCTCCTGTTCGTCTTCTCGTTTTCACTATAATTGCGTATTAGTGGCTTTTTTCTGAAACTGGCGACGGCCTATAACGCATTCTTTCGGGTTATTATTACTTTTATGTCAATATTTAAGACTATGAGCTCCGAAATTGATACCGGTTGGTAGTTTGATAAGTTGGGAACGCTTTTCTATGTTGATTAAGATTCGTGAAGTACTGAGATATGAGTATTAATAGGCCGGTAGAGCTTTCGCTTTACCATCTTACACCGCATGGCATCTAACCCAACAAACCACGAATCTGACTACCTTCTATCATTCTAACTCTGCAATTATCTCTTACGGACTTGACTTTTACACCCGATGATAGGATGATTGGTTTCTTAGCTATTGGTACTACATCGTATCTAGGAATTCTGCTTACCGGGAATGGAGCAACATATGGTTGCTTTGTTAACGTCGCACCCGTAACGATAAACGTGGATGTGTCTAACCCTTGCGGGATACCTCTGATGAGCACTACATCTAAGCTATTCCAACTTATTGGTTATTTCTGGATTCATTTTAAGACCATCACAACTGACTCCGGTTTGACAGAAGGTTTTTTTTTTTTTCACTTATGTTCTTTCACCGCACAATCCACGGAAAGCGTGATACTGAGACTATTTTTATTCTAGCAGAAGATGCCTGAGTTTACCAGCTGATTGAGGGACGGAGAATGGCAACGCCAAACAGCGTTACGATTTGCATCAAGGGATCTCTGGATATTTCTCACGAGGCGCTTTTTAAAAGGGCAAGCGAAATTTTCCCTTTAGTCTCAAAATTCCGTCGCGGCCTAGACGGCAGGATCTACCTATTTCTCGACGTCTTAGTCGACAATATCGCTGCCGTGGTATGTGCTAATTCAACTGGCTTTGGTCACGTCCCGTTCGGTATAAATGGCCCTCCCCACCGCCAGGCGACTGTCATGGGAGATTGTAGCCTGAGGATGGAAAACCAAGCCGGGAACAGGCAATTTCTAGCAGATTCCAAGCAAACAAGCCAGCAATCAGCCAGTTGGTCTGTCAAAGACTGGTAGATAGATTGAATATAATTACTATGCGATTTATTCACTTCTGAGAGCCGTCTTGATACAGCAATCCGCAGGCCCGTCGTATCACGATGCGATCAAGTCTTTGATTCGCAAACTCGAGAAACGAGGACGCTCCGTACAGCTTCGCTTTCGGGACGAACCACAGCCGACTCCGAGCATTCCGGAAGACGAATCCCAACGTGTGTGATCGAAAGCTCCTCCGTCACGTACAGGCTTGTATGCAAGTGAATTCTCTGGAGAGCAAAAGGGCGTTTAGATCGGGCACGCAGCCCTCGCCAACTCTGTTCGCAAGTGCTACCGGGTCTATAGGCTAGAATAACATTTGTTTGATTGAACGACTGACGAGAATGACAAACATGCAGACTGGTATGACCAAGCAGAGGTTCGTTCATACAGAGGAAGACTGAGATGCCCATGTGATTCTGATGGCTACAAAGCACTAGCTAATTTCACCTTCTTGCATTTCGGCGTTGGTACAGGCCGCTATCATTTGACCTTGCCCTTCTTCAGCTTGTCGCAGATGTCCCTGAAATCTGCCTTGGCGGGTCATTCGGGCTCTGCTCGCGTTGGTTACCCAATGCTAGTTGTGTGATTACAGTCGCTCCAAGGTTCAGCAATACTCTGCGGTGTGCATCCTCACCAAATTCAATTTGGGTTCGCCGGGTAATTTTCAAGGGAACAGCAAAGACGAAAGTACTCCCCGACGAATTCAAAGTGAACATTTTGGTGAGGATGCGCCGTGCGAGCCGCAGAGTATTGCGAACCTTGGAGCGACTGTAACGCGCATCATAGTCAAGACGATCGTCGACGCGATCACACCCTCAAAAAGACGCCGGCAAAATGATGTGCCCGAAATTGACTTCATCCAAAAAGCGAATATACATCTTATAGACAGCTTTTACGAACAGCTGCCCAGTTTTTCACGAAACCTTGAAAGATCTGTACCGTATTGGTCCACGCAATTCTCCACAAGTTGGTCCCCATATCATGGAACATGCAAAGTAGTATTCTTGGAGTATAGCTTCAACTCCAAGGCATCTTGCTTAATGCTCTTACGCTATCCACCGCATACGTTATGATCGGTCTTACAGTGGTACGTTCAGGACATCCCAACCGGGTCCGCCTGCAGATACTGTTGAACTCGAAGGCCTACTGCTTCGTCTGCTTGCGCCGACCCCACTACCCATGATGGCCGTATGCAACAGCAGCTTGGATCCTGGCGCTTAAGCACCGTTGTGGTTGTGGAAAGGTGATTGGTGGATCGGCGATGATTTCGGTGTGCGGCCGCATGCTGCCTCTGAAAGAGGAAGGGCAATGATGAAGATTAGGCTGGTGAAGGCATGTACGTTGTCAATTCTGGGGTAGCAACAACCAAAGACTTCGGCCTTTAGCTTCAGTGAGCGCTGAAGTTAAATAATGGCAGATGCTTGACTAAGAGTCCTCAAATAGCGTTGTTCTACTTTCCCATGATCTAGCCTTGTTGTGCACGGCCGCCCGCCATTCGCTGGGTTCCGCGGTGGCTTCTGCGCCTCAGCCTGAAACCGCCTGACCCGTTTCTGATATCTGCGGTGGCTGCGGCTGCGGTTCCTCAAGACCGCCACCACCACCACCACCACCACCACCACTGCCATCATTTGCACGGCCCGCCGCCACCCTCCATTCGCTCGCGCCGCTGCTCCGCCGGTTTCTGCCTCGACTTGAAGCCGCCTGACCCGATCCATTCTCCTCCGCAGCTGAGGTTCCACCTAAAAGCCACGACGACTGCTGCTGAGAGGAGAGCCACACCTGCCAAGCCTTCATCGTCTGTACCTCACCACCAAGACTCTCGGCGTCGTCCTCACCCTTTCTCCCGGCCCCCGCTGCCGCGCCAGGATGCTGCTGCTCGCTCGCCGGCGCCGGCCATCAGTGCCGCACTACTAGCGGGCGCCGCCACTGCTCCCATTCTTCCTCTTCCTTGTTCTTGCGTCGTCAGCGGGCCGGCCCTGGGGAGTGGTGGTGGTGGTGGTGGTGATTTGGAGGTGATCGCGTCCTTCCGGCGCGAGCGGTTAGTAAAAGAGGAGGAGGAGGAGGAGGAGGAAGAGAGAGGAAAATACGAGTTGATGGCGGCGACGACGGCTTCAGTCGTAGTCCTCCTGCTGGGTGGGGTGCTAGGTATGGGGCGCGGGGGAAGGCAATGGTGGTGGTGATGGTCGAGGAGGAGGAGGAGGCGGGTGAGAAGGGTGTGGTGCCGGTTGGTGCGGGAACGAAGATGATTACCTTTGAGGAGGAGCAACGGATGCAGACGATACGGCGGTGGGAGGGTGCAGCAGCAGCAGCAAACTGGGAAGCCGGAAGATGGAATATCGGATCAATGCGGTGGATCGCAGGCAGTGTCGGCGGATGAGATGAGATGATGATGATGCTGTTGCTGCTGCACGCTTCGTCGCCGGGCTTTTCCTGGACAGTTGCCGAATGATGGCAGGACTGCTGCAGATGCTGTCAGTAGCGGTCGCTGTCCGGTTCGGGCTTGTGCGATTAGGGCCCGTTGCTTTGGGTAAGGGCTACGCATCGTGCTGGAGCAATACTGGGCTGCTGTGAGCTGCGCTTCATCCTCATGGTACATGGCGGGGGGAGAAGCCCGGATGACGTGCTCTTCTCCTTATTCCTTCTCCTTCGGCCGAGGTACTGGATCGAAGACTGGACTGTCTTCGGGTGAGGTTGGCCGGGATTATGCCTTTACAAGACCGAACGCTGCTTCTTGTACGGCGCAGAGCTGCGTCCGATCAAGGCTGCCGAGCGAGTCAACGAGGCTCGCCATGGCCGAAGGAGGGGAAACCTCAAGAGGAGGGTGGCCGTCTGCTGTCGGCGGGTGCTGGAAGTCATCGGGTTAGGAGCCGGGCAGTAGTCGTGGGCTCTCCGTCTCGGTCCTACCGGCTTTGAGACGGCAATCTGTCCGTTCGGCCAAGGCTGTAAGGCGGAAACGGGACCTCAAAGTCTTGATGTCTGGTGATCTCTGTGCTGTGAGACGGCAGGCTGGGATACACTACCTGCTGTCCAGGGTCATCTGTTTCTCGAGGACCTTACACTGCGCTTGTCTTGACAGGTGTTTGGAAGGGAGATTGGGAAGGTCAAACGGATTGCATGAGGTGGAGGTGCAGCGCGAATATGCATGCATCCGGGCAAAGCAAAAGGTCGCATGCTGCATCCCGCTTCAACATACTCAAGACTGAAGAGAAAAAGCATACCCGGACGAGAGAATTCCGACAGAAACGTCAAGACGAGCAAGCTCTGTTCCCACATTTGCCTCGCAGGATCGAAGCTGCAGGAAGTCGTGGTAAATGGCATCAGTGCAACCCGCACACACAGTTTTCCCACTCACAACCGACATGAATAGCCAAAGGGCGGGTCAATGAGAATGATATTCCATCAGGGAGTAAACGCACCTTCTCGTCCACCACCAAGGGTCGTATGCGGTATCCGGTGTGTCGTCAATTGCCGCCAGCAAGAAGAGCGTTATCTCTCCTATGATCCTTTGCCGCTCATTACATCTGTGTCGGGCAACCTGATGATGAAAACAACAAACATGGCTCACTATTGCATAAGCAGGAGTTCGTACAGAGGGAGGGTGTGAGGTAATTCTGATGGCTACAAAGTCCTAGCTCATTTCTACTTTCGTATTAGACTCCTGCCTTTTGATTTCGGCTTTCTTCAATTTCTCGCAGGTGGTCGTCCATCTCCTGTATCATCTGTTGGATGTCCACGCCCATCTTCTTCATGTTCGAATCGTGCACTTGTTGTATCTTCTCTCGATGTTCCTCTATCTTCTTTCGGTGTAGATCCATCCTTTCGAGTATGGGGCTCCCCTCCTCGTTGCCAAACCAATCGATTGGGCCCTTTTTAGGCCTGGCGAACCGGACGCGTTCGATCAGCTTCTCTTCGAGGAGCATCGTGTATAGATGCAGGCTTTTCATGTCCTCCCAGAGCATCTCATCCATCTCCATGGTGGTTTCGTAGTCGGGGTCGGGGTCGAGCAAGGGGCCCAGCCACTGGAGCATGGGCATAAAGAAGTCGGGTTGCGGTACCCTCCAGCGTTGAGAGGATTCGCCAGCCGGTGGAGTGCTTGACTGGCTGATGATGGGAGCTTCCGCGGAGGAGTCGAGTCCGCACATGGCCCTGCACAAGCCCGGCAGGATCTCGCGGGCCCCCGGCGCCGCGTAAAGCGCAGAAAACGCGCTGCAGCCAAACCCAACCCCAACGCCAGATGCCATGATCCACAGCGGGTAATGCCACCAGCAGTGGCTGTTCTTCCTCCTCTCTGCGTGGATCTTCGTTCTGATAAAGCCGCGTAGAACTTCGGCGACTTCCACCAGCTTGGCCAGCAATTGCTGCCTGGGATCCGCGTCGGCGGCTGAGTGTTGCATTTTGTCGATGGGGTTCGTGTATGGTCTGTTTTTAGGTATGGTCTGTTGGGTTTGCCGGTAGATATTCAGGTAAAATCAGAGGGGTTTGCTGGTAGATATTCAGGTAGAGTCTGCGAGATATTCTGATTATATGTGCGAAAACGAACAAAGAATGGCAGCATGAGCCACTTCGCAGCCAGTGAGTGTGTTGAATAGGAGGGTTTCGGATGAGTGACAAAATGTGTCTTGGCTCAGCTCAGGCAAGCCACCTAAGGTGATGTGCTCCGACATCAGAGACAGGGGGAAATGGCAGTAGCGGTGACCTGCCTGGAACCGGCCGCGCGCATCGTTGCCGCTGCTGAGTGAGGTTTGCTCGATATGAGAAGAGTGAGCTGGCAGGCCGAGAAATCGAGCTAGAGGCCACGTCCAACGTTGCGTTGACTCCGACTACGTGGTCAGTTTCACCGACAAGACGTCACTCCGATGTCTTTGAAATCGGCCCTATCCCATTGGCGCATCTGCTCGGAGAAGTCCCAAGCGGTGCGTTGTAGAAACAAAAGCATCCCGTAAGCGGATGCCTCGGCGTGTGGCTTGCTATGGTTGCTAGGGCTGGAGGCGATGTGCGGCAGCGCGCTACAGGTCCAGGGCGACTCGTCGAGATGCCGCTCGGCGCGGTTAACTTCGAGAGCGCGGATCCGAAGAGCGGCACTCGAGACGAAGCGGTGCAGCGAGGAGGAATAGGCGCGGATCAGGTCGAGGCGGCCCCTCATGCTTTCGAGTCTGTCGAGCTGACCGGCTGTCTGATGCAGTTCCCAGTGCGGCCACGACGGTGGGTGCTTGCCGCCCAGCAGGTAGCCAGTGAACCGGCGGAGCGCCCACGAGCTATTACGCCACGTCGACATCGTTGACTCGGCCCACTGCTTCACCTGCTCGTCGTAGGCGGCTATTTGGGCGACCGTGGTATCGTTCTCCTTGTACCGTGCTTTCACCTCTTCAAGCAGAAAGGCGGTGCGCGGGTTGAGGCGACGATCGTAGGCGTCCAGCTTCTCCCGGACCCCATCGATGTCCCTGAGTAGCCTTTGGTCGAGGCGTAGCAGGTACCCTTGCAACAAGCAGATTTTGTCCCATAACATCCGTTCCCGCTCAATGGTGGAGTCGACGGCGGAGGGGACAAGCCAGCGCGCCAGCCATTGGGGTAGGACTGGCTCAGGCTGCCGGGGCTTCGAGAGTGCAACGAAGTCATCGGGTGGCATCTTGAGCGACTCGGCCGCCCAGATGCACGTGTCGTTGATACGCTGCGACGAGCTCTCCAGAAAGCCCGTTATTCTGAGGTCGAGGAAGCCCATAGGCTCGCCCACGCTTCTCATGAAGTCAACTGCCAGCACATTCAGGTCCTCCTGGTGTGCCTGCACCGTGGCGTTCGGCATTTCCCACTCCCACAATTCCCCGAGCTCGAGATGCAGGTTCCGGATTCGCCAATCCAGCTCGTAGACCTGGTTCCACAGCCGCGTGAACTCGAATGGCTTGCTAGATGGGGCCATTTTTGCTGCTTCCGCCTCCTCGCCTAGTCGTATCACCCCGTTGTAGACCGAGCCAGGCGTATAGACGGGCGGCGTGTATGATAGTTCCGGCGTCCTCTTGAACAGGCCTGCAAGCGCCCATATACCCAGATCGCGAAGCGCAGAAACCGCGCTGTAGTCAAATCCAATCGAAAAGACAAGCGCCAAGAGCCACAGCGGCCACAGCGGGTAGGATGACGGCCGGCGGCGGCGGCTGCGGCGATGGCGGACAGCCAACTCCAAGACGTGGATTCGTAGGTCCGGCCTGACGGTGGCTAGCATCCTGGTTATATTACGCTGGCCCTCGGGGCTGTATCCGGCAGTGTATCGGCGAATAGCTGGCGGATACGATCTGCGTCGTTGGCCGAGGTGTGCACGAGTATCTCGTCGATAATGTCGTTCATATCGTCCATGGTCTGATTTCAGGTGTGGTTTGTCGGTAGACAATGATAGATGTTCCGACTATAAGCGGGCAAACGAACAAGAGTGGTTCGGATAAGTCGCAAACAACAATGGCGCATGATCTCCGTTTGCGAGTGGCAGCGGCTAAGCTGCCTGTGGCCGACCGCGCGCATCGTCGGCTAGCAGGAGCAGCGTTGCCATGTTTCTTCGGGTACACTGGACCGGAATGAGGAGAGAAATGCATGACTCAAGACGTGGCAGATGTTTTGCGCAGCCTGAGTCACCTTGATGACGTCAATATTTTCGCGTGCCGGAGCGAACAATCACCGACTCGGCCAAAACAAAATCCGCCGCACGTGACGTGCCAAGGCTCTGGCCGAGTTTCCGAACTTCAAGCGCCGGGCGCACGCCCTCCCTCATCACTCTGCAACACCTCCGCCACCGCCTAACGCCTCCCCATCGCCGCCCAACTCCTCCTCCCCCATCGCCGCAGTCCTGCTCCCAACATCCCGCCCCCGGTTCGAAAGGTCGCCGCCCGGCTCACGTTGGTTGTGAACTCTGATCACAGCGTTGTGCCCGCTCTTCGCGTTTGCCTGCTCGGCTTCGTGAACGCGGACCCGCTGGTGTGTCGGAACTTCGCAACGACTTGAGGGCGTGAAAGTCTGCTCTGTGGGCTCTTCGCGTTTCCGGTAGCGGGCCTTGCAGCCCGCCCCAACGCTCGCCTAGGTCGCCGCCCGGCTCGCCTCGTCTGTGAACTCTGATCGCAGCGTTGTGCCCGCTCTTCGCGTTTGCCTGCTCGGCTTCGTGAACGCGGACCCGCTGGTGTGTCGGAACTTCGCAACGACGCGAGGGCGTGAAAGTCCGCGTAGTCACTCAAGTGGCTGCTGTGTGGGCTCTTCGCGTTTCCGGTAGCGGGCCTAGCAGCGTGTAAATTCCATGTCGACCCACCCTTGTCCGAACCCGAACGACCATCAACGAAATGCCTGATCATTTGCCGAAAATTGTGGGAGGGACACTGGAACAGATTCTGGCGCAGCCTACTCTTGTTGGATATTCAAGTTTTGGGGAATATCAAACCATCGGGCGGTTGACTGATGCTGAAGAAAGTGCGAAAGCCAAAGTCACCCTGTCAATCCACCGCGACGTTCAATCCGGGCAGAGACTCTTGATCTGTCTCCACCTACCTCTCAAGCGCCGTACCTGGAAGAATGTAAGATCCATCTACCTAGTCATACCCGTTGACGACCTGCAGATCAAGCCCGAAGTCCTATCTGCCCGCCATGTTGCACGACTTCGCCCCGATCAGCTGAGGAGAAATGGCCTTGATCTCGACAGTAAGCTTCTTCAAGTGACAATGACGCTTGGATGCCCCGCCTACGCCGTCATGCCTTCGTTTCCAACGGGACCGCACACGCCCCTAGACGGCTTACAACAGCAGCTGCTTTTGCATTGGCGGAACTTGTCAGCCAGCACCCACATGGACCTCTACCTCTCCGATGTGTCAGCCATCACTAACTTCCGCACAATCGAAACCCAGCAATTCATCACACCCGAGCTTGATTTAGACCACATGTACGAAGGCTGCCGTGGAGTGAAAAATGACTGGGCCCAATACCCCTGCGATGACGACGCCAGACAACCCCCAGGTTGGAATCCGTGCCTTGATCAACCCCCACCTTACCATGAAGCTGCACCCCCTCCCGTCGACCGCATGCCCTCACCGGATGAGATTACCTGGGGAACATCACAGCCTTTCGATGAAACCAAGCTGTTCAAGGACACCGGTGCTATCTGTCGTCCCCAGAAACGCAAGGCAACTGAAGCCTTGGCCGATGACGGAAACTCGTTCCAAGACGTAATCCCAGGCACGCCCACCGAGGCGGATTCCAGCCAAAAGTCGACGCATTTCGGAGACAGTCATCCGTCACCACATCCGTGGGCTTTGCAGGCAACAGAAGTAGAGGAGGCCATGAGATTGTCCTTGATCCGCCGCGGGGACGCGGCTAGCGCCTCGAAGCCCATCAACTGCGCCTTACTTCAGGAACCCTGCCTCTTTCTAGAGCTGCAAGAGTGGATCTTGAAGATGTGGGACTACGATTCGAGCGCGCACGACATGCACCGCGATGAGCTCCTCAACTTGGGCTCCTATGCACGCAAGAACCTGGTCAGCCTCTTCGATAGCACCAAGGCGGAGATGCAGCTCGAGTTTTTGGAGAAGGTGTCCCAAAGGCTGGTCGTTCCTGGCTTACGCACGTCCAACCTTCGGCTTGATGCGAAACACTTCCACAGCTGGCTCGAGAAGCGCATCAACCGCAATGCCGTGACGCTGCTGGCTGAGCCGTTGAGGGACATGCACTTCACGCTGAGGGAGGCTGTGGTGCGGCAGGTGGAGGAAAGCGAGGCTCGGGATTTCTACGAACAGAAGGCGAAATGCTGCGCCATAGCTTTTGTCACGTTTGGTGGGCGGATGTAAGCGGATCTCTTAGTCTTGTCGGACGGGTGCAGCGGTTCTTGAGGGGTTCTTGATAGAGATGTGCCCGATTTTTGGCCTCAAGATCTCAATAGTGATGTTGGACAATCCAGCCGCGGGCACAAGCAAAATTCCCGTAGATTTCTGGCAAACTTCCAATAGATTCCCGGCAAAATGCAGTAGATTTCCGGCAAACTCCAGTAGATTCCTGGCAAACATGCTAGCAATCAGTCAACCGGTCTATAAAAGACTGGAAGATGGCTGAATACAACCACCACCAGACTGTGCTCCTTCTCCTCGACATCCACTCGACATCTTCAACCACTACATTATCCACCACTACCCATACCTCCAAATTACCTCATATACACGGACCCCATCAATGTCTTCTTCTTCTTCCTCCTGTCGCAACCCTTCCGGACAGGAGGGCCACGGCTCGGCATCTCCATCTCAAGCCCCCGCAAGCCCCAGCACGCCGCTGCCGTTCAACAACGTCAACGACAACAACGCCAACACCAACGTCGACGACGAGGAGCACCGCCACCGATGCCACGGCACCTGCCCGGACAGCGGCGGCCAGCGCTGCCGCAACCTCATCGACGCGCACGCGTGGAAGGCCGACAGCGTGCGCTTCTGCAACCTGCACGAGGAGCAAGCCGCAGACGCGCTCGCCAGAGCCAGGCGCGAGGCGCAGCGGCTGGCCGGCGACGACGCGAACCTGCGGGTCGCTGTTGCTGCCTTTCTTGACCGCAAGATGACGACGACGACGGCCTTTCTCGGCGCGCGGGCCGCGGCGGTGGCGACGAAGGAGGGGGAGGAGGAGGAGGTGGTGATGGCAGAGAAGGAGAAGGATGATGATGATGAGGCGCGCGAGGAGGAGGAGGAGGCCATCATCAGGGACGAGCAGTGGAGACAGCACGACAGGGAGCTGCACTTGAGCGTCGCCAGGGCGCACGTCAGCCACCAGCTCGAGGCGAACGCGCGGGCCTGCGAAGAGGCGGCACGGGAGATCGCGGAGCTGCGGGCGGCGGCGCGCGAGGAGGCGCGCGACGTGGCGGACGCCGTCCGGGCTGGCAGGCTTGCCGGCAGGCTCGAGCGTGTCGAGGGCGAGCTGGCCGACTCGCACGAGACCAACGCGACGCTCAGCGCCGAGGCGCGGGCCTCGCAGAACCGCATCGCAGCCTTGGAGACGGAAGTGAGGGCCGCCGACGCTGAGAGGGAGCGCCTCGCCGTCCAGCTCAGCGACACTGAGGGCGAGCTGAGGGAGGCGCGTGCGAAGAACGCGAACCTCGCCGCCGATCCGGAGGGCCACCAGGCGGGCGCCGCCGCAGCATGGCTTGGTCGGGCAAACGACGAGAGTGACGACGGTCTGAGGACTCGGCTTCGCGACACCGAGGTCGAGCTGGGCAGCGCTCGCGAGGCGCACACCAACATTGCTGCCCAGCTCGCCAACACTACCGCCACTAACCGCGAGCTTAGGGCTAGGGTCCTGCTCGTCATCTATACGATGCGCCTCATCATACTTGGCCGCCGTTCCATCGCCGCCGCCGAGCGCGCTATTACTGAACGTGCTGCGGCCGAGCGTGCCGCTGCCGTTGACGAGAGCCGGGCCGCCGCTGCTCGCGCTACTCTCGCATTAATCATAGCAGGCTTCATGTACTTGGGGAGGCCGCGCGGATAAGGGAGCTTCAGGGGTGAATGGTTGCGAGCGTTAACTTTCACACCAACATTGCTGCCCAGCTCGCCAACATCACCGCCTAGCTCGAGCATAGGGACTACCAGACCGACTAATATACGCTACAGCGGCCTATCTACACCCACCGGGGTTTGTTGTTAAACCTGACCTTAACACCCTTCCTCTATTCGCTTCCCCCACTCCTCCGAATAACACAAAGTATTATATATAACACTATGCGAACTATTAAACAGAACGACTCCTCTATTCAAAAAACAATCACCGAACCCACCATGTATATTAGAACCACCAGACTGCGCTCCTTCTCCTCGACACCGACACCTACGACATCTACTCGACATCTTCAACCACTACAGTAACCACCACTATCCTATACCTCTAAGCTACCTCATATACACGAACCGCACTAATGTCTTCTTCTTCTTCTTCTTCCTCCTCCTCTCGCACCCCTTCCGGACAGGAGGGCCACGGTTCGGCATCTCGATCTCAAGCCCCCCCTGCAAGCCCCAGCGCGCCGCCGCCGCCGCTCAACAACGCCATCGACAACGCCAACGCCAACGCCAACGTCGACGATGACCAGGAGCAGCACAACAGACAGCTGCGGATGCGCGTCGTCGCCCAGGCTTATCTGGACCGTGTGCTCGAGGGGGACGCGCAGGCCAAGGACAAGGAAGAGGCGGCGGCGGCGAAGAAGGCGCGCGAGGAGGACGACGACGCCGCCGCCGTCCGGGCTAGCGGGCTGCTTGTCGACGACGAGCTCGAGCAGGTTAAGGGCGAGCTGGCCGACTCGTACAGTACGAACGCGACGCTCAGCGCCGAGGTATGGGCCTCGCAGAACCGTATCCTAGCCTTGGAGGCCGAAGTGCGTGGCGCCAACGCCCCGGCTCAGCGACGGCCGAGGGCCGAGCTGAAGGAGGCGCGCGTGCGAAGAACGCCAACCTCGCTGCTGATCTGGCGGGGCGCCGCGGAATGGCTTGTTTCAGGCGGACCGCGAGACTGACGGACTGAGGACGCGGCTTCGCGACACCGAGGTCGAGCTCTGCGCAACACACTCGCCAGGCGAAGAAGAACATCACCGCCCCAGCTCAAGGATAGGGACGCTAGAATCGAGGCTCTGAAGGCAAAGCTTACCCGCCTCGCGATTAAGCAGAGCCGCGCCGAGGCCGTTGTTGCTAGGAGGAACACTGCCAGCTTCGACTTTCTATCATCAGACGACCTCGCCATCACCTTGTTCGTCCTCGACGAAACCCGTGCTGCAGCGGTCCACTTCGTCGCCACTCACCGCAAGCTTATGACCAGGATCCTACCCGTCGTCTGCGCTTTCTTGGTATGGGTGGTGGCGGTCAGCTTGATGTACTTCTCGGTCCGCGGCGCGTGAGGGAGCTTGAAGAGTGATTGTTTTTTCCATTGCTTTTGTAGAGAAGTAGCTCAATACTATAATTCACTATTCCTGTCTTCAATCTGTTAAACGTCTTGTAGCGGTCCTGGTAAGCGGCCTCGACCCATTTGACCCGTATACCGGAGTCTTGTCCCTTCTCTCATTTGTGTGACCTGTCCTCTTCCCTTACGACAACATACCATATACATCGAACCACGCAAGTACCGCCACACTGCCGGAATAGCTTCTGATGAAAGTGAGAGAATGTATCAACTTATATACGCTCCCGTTTGACAAATGAACCAAGTCCGAAAAACAGTTACCCGGGGTGAAAATCGTTCTCAAGTATGCTGTGCCCACCCCCGGACCAGTGAAACTTGCACCGAGATGGGTAGGCTATGAAATCTGCAGAGCCGGCGCAGTTGGCATGCATGTACCGAGGATGATAAGTGGGGAAAAAGGGCGTGGAGGATGACCACCTTCTGCTTCTTCTGTGAGCAAATGGCGGACTTCGACTCGCAATCCGGTAAGCTCGTGACGGCTGCGCAGAGATTAAAGGGACAATTGCTCAACAGCCATTAGTACATCTCTAAGAACTGCGGAAGTGATCGTAGATAACACACCACGAAATGTCTTCTACGCGTGGTTGCATGGAACGAACAAACTTATTTCGTAATGCTTGACTACACGGCAAATTATACAGCCCTCTGATACTTGGATCCGATAACGCACAAGCCATCATGTACAGCGATCCTCTGACTCTCAGCTAAGTTGTATCTCAGCCGTTCAACACCTTGGAGTACTGGAGAAGCGCTTCTGCCTCCCTTGTGGCTACACCTACTTTCTCATCCATCTCTTCGAGGAAGTCCTTTGCCTCAGTGTATGCAAGCTGAAATTTGAAGTGAATCTGAGATGCAACATTGACAAAGGATGCAATATTACCACCAGCGTTCGAAGTCGCACCAAATCCCGACTGCTGCATATCTTTGCAGCGACGAGATACGCTCTCAAGTCCGGTTTGCAGAAGGTCGCGGGCTTGCGTTTCCGCGTCGTCGAGGTCAGGTCCGAGCATGCGGTCGAGATCGCGGATGATATTTTGTCGGTGCGTCACGCTGCTGAGAGCATCCTGGATTTTCTGCGAACCCTCCGACGCTCGGTGCTTCACCATTAGTACCACCTTGAAGAACTCGTCGGCCTGGGAGACTGCATGCTTCAAGCGCTTGCAACGAGCAATCGCAGTAGCATGGTCTTTCAGGAGTTGGGGTCCGAGCCGTTCCTGCACGTGCTCCATTGATGCCAGTGCTGCATCTACCTCTTGCTGAAGACGCTCCTTCTGCAGGCAGCAGCGGAAAAACATGCGCCACAGACTGCCGTCAGCCGAGGTGGGTATGCTGCTCCGGGCGATGGTGAAGAGCGCATGGACTATCACAAAAATGCCACAGTCATGCGAATTGGTTTGCTGAAGTGCCTACAGCATATTAGCATCAACGTTCACTAACGGGTGGAGTCCGACCGCGCACTCCTGGATCGCGGCGAAAACGCAAACTGCGCTCCGGACTGAAACCCAGGAACTTCGCGATGGATCGCGCGGCAAGCTCAGTGGTGTCGGTTCTCAGGACCATGGAGTCGTAGGCGGTGATAACGACGTCTTTACGTGTCAGTTCGAATGCCAGAAGTTGCCAATGCATTCGCTGTGGGTCAAACAGTGGAACAATGACCATCTCATCCGGCTTGCGGAGTCGAACGCGGCTATCCTTGGCTGATGCCCACCTCTCCCACGCTCCATCAGGAGGGACTGTGCCGATGTCTACGATGCGTACGCCCGTATTGGGGATGAAAAGAGCCAGAACAGACGTGATTGTTTCCTCTCCAAGCCAATTATCTCCCTCCAAAGCCCTCAACGCGTTCGCGACCCTCGTGTCTTCGTCTGCCCCGAAAGCGACGACGTTGGCTTCTGCACTAGGCGATTTCGGTGGTTCTTTGGAGCCCGGGCCAGCACTGCCGAACATTCTTGCCTTGGAGTTGCTCCCCAATCTCTCAAACCGTGGAAAGTTCTTGGAGGGGAAATATGCGCTGGTGTCTCCATCAGGCGGTTCGGAAATGTGACGATCGAACCGTTGGGTTCCACTATCGCGTTGCTCAGGGAGGTGCCTGATTGTCGGTACCTCTACCGGGACGGGAGCCTTGCTCGTCTCGAGGGAGTCTTTCTCACAGGACAGAAACGGGTCTGCAGTGTCGAGGGACTGGGATGCTTTTTCTCCGGTCGTTGGTTTCGTGCGGAGTGGGGCAGGAGTTTCGTCGAATCTGTCGGATTCGTCATCAGAGACCAGGCCCTCCGCGGTCATTGCATAGCCACCGAAGTCGTCATCGCCCAATACGTCTGTGCCGCGCCGGGGTTGTTCGATGTCTGTCATGCTCAAAGCGTGGTTTGAGGGTGGGCTCTGTGCGGTGCGGGGTGGGGAACGGGGACTCGCAGGAATAACGGCCGGCGTCCGAGGGGGCGATGACATGTGGACCTATCAGTCATTAGCATCCGCTTGTTGCATTTTTCGCCCATCTCGCTTGTACCTGGTCATCAGCTCCCTCCTGCTGGGAGACGTTTGCTGCGCCGGACTGGTTGCTAGTCTTCCGCCTCTTCTGTGGGCGGCGCAGGACGACATCGGGACAGTAGCCCTTTCGAGCGTTTCCAGCATCGAGCGGAGTCCAGTCAGGAGTTTTCGGGAGGCCAGGCTTGCCGGAGGTTGTCAGGCGGCGCGTGCGCTCCCGCTTCATGGCCTCAACAGCCTCGGCAAACGTAACGGTGGTGTCGTCCGCGAGCTTGCGAACTTGTGAGACAAACTCGCATGACATTAGTGCCTTCGGGCTAAATGTGTCGACAAACGCCTCGGCGGTGAGCTTCCAGCGCGAGGCGGCCAACGCAGCCAGTACCGGCTTCTGGCGCCCAAACTCGGCAGAGAGCAGGGAGACGGTGCGAAGTGTTTCCGGGCGCAAATGGTCCGTCGCTGAGAGCTTCGCATCCAGAAAAGATTTATGTAGCTTCTCCCAGGCGGTGAACAGGCCGGAAGATGAAACATTTGCTGCCGCTTCCTCGAAGGTCCGCACCTCCGCGGCCAATTCTGGTGGCAACATGTTGGTGCTGTTGCGGGACGGCGACGAGAGGATGGTTGAATCACAAGACGCTCTTGGAACGGCTGGAATGGACGCGGAGTCTGCGGCGGTATGGCGCGGTCGCAAATTGTCGTCCTGTGCTTGCGAGTTCTGGGACGCGCTCGAAATTAGGCAGTGACGTCAGCCGCTCGACGCGTCTCCAAACACCGAACCAACGCACAACGGAAAGGTGCACAAGACAGGGAAAAAACATCCCCCTTGAGCGTCTCACGCTGTGCATTCCGCTTGCCGCTCATTCGCGTTCTGGTTGCACCTATAGGTGGTGTTCCACTTGGGTTGGCGGTGATGTTGCTCAGAGCTCTGGCGGGGAACTTTCTCGGGACTCCGCGGAAGCTTCGCAAAGCTTCCGCCGACCCCACCGGAAACTCCCACATCTTCGGGCAGGTGCCAGATGACGACGCGCATCTTCTTCAGTCCATTCGAGGCTTGCACCTCCTACCCTACTGACCATGCCGCCTCTACAAGGGTGAATAGGTCCCGACCCTCGCGCTCAAGTGGCAAACAGGACGTTTTTAAGCCTTCCAGCCATCGCCCGACCGCGTCGCTGAACCTCATCCACCAGCGACATTCCAACACACCACCTCCAAGCAGCCGCCGTACTCTCGATCACACTACCTAGCCACACCGCGGCCACACACGCAGACGGATCTGGAAATGATGGTCACGGTGAGGACGCCTGAGATCCTGCGACGCCGCTATTCGTGCATGTACCTGCGTGTTGCACCGACGTTCAAAGCACCTCAGCGCCCGCATGCCAAGGCCAGCCAACCCAGCTTGTGTCGTCCCACCGCAGCTCACCTTGCCTTCCAGCCCGTCCCTCGAATCCTCGGCCGGACATGCGCCGATACCAGCCCGCCCTAGGAGAAGGTGTAATGTGTGGCTGCAGCCCTGTCGCCTGCTTGCTGTGAAGGTGGAAGCGCCGGTGGGTTTAGCCGCCTTGGACTAAACCGGTGCCGCTGGAAGTCCTCAAGATGCGCGCTTTCCAAAGGCGTCGTTTACGTGGGGTGGAAAGCGCTCGGCGCAGGCGCCCGCCGGCGGCGCCAAGGAATCACGGTGACGAGTGGCGCAAGCAATCCTATGGATAACGCCATACCTCCTCTTTTTGTGACACTCAGTTGCCAGAGATCGATCCGAAACGCTCGCGGCACGGCTTTCATCCACCGTCCTGTCGAATTGTGTGCGCCGACGTTCGCCGCTTTCCTTGAACCCAAAGCAAGCCTCTCTCCAATCTTGTTCCATTAATCTTACGTTGACTGGACACACCGGTTTGGCGTCCACCAATTTCCTCTCGCAAACAGAAATGTCCGTAACTTTGCACTTTGTTCGGCCCCTCTCGACACTCTCAAAGCTCATCCACTCTAGCCCCACGCTCAATACCGTCGTTGGCCATCCCCCCTCCACACCGCGACGGCTACGACGGTTTGGACGAGTGTGCAGCCATCGGAAGGTTCTGTGCCTTCCGCTATCCAGATCGTTCTGCCTGATACAAGGCGTCGAGCAGGTTGTCAACCAGCTGATAGGACCGAGTTTTCAAGGTCGTCTAGTGCGAAAGGACGACGAAGGCGATGGAGCTGGCTGGCGTCGATTCAGCACGAAGAATGATGGTTTGTGGCAGAGGCGCCCGTCTTTCTTGAACCATAGTGACTGATGAATAGACGATAGTGGGGCAATAATTGTCCGAGCGTAAGCTAACGTCAATGGGCAATTTGATCATCGCTAATTCTAGGGCACCGCCGAAGCATGTAACGTCGACCTTGATCGGACCTCTATGATCCTTTGAATACAGGAAATCTCTCGGCGACTCTGACGGCTTGGGACTCGAGCTTGGCTCAACAAATCTTGCAATCGTGGAAACCTTTGTTGAAGATTTGACAGACAATGGTTTCCTGCTCTGCGTTGTCTTTTATTCTTGTCCGCCGCAAAATGTGAATGGGAGAGTGGATAGGCGTGCGGCAGCCCACAAATTCTGGACGATAATGAAGAGATGCTTATTGTTTCTTATCAGTTTCTCGGAACATTACGATGATGAAATTTTTCATCTGCGCGACTTGCCACCATTGCCAGAACGCTTTGCCCCCTATCACTGAAGCTTTCGCGTCGGAGCCTTTATCCTACTTGGCATTCTTTAGCCACCAAACCTTTTTTAGAAACCACTCAGATGCCGTCCTTGTCCCTACCCTCCATCTCCCCCCGTACATTACCGCTCATTCGCACGGCTTACTGGGGGATTGTGGCGCTCGCAATCGCGCATGAACATATCGAGTTCGTCCGTTACCTCCTTCTTGGCGATTGTCTCTGCCGACAGTGCCTTGCAATCTTCCCAGTAGCCTCTCGCGCGGACGGTGCATCCCCATCGATGGATCTCGTTTAGCCAATGCATCAACTTCTGTAGCGTGACTTTGCCGTCCAACCGTTCGGAGGACAGTTTACTCGCATCACACACCAGCTCCACATAACACATCAGCTCCACTCGTCAAGGGTTTGGCCCTCTATCATCCAAAGCTCGTAAGAGCGGCGCCCGAAGACGAGCCCCGGAGATCGGAAGATACCGGAAGTTGTGTTCGTCGTCTGCCATCCTTGGGCCCCCTCGTCTTGTCGGGCTTCCGCTGCTCTCTTCTGAGCCCAGGCCGTCTCCGCTTTCATGGAGAATTCGCCAGCGGGCGTACAACGCCGCGTTGCGCCAGCAGCGACGGCGTGAAGCCTACCATTGCTCATCGCGGCGTCGCTGTCACCTTCCCCTCGAGATATACTAAGCGGTACGGAAAGGCTAGACGTCTGCCTAGAATGAGTTGTTCGAGTGCGGTCACGGCACGTCGTTGAAGATGCTGGTGGGAGCGAGTTGCTGCGTAAATATGGTAAATGAAGTCTTAGGTAAACTACGTGCAATGAGCGCGGAAACTAAAAGGACGTGGGTCAGCGTCTCCTTCAGGTGGATATAGATCGTGGGCATGTAATGCTTTTGAGGCATGTCGTTGCCTCAACGGAATACGACTTTGGAACTCAATTTCCAAAGCGGCAAGATTTTCTACTCGTGGTCATTAAGGTGTGGAGATCCTATTAAGGCCCCTTCCACCTTCTCAAGTCAGTAATGGAGAGCGGTATCCCTCCCGTGCTTTAAAAATGTAAAGGAGTCGACCAGTCGGTTTAGAGTTTTCTTATCTGCAGGCATGAGCTACATTTCTTCTGACACGTGTCGCAGTCCATCCTGCGCCTTGTAGTAGTTGGTGATTAGAACGCCGTTGGGCGGCTCCTATGTGCCGAAATGATCTAAAGCCGAACGGCACAGAAGAGAAACCTTGTGAATCGTAATACTACAGGTCTTTGAAACGGAGGCTTCAAACTCCTTGGTGCTGGGCGGAGCAATCCTGGCGGTTCGCGGTTGAGCGTCGCGAGATTCTAAGAAGGATGAGCAATCGTTCAAGTAAGTGTCTATGGGAGACTTATCTTTGACATTACGATCAATGGGACCCTGTAGTATTCCTGTGGCGTTCTGGAGTCTTTGGTGGTAAATGAGAGAGGCTCCTTGATTCAGTAGTCCCATTGCAGAAACCTACCCTTTATTTTTGGGCTTTGTACAGTTGAAGAGCATTGGTACGGGTCAACAATATTAGGGATTCCGTGACGAGCCGACTTTTATGCGCTCGGGACGAGGGATGCCTCTACTAGCTTCGTGATCTACACATAAAGACCTTTCGGGTAGTGAAGAAGGCTCTGGCCCTCTCCGCCGAAATCTGCCGTTGTGGAGTGTTTAACCGAATCTCCGGATGAACTGAAAGCCAAGTCTCGGGGTTGCACCCGGTTCTGGTTGAAATCATCTCTGGAATGACTGCAATCCATACAGCTGGCGACGTCGGCTGCACGGAGGTCGTAGTATCCATTGTTTACTTCTGGGACCACCGAGACCTTAAGATTGCACATCTACCTCTGCGTCAGGATATAAATGAAAAGAATCTCTCTCCATTACGTAGTTGTCGCTAGCCGCAGTATGGCTGGAAAAGTTTTGCTAAGTTTTAGAGAGTCGGGTTAGAAATTCGAATGCTCCAGAGCAAAGATATTAGTAATGTACACGCTGCTTATATCACTCTTCTACGAGTAGGAAAATGAAATCTTCGGAATTTTCCACGTATGTCGGAAGAGCCGCTCTGCAAGCGATTAGTAGCCAATATATAGGGTAGATTGGCAGCTTACGGTTCGCCTTCTGTGTCGTTGAATTGAGATCAAGCGGCCTCTGCCTCCCGGTGCAGTTTAGGACCCGCGGAGTGTGAACCTATTTGCATCATGGTCGCTGGGGGTAGTAATCCAGATCACGTCATTGTCCTCGTCGGTATCTGCTCCCAACCTGGTCTTTCCCTTCTTGTTGGGCGGTAACATTAATTTAAACCGCTGGGCTGGATAAACTTGACCTGCGGTTCCTTGAAGCGGTTCTTAATAATCTTCGTTTCTAAAGGCCGTTTCGGATTCTATTTATGCCTTTTCCGGGCTCGGTCATCTCTTTTCTTGGCCAATTCGAGGTCACTGAGTCTGGGGATTCTAATAATCGCTCTACCAGCTCGTCTGCACTCTCGGCCGCCTCTTGTTTTGTGGTGACGTTAGTATTTGTCTTGTCAAAATCTCCGGGTGTGTTAGTTTGGACGGGGTATAATGCTTGGGGGACGTATTGCATGGTAATGTGGAACGTCATCCTTGTCTTAATGCTCTAAATTCATGATTTGTTTGCTATTTCAATCCAAGCGTGACTCCATTACTTGTCTACCATAATGAAAACAGTCATCAATCAATCATGAATACCCCCAACTCAGTCAAGACCAAGCGCTCCACGGTAGGCCGGATCCTCATGGATCGGTGGGTAGCTTTCCTCCAAAGAGTTCTTTATTTTCGCCAGCACATGGATCGCGAGCATGGCAAGATTGACTGAAAGCCCATTGCTATCGTCGCTATGCCACGGGATAACCGCCACCTCTGCACTCATCATACGTGCGCGTCTCTCACCTCCCGGTGACTGCTGGTAGGTGCGGTCAGAATCAGCAGCGGTTGACGGGGAGCTCCTCGCCGAGGTGGGTGTGACGGCAGGGGGCCTCTGCTGCTGGCGTGGGGGCGTCCACGATGTCCCAGCGATGCTGCTGGTCGGTGTGCGCTGCGGAGCGTAAATGTTCGACAGTCTTTGCCGCGAGGCAGCGCTTGGGGTGGCGGGCAGCGGCGGCTGCCGCAGCGCCCGTGTGGTGAATTGCCGTTGTGTGGTTGGGTCAAGCTTGCCGCGGATGACGATGAGTTCGTACGGCGTGATAAGGTATGCGTATCTTGTATTCCATCGGCTGGCGTAGTTGAGCACTTGCTCGATGCACGCCCTTGCTTTGCGGTGGTCGGCCTCCCCATCCGATCTTTTCGGAAACCCCTCCGGGAACATCTTACTGTCGCCGGCTATCCAGCCAGGCCGGGTGAACTGTAGGTCTGTACTTTCCACCGCACTCCAATCAGGTGTCAGCCCGCCATCAATGTGCGCAGCCGCGCCTTTGCTCCAGAGAAGGTGGGCACCGGGCTCTGGAAGTTCTTTGGTCACGACACGGACCACGGTGTTGACGATTTCAACATTCCAGGAGATGACTGCAAAATCAAGACAATCTTCGTTCCTGATGAGGAGGTGCGCTCGCTCTACGGGCATGAGGTTGGGAGGGAAGTCGTAAGTTCTACCCAAGATATGGCCGAGGAGGCTCTCGATGTTGTCCCGGGTGAAGTCAGTCATGGGCTCCCAGCCGTCGATTACCACGTCCGAATCGTGAGTGGAAGGGGTTATTCCTGGCTTTATCGCCCATTGGAGATTAGGAAGGCTCAGGTACTGCATTGGTGTTTTGCGATTCATGATTGAGAAGAAGTTGTGGCGGATCAGAGGTGGATCAGAACGAAAGGATTTACTGGATATTATAAATGGTCTAGCTGTTTGCTTTAAACACACAGGCAATGGCTTCATTGACCACGAGTGAATTCCAGCAGGCTCTATGGTGATGTTTGTTCTACTTTTGGGCTTGTCTAGACATCGTATGATCGTACTAGTCAGGCAAGTTTCTTCCATCTCTGGCGCTTCTGATGGAATCACCATCTTTTGAAAAAGCTGGCAAGAAAGTTCGGTTTGTTCAAGCGTTTTTTAATGATGTCTTCACTTCGATAGGAATCTACAAATCCATCTGCAAGACGTCTCCATCTCGCGCCCACGATGCAGGAACGAGTTGGCAAGCCACCATGGCCGTAGTCAAAACGGATTGAGATACTCCTTCAGTATTTGTCGCACGCACATGATTGTCTCTGCAGAAAGTGGACACTTCGCAATCTTGTAGGGTGGCCCGAAGAAAAACAATACAGGCAAAAAAAAAAAAAACAAATCCACGCTAGCAATCGGCTGCGAGAGGGGACTGTAGAAGAGTAGGGACACACTGAAGCCGCCGCATTGCGGAGCGCGTGCCAGCGCCAAAGAAAACAGCATTAGAGGCACAAGCGAAGGCAGGTCGCTCCCAAACTAGACTAGCCCGCCCGCAAGACGGCAGCGCCTTCCACACTTGCAAGCACCGCGCAAACACGTCTGTGCGCCTGCACATCCGCGCCTCCGCGCCTGTGTCACCTCTACGCCTCTGCCTACAACGTCTTCGCGCCGTCGGCACCATCACAGCGCCACGCACGCGTCCACTTGAAACGCTCGGCAACATGGCAACACATGGCGACCGCATCGTTCGGCTTCTGGGTGCCGGAAATTTTGGGCGTGTGTACGAGGCGCGCATCGGTGGAGCCGCCTGTGCTCTAAAGCTTGTCAGCATACTTATTCACGTTGCGCCCGCCGCCGCTGACTTGGCAGCAGTTCTTCCATGCCGTCGATTTCGACACCGAGCTACGCGCCTACCGCGCCGTCGCCGCCGTCCCAGCCCTTTCCAGCCGCATCTGCCCCTTCTACGGGGTCTACGAGGGTGTCGGCGAGCTATTCGACACCTATTCCTCCCCCGCATACTACTCCCGCGCTTTGCGCCTACACATCTTGCCGGGCGCTACCCTGTGGGACGCATTTGACCCGCTACCATCCGCTAACGAGCGTGGGCGCCTACAGCTTTACTTGCGCGAGACACTTCGTCTACTGCACTACGAGGCCAGAGTCTGTCACCGTGACATTAAGGAGGACAACATATTCATCTGCGGAAACGACGCTTGGCTTCTCGACTTTGGCAAGGCCGAAATCCGTGCCGACGACGAGACCAACCAGCAGTGGCAGCTTCGCACGCGAGAGGACGACGACTGCCTCGATAGCATCTTCGCCGAAGCCAGTTCTAGCGAGGTACTGCTCTTCCTCCAACGCTTTGCAACTAATAATTATGCTACAGGCTGCGAACGAGCTGGAAGCCCTACTCGATGGCTTTGACGCCAACGATGCCAGCCAACAAGCCACTCTTACTTCCCTTACAGCCCGCTTACGGCCATGCCATGCTGACAAGTCCCTTCTGGACCGCCTGTGTGTCATCGTTCCTGCTCCATCCCCTGAGCTCGCCTGTCACATAGCAAGACTTCTATCGGCCCGGCACAGTTATACCAAAGCCCTGAGTATCCTTGACGCCGCCATCTCCCGCCAAATGGCTGCCGCAGCCGGTAATAAAGCTAGCCAGGAGGTGCTGCTCGACATGCTTACACAAGCTGCTACATGTGCCTGCTGGGCTGAACTCGGACGAACCGGCCCCTGCACACCGTCTGCAAGCTCTCTGTACCAAAAGGCCATTGCTTTGGCAGCCCGACTCAACGCCACCAAGCTAATGCGGTTGCGCCTCGACTTTGCCAAGCATCTGCAGTACCGCGGAGAGCACGGCAAAATGCTGCATTTACTCGAACATTATATCTTACCGGATGCAGGCCAAAGGCCTGGTGAAGATGATGATGGGAAAATGGCTAAAGAGATATGGAGAGTTGTTAACACGACGGCAATCAGGTTAGGTGAACGGGAGCACGCCCTCAGAGGTCAAGCTGAGAAGATTCTCAAGATGCTATAAGCATCACGGCGCACCGTGTTTGCGTTGAACCAAGAGACGACAGAAGATGCGGCGCCACTGAAGAAGTGGCGAAGAGCAGTGACATGCGAAACAGCCTCAACAAATTCATGCACGCTGAGGTGCAGGTTCGCAAAAAAGCATTACCCAGCAGGATACAGGACTACCGGAAGACCGTTTATTTAAAATACGACATTGAACGGCTACTGTGGCCAAACAACTCACCCAATCTGGATGTAATCGAGCCGGCCTGGCAGTATTTGAAATGGCGAACAACGGCAAGGGGAGCGCCCGAAGCTCGTGCTCTGGTAGAGCAGCAGATTCGCTAGGGTTTCGAAGAAAGCGAGGTCATCCAAGCGTGAACAAGCAGTACAGAGAGGTCCTTGAAATATTCCATTTGTAGTAGAAACTCAACAACATGAATGAAAATCGTGACGGTCGTGACGCTCCAGTGATGCTCCAAATGCGTGTCCATGATACTACCGGCAGGTTCCTCAGAATGCGCGATTTTTGCCCTGCCCGCGGAGGCCAGTGGCACCCCTGCAGACTTCCAACCTCGGTATAATATACGCAAATTGCGTACAGCAGGCCGGCCAGAGCTTAAGTAAGAACATGTAGCCATCCGCGTTGACTGGGAAATTGAGCATCTGGATCAGAGCGAGCGGCAGTGGGCAAAAATTATCTTCGCTGCGGAGCGAGCAGGCTGTCACATCGTCCGTCCTTGCTCAATCGCGCGCGCGATTAAGACGCGATAATAGATTGATTGAATTACTAGAAAAGGTAAGATGGTGAGTAGAAGGGATATTCAAATATATGGGTTAGACTAGAGGTAAAGCGGTCAACACCATGGTCGGTACTTCTCTACCCACCACTAATATCTGGTTAGTGCTTATCCGTGCATTTAATCGCGTCTTTTCGGCGCGCGCGACGCCTTTAAGCAATCGCACGCGTGATTGCTTATATAATTCGTCGTCGCGCGCGCGATTGACTCTAATCAATCAGTCCAATCGCGGGCGCCGAAACGGACGGACGATGTGACACCCTGCTGGGTAGTAAAAAGAGAAAATGGGGAACTGGGTTTGGCAATTACCTCCTACCTCATTTATGTATGAGGTAGTAGGTCTAGCCTGAGCGTGGTGTTTCCGACTAAGCATCGTGCGGAATACGCCCTTGGCTTCCTCCAAGATTGCATTTTTAAGTGCGTGCGAGGGACGGTAGCGAGCGCGTGATACCAGCCCAGTAAAGACGCATCGAAATGGGCATAATAGCACAATACTCTCTCACTCTCTTCCTCTATCCGAATCTGTCTGTATAATACGAATGCTTTTTACACGGCCTAATACCCGCGTTTTAATACCGAGGGAGATAGAAATTAGGAAAATCCGCGCCCGGTGACGCCCGACTTCATACGCAGTTCAGAATTCGATTTACTAACAAATGCCTGCTTTGGTTAAAATAAGACAGAGCCGTCAACTTCTAATATACCATGGCCATAAAGGCGGGGAAATTGACCAGGGTGACCTCCTACCCCACTCCCGGATGAGTCAAAAGCCTCAGGCACCTAAGGAGCATCATAGAACGCCATACCGTCCCATTGCTCCACCCTGAGATTCTTCTCAGGCACTTTAACAAAATGTACATGCCCACAAAGGCTGTAATTCTGCCGAGCTCCACGCCACTAACATGAATAAACTTGACATGCTCGTCTCTCTTCCTGAATGCGAGCTTCCACTCCTCGATACGGACGAGAAGTTGAAGGGAGAATAGGGAGCCGGGTATTGGTGGATGAATACTGTTCAGTAGACCCTTGAGCAGATTCCTGAGTGCTTTCACGATTGATGTCCTGAGTGGTATCCTGGATCACTTGCTAAATATCTCCTTGGGTTGCTTCCTGAGCGGCTTTCCGGTTGGCTTCTTCGCTTGCCGGTTTAACTGTTTGTTGGAAGGTTCCCTGGGTAGCTCCCTGGATTGTTTCCTAAACCGCTCCCTGGGTTGCCTTCTTTGCGGCCTCCTGAGCAGCTTTCTGGAAGGCTTCCCGGGCGTTCGTATCCCTCGCAAAGCGCTCGGCACACTCCTCGCCTGTACTATTCTGCATGCTGTTTGAGTTATTGAGGTGGGCCGCGCCCTACGAGGTTATCTGGAGCATGCCTTCGGCGACGCCACCTTTAACCTGTTTCGTACCGACGCTTATGCAGATTGGCCTCCTGCGCAACACAACAACGTATCTATCTGACTAAATCTTCTCATAGTGTTTGATCAAACACTTTGAGGAATTTTCTAGAGAGAAGCCGTCCACTGTGCTCTTCCTTTTTGAGCGTTGCAAGCTTGCTGTTAGACTGTATCAATTGCCCTCGTAAGACTTTTTCTCCATTTTCTACATTAATGATTTCCTAAGCCAATTCCAAACTCCTCTTCCGCCCTTCGTCAATCCCGGTGGCTGATTGGTAAAAGTCTTTCAACTTTTTTCCGCCACCAAAGAAACCTCCTCCGTGACGCAATGGGAAACCCACGTCTCCACCTCGCTCGAGAAACAACCGGCCATGCGCGGTGGCCATAGAGAAAACGTTTGCCCCCAAAAGTCAGGCGGACACCTTCTCCAAGAGAAGGGCCGCGAACCTCAGCGGTGTCGGTAGGCCGTCTTGCACCCGACGAACTACGCCTGGGCTCTCCAAGTGACTGTACTTGTGCAGCTGTACTACCTCGCCGCCGCGGCCACCATCATCATCATCATCAACCCTATCAACCCAATAATAGCAGAACTCCTCGGTGTCCCAATCGTACGCGATGGCGGACTCGAAGCGATAGTACACGTCGTACCCATCCGGAGAATTGACGGGGTCCCGGCGGACGGTGAGCTTGATGATCGCATCCGTGTCGATCTTGGCCGGGCTGAATGATGGGCCGAGCGTGAGGTGGACGGGGGGGCGATCGGTGACGATGTTGATGCTGCTGAGCGGCGAGTCTGATTCGCAATGCTCACAGCCCTGCGTCGTTGGGAACGATGGGGGCCGCATGGCCGGTGCGAAGTCAAACCATGACTGAAGGTCTGGGTCGACGGGGCCGTCGGATGGTCGGTGGTGGAGCTCCAGGTCTGCGTTGGGATTGTCGACGACACCCACGCAGTGAAGAAGGCTTGCAGGCACGTCGCTGCCATCTACGTTGCCGCACCCAGGGCAGAAGTCAACCAAGGCGGTATGAAAGCTCGTTTGTTGGGATCTTGTGTAGACGGATTCAAGAGCATAAGCGGCGCCAGGCACGTTGATGCCTCCGCCATGCACGAGCTCTTCTCGTAGCCTCCACAAGAGAGACTCGAGCCCCTCCAACAGCAGATCCTCAGGGAGCTTCACGTTCATCGCGCACTGGTATGCCAAGGTATCCATCTCGGCGAGGCGGAAGGATGGTTCTGTAGCCAGAAAGCCGGTACTGATCCTACGGATCATGTGCAGCACAGAGGCGAAGAGGGCCATGTCGTATCGAGCTGGGAGGTCCTTTAGGTATGCGCACGACCCATAAACATAAGCCCTAATGACGTGGCTTGGCACCGTCTGCAGCTGGAGGCGGTTGCGATCATCATTGAGGAGGTCCTGGACGACCCTGTCGACGGGGGTCCCGGCGGGTGTGGTTGGCATGGCGCAAGGTGAGGGATATGCGGTGGGTGGCTTCGTACCTGAAAGGTTAATGGGCGAGAGAACTGCTCGGATAGATGGATAGACTCACGGAGAAATGGTGCACGCGTTGTTCGAGACAGTCGAGCGAAAGCAGGAGCGCCGTGGAAGTGCAGATACTTCAATCGAGAGAAGTCACCGTCAGCGGCAAGAGAGGAAGGCGGATGATGAATGGTTGGGGAACATTGGTTTAAAGGATGATGCATTAGTAGCTACGGTGGGTTCGGACGATATGCGTCCAAGCAAACTACACTAAGCCTAATCGACATGTTGTAGCAAACGCAGCCGGCTATCGGCAGATGGTGCCTACCCGCACCATCCTCATATTTCCTTTCCGTCTCTCTCTCTCTCGCCCTCATACACGCGCGGGTTCTATTGTGGCAGCGCGGGGTAGTGTTGCAGTGTGGAATTCGGGCGAGGAGGGTGGGTGGAGTGATGGTGATGGCTGTGGGCAGAAACTTGAAGGAGTGAGAGACGGAGCTGGCCATGTAGCCAGCCGACATGACTGTTTCAGAGAGAGAGGCAATCACGGCTGCACCTGCTTTGATCGGCGTCTTTACCGCCAGGATGCTGGAGCAGCCATTGCTGTGGCCGACACCTGGCGGAAACCCTGAAGAGCCGTGCGTGTGCAGATGGGCGACGGGCGAGGGCAGATTATGGCAAACCGGTTTTACATTAGATTACTGGCATCTCTACACGGATTGATGAGCGAGGACGCAATGAAAAATAGCCGGACCTCGATTATGTCCATTCTGGCGCTCGCGAGTGAAATTTGAACTTACATCACGGTTGGCCTGTTTCGTAGCGAAAAGGCTCGCGTTTGAAGTCCGTGCCAACAGCAGCATGAAACCGTTTGCGCTCTTTGTCATCCAGAGTCTCGCTCCGCCGAATGAATGATTGGCGCTGAGTAGGCTTGCGAACAAAAGGAGCTGCTCGTGGAGCCCCAGCCATGCTTGAGCAGCGTAACTTTCACAACCCAGGCCTCTGCGAGATTTTTAGGGGCCAGCCGGGATGCTCACCGATGTTGTGATGCTTCATTCGTTCGCTTTCCACAAGAATCTCGTGGCCTTCGCGAGCGGCGTGACGTGCCAGAGAACCAAAACGCCTCAGATTTACTGTGCACACGACCTGTGCGGGCTAGATGGCCTTCGTATCTGATTTCTCCAAGGATCCTGGATTTCCCTTTTTTTTTTGTGGCGTGTCCAGATGCATACTGCCCTTGTGCTTATGGACTGTTCTTGTCGCATTTTGCGCGTTTCGACGTCTACAATCCCTCACCTGTCTAATCCAGCATGCGCCGCGAACAATACTCGTCACGCACTTTCATCTCCGATTCGTCGACCTGGGAACTACCTGCAGCACTCCTGCTGGCATCGGTGGCGGTGAATACTCGTCGACGTCTCGAACGCCCGACTTGGTTTTCTCCGTTTGTGCTGGACATCGTCTACGATGGTCGCTTCATCCTGCAGAAGTTCGGCGCATCGTGCGACCCGTCCTTGTCAGCACTAGAGGGGAGCTAAACCATCTTTATTACCCAAAAGCGTTAGTTTGTTAAAGCGAAGCCCCTGCTAGCGCGACCTTTGTGATCCCTGGTAGCGTTTCGGTCCGACTGGTGCTTTCGGCGACGACAGAGAAAGGGGGGTTCATGCGCTTCCATTATTGTTTGGCACCTTTTTCTGCCTGGATCTATCGCCACTCTCTTTCATTTGCATCATCGATGGACGCCCATGTTTGCACAAATTTAAACTACGTCAACCTTCTCACTATCTTACGATCGCGTCATCGCTTCTCTCCAATGCAATTCCCCCAATTTATTCACACATACGAGGGACAAACGGACTCTGTGTATGTAAGTGGCGTTTAGATTATAATACAAGCCATGTACTGCACTAGTTCTACAAGTTACTGTCCGGAGTTCCTGTGGATCGCTGAGTTCATACCAAAGTTCATCTTAATCATTTTACGATTCCAATCATCAGCAATCAAGCCGTAACTAGGACACTTTTTGGAAAATTGGTTGAAGAAACGATAAAAAAGAACAGTAATCACCGAACCAGCCACGTAGACGATTTCGGTGTTCACGGAAAGAAGAGGTAAAATCGGCCACTTTCGGCGGTTTGCTCCATCCTTTTATAGTTCAAGCTTTCAAGCAATCTCTTATTACCATCGTACTATTCCAGTTTTGAGTTGGAACCAAGCAAGAATACTCGCTTCTCCTGAATCTCGACAAACAAGCTGTGCGATTATACCACGACAAACCTTAAATCAGAAGGCGGTTCGTTTGGAGTCACGGAGGGATGTAAACTTGCTGAGGCTTTAGTTACGACCATCATACCCCCGCCGCCCTTCAACATCTGGATAAACATCCAGATCCCAGATTATTAAAGTATCATGTCACATGCTAGTCATATATTTAAGCTTCTCTCTTTGTAATATAAATATTCAGTCGTTATTCTATAGTCTAATAGTGAACTCTCTTTTTCTTCCTTTTACTTTCGTACCCGATATCTTTACCTCTTTCGGTTAATACGCAACACAGATATCCCCTCAGACCCGGCTAACGTTCTGGGCCAAGCCAACAGGCAGTGCAGGACAAAGGTAAAAGCATCATTAACGACCCAATCTTCTCCATTGACGGAGACGCAAGCCCAGCGAGATCGTTTGCCTACAATCTCCGAGTACTACAAGAGACTCCAAGGCGCACCGGGAGCGGTGTTTTCCCACGCCTAGACAAAAATAGGATCGCCTGATGCTCTTAAATAAAGCAGCAAAACAATAAGGGGCAGGCACAGTGCGCGGAGAATCAATCGATGTCATACAGGTAAAACTGTATTGATGTCCAGGGTTTGCAGCAAGCGGAAGCGGATTTCAAGCGGCCTTTGAGGATCTGGTTGATCAGGTTTCAAGCTCAATCGCTTGTCAGCATACATACGCCATATTTCTGCATCATTAGATTCTTACTTTAAGGGGTATCCTTAGGGCTCCAGCTCCGTATAATAAAGATAACGACCTCTCCGGAGCCGTAGCACCGGAAATTCCGCTTATAATATAACCTAAACCTATTGAGGGAGGAACATGACATTTCTTCGCTTGACAAGTACTTGCTAAGCAGTCGAGCAAGCTAAGCGCAGGCAGGCCCGCTTTGTTTAATTACCCTAGGGACATCCCGGACCCCGCGTGCGCTTGGTAAGCAGATCAAGCGCGAACCCTGCTGATGTCGTAGAGCATCTGGCCATGCGGACTGATGCGAGTAGAAAGGGGCATATAATTACCTGCGGTAAATTGTTCTATAGAATGCCACACGGGCAGACAGCAAACTTTCATCCGACACTGAGATTGTGTGTTTGCTGAATAACGGCGACGCAATATAGCTAGAGTTTATTGTTATGCTCCACCTTCACGGTTTGTTGCAGTTGAAAAGGAATTCTGATTTATTAATTCGCTGCGCATTAATAAATTAAAACTTTGGCGCTTGCGGGGTAGATTGTTTGATTAGACAGAGCGAAGGTCAATTATTTGCCTGGCCTGTCGCATCTAAACTGACAAAAAATACTCTGTCACTCCCAAGACCGTTGACAATGGAATCGTCGCCTCAACAGTGCAAGGGTACTCTGGAGAATGGCACGGGCCGCCTCGCCTTCAGGTCAGATGATGTTGTTCGCTGCAACAAGCTCCTGACCGGCCTCCAGTTGTCTCGGTAAGTCTTGTTCCAAAATAAACAGTCGTTGGTAGCTGATTTGGGATATAATTCAGCCCATCAGCCGGGACACAGCGCCGGCACCGTTGGAGGCAGATCAGAAACTCTCAGCGGCGCGATGATGGGGGGTAGTGGCAGAACACTCCGGGACGAGTCCCTTCACCATGTGAATGGGAATGGACACTCTTAACCGATCTCATGCTCGAAAAAAAAAAAAAAAAAAACCACCACCCTATCATAGCTCACCTAAGTTTCCAATCTGCAGCCAAAGCCCTTTCACACTTCTGTAGAGTGCCGATATTCGGAGAAATTATAGGCTCAAGCTGTAATCATACGAGTGTTACAGTCAACGTCGCGATTTGCGACTACGCCTGCGGCCGTCGTGATCATCATGGCGGCCACGATGACGATGGCCACTGCTCCACCCTTTCAGGCAACAAGCCTGCTTGTACACGCCGTCACGAGCCTAACCGTTGCCACAACCGTGCACTCGATGGAGGCATCTGCAAGGAACATACCCAATCTGTCTAGATTTACGTGGGCAATGTCATAAACCACGCGGCGGGAGCCGTTTACCGCAACATGGAGGCCATGCAGTTGCAGTGCAGAACCGTCGCTGGCTACGAGCTGATATGCGTCAGCGAAGTCCTTGAGGTCGGTGGGGAGGAGAGGCAGGAAATGCATGTTTGTGTTACAAACCTTACTAATGGCTCATCGATCTTTCCAAAGATGTGCAGTCGGTTTTGGCGTTCACACAACCAGACCCTCAGACCCACTCCGCTCCTAAACTGCCACTAAAACCCGCAAATTCCGTTTGGCCCCTTCCTGACGTGACCTCCCCGCATTTTCCTAAAGAAAAGCTTGCAGATGTCGCGGCAACGGAGCTGCAGAAGACGGACGACATCCCCAGTGATGAGTTGGAGATTATTTCGTTGGCGCTCCATCAGCTCAAGGGGGTAAACTGGCTGGGGAACACAGCCATCTTCCGCGTCCTTCAAGTATTTGCCCCGCCAGATACAGTGTTCTTCGATCTCGGTGATCGGCTGGCAGCCGGAAGTCGAACCTGGGATGACTGGGTTGAAAATCGGCACTACGATGTCCGGGGTGCTACGGAAGTGTTTGTTCCACTGCACCTCTGTAAGCAGCAGCATTGGCTACTACTTCACTTCAATCTCACCGAAAGAAGAGTTACGTCTTTTGACTCGATGAAATCACTCAGCTCGCGCATTAACCTCCTCCAAGTGGCTAAAGCCATTATGGCTTCAAT